CAGAAGATGCAAGCTCCAACCGTAATGGACAAGATAAATGGAAAAGCCAGCAGACGTCACATGGAATCACCGCCTATAACAGACTATAGCAGTGGACCACGAAGGACAGACCAAATGGTATGGAATAACCAACAAAGACAGACCAGAACATATCACCACCGAAGATGAACGCTCCAACTATAACGCACAAGACTGAAGTAAAACAACTACTGACATTAGGTATCATATGGAAAGCCCGCATACAACAGACTGCACACAGGATCACGTACGACAAATCAAAGAGTATGACAACCACCAATGTCCGACCATAAAGTATGAAACAACCACCAATGACAGACCACAGAGTATAGAACAACCACCAATGACCGACCACAGAGTATAGAACAACCACCAATGACCAACAAAGGAGTATGGAACAACCACCAATGACCGACCACAGAGTATAGAACAACCACCAATGACCGAGAACAGAGTATAGAACAACCACCAATGACCGGCCACAGAGTATAGAACAACCACCAATGACAGACCACAGAGTATAGAACAACCACCAATGACCAACAAAGGAGTATGGAACAACCACCAATGACCAACAAAGGAGTATGGAACAACCACCAATGACCAACAAAGGAGTATGGAACAACCACCAATGACCAACCAAAGAGTATGGAACAACCACCAATGACCAACAAAGGAGTATGGAACAACCACCAATGACCAACCAAACAGTATGGAACAGCCACCAATGACCAACAAAAGAGTATGGAACAACCACCAATGACCAACAAAGGAGTATGGAACAACCACCAATGACAAGCTCGATATTACATAGCTATTACAGTCCTTAGCTCTCTGATCACGAGTGTTGTAGGTTTTATGTTTATAAGCTCACAGCATTTCAACAACCTTATCTTGTGTCACTGAGTACAAATCTGCTAACTTTCAGTTATTCTGATATATCTGATATTCCTCCTGGTTAAGGTTAAAGGAAACCCTTGTTAATAGCAGTATACTGGTACAACAGAAATAAGTTTCAAAGCAGCATTTACAACTCAAAATCATACTGGGTATTTAATATTTTTCAGTCAGGAGCCAATTCGATGCAGAATTGTTGATAGTCTGGATCCCATTTTAACACTGCAGACGGAATGTACATTATTTGACTGGATGGTAAAACATGCAATAGGCCTGATTGATCCAAAACCTGTCACCCTGCTGACTGAGCTACATACCATTCACGTTCAGGAATAAATTTCCTCCAAATCAGATTGGATATTGAAATTCTAGTGTTTTGGTAAGGTTTATAGAATCTTGTTTCAACAAGGCATTGCAAACAATACAAATCCCTTGCATGTACAACAGAATGTCATTTTTTTTACTGTACCATAAGTTTTAACTGTTCTTAAATAAACTAAGAATGAGATCATAAAGAATTTTACCTATAAGTAATGTAATCACTATAAAACAAGACGAAGTATCCTGATACATACGTTTTGCACTCTGCCATCCAAAGATGTCCTTGCACACAAAATCTGGTTACTCCAGGTGAAATAGTAGAGAAGATATGGCCCGGGACAAACGTTTACAAAGTAAAGGTCAAAGGTCAAATCATAGGTCACAGTGACCTAAGTGTTCCATTCTGCATCTTGGCATCCCAAGATGTCCTTGCATTCAAAATCTGGTTACTCCAGGTGAAATAATATAGAAGAAGTAAAGGTCAAAGGTCAAAGCATAGGTGACAACTTGGTCATAGTGACCTAATTTTTGCATTCTGCACTCCACCATCCCAAGATGTCCATATTACTCCAGGTGAAATAGTATAGAAGATATGTCCTGGACAAACTTCTCGGATGGAAGGATGGTAAGACGGAAAGACGGATGGCTGGAGTGCAAACCTTAAGTCCCCGGGAACCTTTGGAGGACTAATTGTGAATTTTGATTGTGATTAAGATATAGATAGTGAGCTCATTCATTATAATGGAGTGAAACAAAAAAAAAACCACTTGTCCTCAGCTAATATTTAACACTGATTTTAACAATTATTCTTATTTTACTTTACAGGACATGGCAACACTTTGTATCCTGTATTCCCGGTATCTACAAAATCTCCACTTGTGCACAAGTAGGCTGCTGAAAAATATCTGTAAATATGAACCTGCAACCTGGGACGAAGGAAAGTTTCAATTAGTATATGGAGGTGTTGACTATGAATAAGTGACCTTAAGATATTTGATCCTAAAGTTACAGAGTTATGTGTTTTTTTGTTATGATCTTATTGAAATATTGTCAGTTATTTGATAAAGGGCTATATTCAAAAATTAAGTTGACACCCAATCAACAAAGGGTAAATTAAACTTTAGGTTATCTTTTGAAAAGACCATTATCTGTAGGAGTTGATTAAAAAAACCTCATTAGCTTACCTGATTATTTTTTTCATTATAATTTCAGCCCATGTATTTTCACTTTAAATTTATTTCACAAAAAAATAAATTATTTTGCAATACTTGAACCGGTATTCGATATAGGAAAACCGTTACAGAGCTAACAACAAGAACATTTCTAAATTGGACTAGCTGTTGATATTACAGTATAACAGAGATATTTATCAGGGAATTTATTTCATATAAGGTAAAGGGAACCAAAAAGTTTAATTATATTACTATCATTGTCTCTACAGTGAAGTTTTGAAGTCATTTCAAAATAAGTTTTCACTTGGTCATTTTTCTTCAAAAATCAAATTATTACAATTTTTTAAAGGAAATAATTCAAATTCTTGAATCAGTTTGCAGAAGTATTTAGACCATTTCATATTTGTAAAATGCATTTCATTTGATTTTTAGATAGAGAGTTCCATCACTTTTCTACAGATATCAACAATTGAATAATTTTCCTGTGTAATTGTGATATTTGCTGAACATTTCAGCATCCGAAGCAAGCAACAAGATTGAATATCCATGAGTTTTGTTGGTCCTGCATTCATGCTTTTGTAGAAACAGAGTTAAACTTAAATATTTTAGATTGATTAGGTAACTGACAAAGTTGGAAAAACAGCTGTCAGAATCAGATATGACCAGATGAGGGAGTTTTTACCACTGGTTTAGATTAGACAGGTTACACTGTAAAAATATCGTATTATTTCAATCTGATTAGGTTCCTTGTGACAATATACAAAAAATAAACCGAGTAAGTATTCGATAAAAATTACAAAATGTTGCAATGCATTTTTCATAATCATATTTGTTCCAAATTTGAACACTTGAAAATAGAAATGAAAAAAAATAAATGAAAAAAAATAAATGAAAAAACCATAGGCTAAAATCTGGATATTTACATTGTAAAGCCAACACTTGACCAGTGTTGTCATCCAGAAGTATAAAAATGTACAACATGAAAATGAGTGTCAAATTTTTGGTCTGCAAACCTATGAAAATATTGACAGAGGAAGTTACTCTAAAACAGAAAAAAATCCTTTTGGTGGCTTTATCTTCTATAAAGAAGGGAGAATACTCAAAAGAAACAAGTCAGATTGGAACTCTCCTTTGTGATTATAACACAGGTGCAGTGGGAGCCTTTAACTTAAGCCATAAAAAATGTTTTTTCAGCAAAAAAACTACCCTTATATTAGTTGTCCTGGCTACTGTGATGGTGAATGAAAGGAAATATTAAAATCAGAATATTTGCTTCATTGGTCTTGTGTATTTAAAGAGATTTTTTAATTGTATTTACCTGTATTTCTCTAGCTTCTAGGGGCTGCAACCCCATATTCCCCAACGGGGCTTTGCCCCTTGTACCCTGAATAGGGGGTTAACGCCCCCTACACCCCTACACGTTTTCTAGTTCTAGAAAAAAGGACCCATATGCTTGCTGGTTGAAGTAGCTATATTTCATAAACTAAGAATCAGGTTGACCAATATCTCGTCCCTACATTATAAGTGTCGATTGGAATCATTGGACAATCCATTTTTACGCTGAACGGGTTATGTATGTTGGCAGTTTACAAAATAGCACAAATATAAAGATAATAAACATTTGTGCCTGATCATAATCTTGCCCAAACTATATTAGGAAATTACGTTTTAACTTGAACAGTAAGAGAGCAACTGAAAGACTATCTCTAGGACATTAAAACAAAAATGAAAAATAAGTATATTTAAGGTAAGAGCGTTCTTGGAATTAACAAATTTTTGTGATATGTGGTGGAGAAAGTGTATAGTTTACACCAGAATTAACTTCTTCCCTTTCCTTTTATTTTCAAGGATAAAAAATTCTTTCAAGGATAAAAAAAATCAATATATTTCTGGTATTGACACTACACTAACAAATACATATCAGGCATGAAAAAACTTCAAGATGCTATTATGCAGTTGATAGAAAACTTCAAATCCATTGTCGTCATCAGGCGGGTCCACCTTTTCATGGAAATTTCTACACACGTACCCTTAAAAAATATCCCATCTTCAAAATCCAACAGTTTTTTTCTCAATGTACTTCTTTTGCACCATTGCCATATGTCATGACGAAATAATTTAGTGTTTTTTTTACGCAACACCTTGCGAATAACACACTGTTGGTCTTGGATAAAGGTTAAAAGAATCGTGAAGCAGCGAAACGGCAAAACCGACAGGTTACAACTGAAAGTTATTTTCAAATGGAATTTAACAGTACCCTATTTAAAGATAAATGCTACGCTGGAAAATCATAATAATCATTATATATTATGTTATATATATGATATTTACGACATGTTACGAAACATTTAAACAAATTCAATACATTAGAATAACATTTTTTGAAAATGGTGCAGTTACCTCCCTTTCAGTATAAATTCATCTTAGGGAATGAGAGGCTATACGAGTTTAGACTGTATGCAATTGGAAAAAACTTCTTTTAATTTAATGTGTTCAAGCATAGCAGCAGAAAAGTAAAAGCAAAATCGTATTTTTTCTTTTATATTTTCGTAAAAGTCATCAATAAATGGAACTTAACAAAGACATAATTCCACTAGCTTTATTCATAAATTATAAATAGTGTTTGAACTCCCTTACTCAGCCTTGGTATTTACAGTAATCAGCCGATAAATAAGGGTTTCACTACATGATAGCTACTACACACATTATCACAGAGGTATGTTATGTACAAACTATTTATAATGGCCTACATGTATGGAATTCTCCAGTAAAATCCATATGAAGTGAATATATTGAAGGTGCACATTTTTAGAAAAATTGCGTAAAATTTACATTGAAACAAAATGTAATAAGAAATAAAAGAAAATAGTCGAGGAAGATTTTCAGGTGAATTTTCAGGTATTACGACCAAACGCGTTTTGTTTGCTAGAAAACATACAGCATATCAGCACAGGCAACATATTCAATATGGATTTTAGGTCGAGTTTCCACTGGCCCTGCCACCAGACAAGACATTTTGACAGATAAACCACTGGTGTCGAAGTGTCGAAGTCTAGTGTCAGGGCCAGAAGATACTCTACTTGAACGTGAAATCCTCAAGGTTTTGAATCACTGTTAAAATTCTTACTCTTTTATTTAACGAGACTAAACTTCTACACGACCACTTGTATATATATATATGTAGGCTTTGACAGGATTATCTCCCTTGAAATATAAATAAGGACCTTTTCGTGTATCCGGTTCAACCATTTGAAATGGTTAAACTTGTAAAGAAAACGACAGACACAGATCTGAACATGATGCTGACCTCAGGAATATTTGGCACGAGTAGCTCATACCTGTAGTTTACTGACTGAAACTAAAATGCTGACTATTGCTAGTGTGCGTTATTTCTTTCTAAAACAATGTCAAGCCACATGTAGTTTTTAAGATACGTTATATATTTTATTGGACACATGAAAGAAGGGCATAATATTCTTGATGCATTGTTATCTATTCTCCCAAATTATGCATTTTTAGCTCTGCTGATAGAACGGTCCAAGTGTGTTCGTTTATCGTGGAAAATATTTCTGCGCCACCCGTACCTTTTCAACAGGAATACGCGAATTTAACCTAATATCATCCAAAAATGTCAGAGTTAAGGATCCCTGTCCCTCAGTGGGAAAAACGCCAAAGAGTTCTACTATATATTATCAACATATCAATCAACAGCGGCTCACAGAGTCATTTCACTGTACATAATATTTGTTCAGAAGGACACAAATGAGAATTTAATTTTTTCATTTAAAAAATTGAGTTATGAAACAAAAAACAAAGAAACTATGAATCCACATTCATGCAAACTCTTAAATGTGCCATGTAAGTTTCTGTTTCATTCCTTGACAAAAAATAATTTTTTGAATAAGTGTTTTAAATGTTATATCAAAAGGAATGTGACAGAAGTTAAGTATAAAATGTACTTCTGTAATATTTCAATTTCTAAAGTTGAAGAAAATGGCAACATCATTGTTGCGTTGTCACACTGCTAACATGATATATACTTTCTTAGTGCAATGTTATGAAACAGTTGTTAAATGTTCATATTCACTATGGTATAAATAATATTTTACCAACGGAATTTGAGTACAAAGACAATTTAATAATAATGGAATATTAATCTTGAGGCAACATGTAACATACTGTAAAAATATAAAATAAAAAATGTCCTGAATATTGTAAATTTATACTTTAAGTTCATTAAATATCTATTTTTAGTTTCATTTGGACGGACATCTGATTATGAATGTATGTTTCCCATGGACAAGAAAGGCACAATTCAACAGTTCACAAGTTGTTGTTCAATTCGTAAATTAAATTCTTGTGAATGAATCTACGAAAAAAGGATGGGAAAAATAAAATTTATGAAAATTGAAGTATTTTACACAATAAGAGTTGAAAGAATATGTTTTCACAATCATCACAGTCTGAATTCACACTAACCTGCCATATTTGTGTCATTTGATATCTAAAATATGTTCACATGCATTTTATCATCAAATTTAAATTTTACAATCATGGAAATATATGGAATATTTTGATATTACATTTTTGAAATGCCTTCAATCACCGAACTTATATTTCCCAGTCAAACAGAAACATGAAATGTTTTTGTTCCGAGTCTTCTGAATGTTTTCTATCCTCAAACTTGGATTGTCCTTCACAAATTCATTACTCTTGACCTTCCTCATGGATCAGTGACCTTGACACTAATGAGCGACCTTGACACTAGTCCACAACCTTGTCGCTAGTCCACGACCTTGACAGTCTGTATGTGCGGTGAGATTGACAGACTTCCTGTCTGACCTGCGAGTCGTCGATGGAGTATGCCACTCTGTTGGTATTCTGATAACGCGATCGGGGACTTGGCTGGATGGCGAGATGCCGTGGCCTGCCCTATGGTCTGCTGTAATGTATAATAAAAACAAATAGAAATATTGGCAGTGTGGAAAGAAACTGTGGCCTGCTGTATTGTATATACTTAGTTATACAGAAATACCAAGCCTGCATTCGTTTATTACGATCCAAACGGGGTTGGACCAGAGTTGTTCATTTATGAAATAAGGTCACCCTAGTAATCTGATGCTGCTTTCATGCCTTAATATTGATTTAGAAAAGTTATCCATGTATCGGTTGTAAATGTATAAAAATCATTGATATATCTGCTCGGTATGTCGACAAAAACCAACATGCAACATTTATTTATCACTTGTGTTCACTCTTTCTTCATATTCAAGGGCCAGTTTTCTTTCTTATTTAGATTATTTCTTTACAAAATATTGACTAAAAAACTAAAACATTCTTGTTTATCAAATATCATTTTATCTAAGACTTTAGATGTTGCATAGTCATATGGAGTTAATAATATTTTTTTTTTTTAGACATTTGGGGAAAAACGGTACTTACCCCAAAATTGCTCCAGAAAAAGCCTAGCTTTGGAATATCAAAATGGTCACTCAACACACTACATTAACTCATTCACCCCACAAGACACATTTAAACTCTTCCAATTCAATGGTTGGAATAGTTCATTATGAAATTTCAGGGGTGAATGAGTCAAAAAACTTCTGTTTGAGGTGAAGAAATACAGACCTTGTTAACTGACTGATGTCGCTCTACAATGACAGAGCTCATAGGAGGTGCTAATGTGGGTCCTGTCGAGGGACCTCCGAGGCCTGGGCGGCCCGAATCTACCTTCCCTGTCATTCGAGTGGAGATGACCTTGCCCTTGTGTGTACTGGAAACTTTACCACTTGCCTGTCAATCAAAGGTACAGTTATTTATAGACTGCAGGCTCATCTAGACCGCGATGTTTCAATATATCAAGCATAGAATCTGTGCTCAATGCTATGTTCTCTTAACACACTCAAATCATATGATACGGTCAAAACGTCCTGTGTAACCATTAAAAACAATTTTCGGTTTGAAATTTGAAATGTTTTTCCAAATCCTTAACAAAAAATGTTTTGTTCTTAATATATCAACGGAACAAAGAAAATGGGCTTGCACACAGATTCCGAGTTTGAGCATGAGAACGGTGTCATGAATACATGGATGTCTCTAGGCTTATCATAAAAACATTAAAATCTAACACCAGTCAATACAAAACCAGCAAAATTAAAATGCCAACAAGTTAATGATCATTTAGTTAAATTCATTAAGGTAATAGGATTGTGTCACCATTTCTCAGTAAAGAAAATTTTCTGCCACAAAAAAGGGTGTCATAATTTTAAGGATTTTAAATGGAAATTTATGTAAAAAGGAGTGAATTTTGAAATTTAAAAAATGAAGAACACAATTTTTTGCAAAATAATGTCAATAAAAAATGATACCGACATAGATAAGTATTACATTAATGTATATCAATTCAATAAATGCTGAAATTGTGTAAAATTAATTATCTATAAACGATTAAAAATTAACATTTTATAATAAAACCATATACACATAGTAATTTATAATTGCATGTAAGAGTTATCTTTCTTGAAAAACTTCACAGTAGTGAAAAAGGTAGCCGAGAAGTGGACACATGTGACTCAATGATAAAAAAACCCACTGAATTAATGGCTGGAGTGCTTTGAAATAGTTTAATATTGAGAGAACACACTGTTCTATAAATAATGAACATACAATAATCATCAGTTTAATATTAAACATTAGAATATGCAGAAATTGTGATACTGTCTCCCTACATTGGATTTTCGACTAGGGATGTACTTCCTATTGTAATTATGGCCCTTTAATCAATGCTGTAGGGGTGACCTTGATAATTATAGGTAAGATTTGTCCGAGAGCCTCGACTGTACTCTTATCTGATCCAACATGGAGGCCATTGGTAATACTACAATGTGACCGCAAAATGTCAAACCATGATATAGTGGAATGTTTTACACTCGAGTTTCAAAATCATACATTGAAATAAAAACAGATTTGATGAATATGCAACTGACTTTGGGCTAGACTTGAGGAATTGGAAGCTTTAAATAAATCTAAACATTATTAAACAAGTTATTTCAACTTTTATTTATCACTCTTGTTGGCCCAGATGTTTGTGCGCACGGGGGTCTTAGTGTGGGAGGAAACTGGAGTACCCGAAGAAAACCATGTGGTTGGGCAGGTGAAAGGCAAGTGCGCTATCCACTGCACCACCCGACCACCCAGGAATTTGAAGTTGACAACGTGAACACACTTACTGCTTGTTTAGATTGGGCCATACTGGACAGGGTGGCTGACCTTGCAGCCTGGCTGGTGATAACCTTGGCCGCAGGTTGTTGGGGTCGGGGCTGAGACTGGTACACTGGTTCCTGTGGTATAGTTTTTGGGGCACTCATGTCCTTTTCAGGAATACCAGACTCTAGGTTGTCGGAGTACGCATGGTTCTCGGCACCTACAAGGATCAGAATAATTTGAAAAAAGAAATAAAGAACATATAATAACCTTATACAATCTTTTATTGTACCATCATGGTATTCCTTCAGCCATGTGGTGTACATGTAGGTGATTCGATTTACATTCTACGTATTTAAGTTGGTTTTGATCAATATATCCTATCAATTTTCAGCAAAATTTCAAATTTTTGAAATGTCTAAAACATATTTTACCAGGATAAAAGAAGTACTTAATTTTCACTCAAAACAATAAGTAAAATCAGATAAGAAATTGTGGCCACTGTACAGCTTACATGTACAACCCATAGGGATGGGAATTTGATTGGCATCAACACATAATGTGAGTATCATATTTATCCAGCAATTCTATCTTTGCGTATTGCAGAGTTATCTTCTCTTGTGAGCAGGTATTGATTGTTATGTCATTGGTTTGTGTGAGAAAATTACGTCGTTTTCTCAAAAATTGATGACGTTACTCTCACAAACCAATGACGTAACAATCAATACCTGCTCACAAGAGAAGATAACTCTGCAATGCGCAAAGACGGAATAAGCCCGTGCCTGGTAAAGAGCCCACCCATACCTCCTGGAAGTAGAAACGCCAACCAATGTTATTTCGCTGTAATAGGTCTACCCCCTAATTTGAGTCAAAAATCACAATGCAGAATATTTTTTTATAATGTTTCTCCATGTTTGTATTTCATTTTTCATTTTTTAATTCTAACAACCAGAAAATATTGATGAATTGATGATCATTCTTAAAACACACTTTGAAACTGAAGAAACTGATCTTTGAAATAAGTTATCAAAATAATAATTTTACTATCACAGGGTTGTGTGCTATGTTTTTGTTTTTGTTTTTATTTGTTTGTTGATTGTTACAAGGATATTTAAATCATGAAAATTTACCGACAATTATCATATAAAACACATCCTTTATCCATCAGGAATATTTGAGAGATTACAAAACTGAGTAAATATTTGACAAAGGGCATAATTTGGTGGGTTTAATTTTGGATAAATTAAACAAAACATCACGACATCCAACACATTGTGATTTGCAGTATGTACGATTTACTTTATCCTCAACACTCTAGGGGTTACTCTCACTCACGCTCTCTGCATCCCTGGAATATGACATAACAAAATTGAAGGCTCCTGACTCCTCAGCCTAGCAGTCAGTGTGAGTTGTGTCCCTTAAAATTACGTATTCACCAACCAATCAAAAAACATTTAACAAAATTGCTACAGCAAAAAATGTAAACATGGAAGCACCCCTTCGTCAGTCTACCTGGGACAAATTCAAGTGAACCGAACTGATACATCTACAAGAAACAATGATCTAGGCACTGAGTGACAGAAAAGATGTGTTTATCAAACTAGCGGTAAGACGGGTATTGAAAAGTCACATTCGTTTCACGGTCTAAATCTGCCAAGGGTGGAGAGTAGGTAGACTGGATTGTACCGGATCGTAACCCTTGGCTAACAAAGATTTTCTTGTATTATGATTTTATTTTCGTACCTGGTTGAGGACCCTCTCCGGACTGGAACATTGTCATAGCCTCAAGGTTGAGTGCACACACGCCACGCATGAATGCTTTTTTCATGCCTTCCTCATACTGGTCCCTCTCAGTGTGCAGTTTGGCCACCTCCATCCTCGAGGCCTCCAGGGCTTCGTTCAGCTTAGAAAAATAAAATAAAATAAAACGTAGAAATCTCCAAAATGTATGCCAACAGCACATAAACAGATGAAACATTGAAATGGTTAACAGCTGTGTGTGAGAAAAAAAAATTTTTTTTTTAGAAAACTTCTGTATGACATTAATTAATGCCCCATGGAAGTAGGTAAACTGATGATAATGAACCTTGGCCACATTCGTTTATTGCAATCCAAACGGTTGAACCGGTTGGACCAGAGTTATTCGTTTATGAAAATTGATGCTGCTTTCAGACAAACCTTGACAAAGCTTTGAAAGGCCTCCATAAACATTTATGGGTCCAACAGGATTTATAATTGCAAAATATGCAAAAAGGGAGCCCTGTTGACAAAATAGCGCCTGAAAGCTTATAAATAGTAACAGTGACCTTGGTGCTGACCTCAGGACCCTGAAATATGAAATCATCCAATGTTTTTTCATACTTGACCATTGTATAAACTTCAATAAAAATCTGATGAGAAAAGAAGTCGGAAGAGCCATGACAATGAATTGCAACAGCACGGGACGGACATGTGGGCTACCCACACTACAGGTGCCATCATAAATCCAGATTTTTGTGAAAATAAAATAAACATTCAATATTTCTTACTATCAACAAATATTTTCAAAGTTGAATTTACGCTCTCATTATGAGTAGAAAGAGTAAAATCAAAATGGGCGAAAATGCTCTGTGGTTTTCAGCAGATGCGGGTACCTACCGACGCTATCTTGGTCTCGTAGTTATTTGTCAGGGACATACAGACTTCCTGCGCCTTGCCCTGACAAGCACGCTCCACGCGGTTACGCCATTTAGACTCAATCACAGAGTGCCACGCGTCCCAGACCGTACGTGTCATCTTCCTCTCGTAATGTTTAGCAGCCAACTGACCGGCAAATTTCTACAAGAATGAAACATCCCGGTTAAATCGAACAAATTATTTGCCGGGTTCTAAAAATTTGAAAAATATTGAATCACTGTAAAATATATTACTGACAAATCAGTCAATACAAAAAAAAACAACCCAGAAAACTGCATCAAATATATAACAACTCACTGAACCTGTCATTTTCTATTTAAAACCTCAAGAATAAGTGCTGGATGCAAATCAGTGTGATCAATTGCAATCTACAATTTAATTAAATGGATCCTTTTCAACTGTATTGCTAAAATCAAGTGGTTCTACAATATTAAATTGAAGTATTTTTGTAAACTCTATGAATCCCATTAAAATTCTTTGAATAAAGGACTCGGGACGTGTATGTAGATATAGATCACTGCAGTGAAATTCACAACTTTTTATATTTACAAGAATAAGCAGGTATCCTCTGATCATGGTGTTTTAGATTGAAAGGAAAACTAACAAATATTCATAAGAATTTTACCTCTCGTTTAAGATCGTTATGCTTGATCTTCCATTCACCGAACTTTTTTAACAGGTCGTGGCGCTCCCGCTGTTTCTGCAGAGCGTGGGTCATGTTTGATATCACCTGGTCCTTTCGTGAGATTGACTGCTCGTACGTGTGTAGTAATTCCTTCATGCTCTCCACCTCGTTCTGGAGGGCTGTCATCTCACTGACATGCCTAAAACAGAATAAACTCCGATATCATTTCACGCATCTTTATGTAAGGTGGTGGGGTGGCACAGTGGAAAGCGCACTTGTCTTTCACCAAGTCATCCGGGGTTAGATTCCCCAATCGGACGTGGAAAGGTATAGGGTCACCTGCCTGATCACGTGGGTTTTCTCCGGGTACTCTGGTTTCCTCCCACATTAAGACCCCCTGCTTGCTAAAATCTGGGCCAACAAGAGTGATCAATTTAAGTTGAAATAACTTGTTTGATAATTGTTGTAAAATAAATAGAGTTTATATTTAATGTTATTTTTTACTTTTTCAGCACTGCAGATCACCCGTGGCATTTTTTCTTTTATGATTATTTTCCTTATTAGGAATTGAGTGTGTTGATACCCCAGGACCAGTCTGACCAACTGAAACTTGACTGTATTTCATATTAAGTGAATACTATACAATATCATATGGTACAACATAAAGTTAATTAACAGTTAAAGTATGGGTATGAAGGATATAGCAAGTTTATGATCCCCCGAGGCCAGGACTATTTTCCGAAGGGAAGCCGAGGGAAATAGTCCTGGACAAGGGGGATCATAAACTTGCTATATCCCGAAATACCCATACTTCAACTGTTTTATTATACCGATACAAACACTCCCTTACAATATTCTAAATATTATTAGACAACAAATTTTCCGCTGGCCAGAAATTGCCGACCTAATTTGATTGCACTGATTGGTCAATATTCGGTCAGGCCCCGCCCAAGATGCCACTCAATTTCCCGCATTTTCTGGGGGAAATAGTTTCAAAACTATCGCACCCCTCCAGACGAACTATTTCCCTGGCATGCAGTTAGAGGGGAAAAAGCTTGTTTATGTGGTCACTTTTGTATAGTGTAAAATAAGTAGAGGTATAATAATCATACATACAATTGAAGATAAATTATTTACTTGTCAATGGAGAATGCTAAGGAAGAGATATAATGAAATTATAATTTTAAGTTTCCTGAGAGAAAAGTATTTTATAGGGGCAACTTATTTAATACTATATATACGTGTACCGGGAAATTTTCTCCACTGTTTAATTTCATCTTTTTCACCCTCCGTCATGAATGCAAATTTATCCTTACAGCAAAAATTATTAAACAGTATAATATTGAATGTGAAAGGAAAAATTAACACCGGTTGGATATACAGTTTACTGGCGTATGACGAAAATTTGACTGAGCAAAATGTTTCAGGTATATGGTATATAATATGAGTATTAACAGGTGAGGCTATTCCGTCTTTGCGTATTTCAGAGTTATCTTCTCTTTTGAGCAGGGATTGATTGTTACGTCATTGGTTTTTGAGAGTAACGTCATAAATTTTTGAGAAAACAACGAAATTTTCTCACACAAACCAATGATGTAACAATCAATCCCTGCTCCCAAGAGAAGATAACTCTGCAATACGCAAAGACGGAATAGCTAATGCCTGTGACAGAAGACTTACTTTTCCTGTGCCCGGAGGAGTTGTTGTCGCCCCATCTCAACTATTCGTATCTTTGACTGACCATATTCTGCCTGGATGAAAAATAACAGAAAATGTTACTATACACTAATAATTACATTTAACAAAGTATGACATGAATTCGCATAACTTATAAAAATGTATTAACATATCTAAACATCTATTACAATAAACCTCAAGTCAGATGGAACAAAATTAAATAAATATTGTCAATCCTGTTCGAACCACATGAAATTATAACCGCTAAAATAAATCGTAGTTCAAACCTTCTGAGCCAACATCGGCAAAAATCACGGCAAACAGTCAAGTTGTTGATACGGAACAACGACGGCCTATTACGATATATTTGCAAAACTGGAGATGAACAATGGTATATATCCTTCTTATATTTACTTACATATTTATAATCTATTAACAAGTTCAATTGTAAAGCAGAGACCAGTATGTAGGCCGCACAGCAGTAGATAATTTCTCGAGTATTGGCAGACGGAAGTTCAATTGTAATGTAATGTAATGTAATGTAATGTAATGTAATGTAATGTAACGCGGAGGGTGGATTGAAACTGCAATTGCAGATTTAATGTTTGATCAACCGCTTAACAAATATTGTTTTGGCACATGTATAGGTAATATATAAGGTATGTAATATATCAGAGATCGGTGGCCAGGTCGCGATATAATCAATCCTTGAACAATTGATATGAATTTTAGTACTCAAATCGTGTGTTCAAACAACCGAAACGTGTGTAACCAGTGTTTGAACTGTCACTAAACAGAAAATTATTTTTTTATTATTCAAAAAGTTTGTTCGAATTATCTGCCGAACTGACCGGAGTTTTACTATATCTAATGCTGATTCTGAAGAGAGAACAAAGTTGTGTTACCAGGACATTTCTCTTCAAGTCAAGACACCACTGGTCCATAAGGTTCTCCATTTTGTTGACATCAGGATCAACTGTCGAGGTATAGATGTTTTCTTCCTCCATTCCCCCTCCTGATATGTTTATCTCCCTCAACAGACGACCAGGAATCTTCTCCAACTCCTCCTCTACAAACGCATCAACTTCTCATTAACAAATCTTGAAATTTTATAACAGAAAATTAAAATTTTAATATTTGCCCTGCATGTATTCTTCCTGGGAAAGACACTTTTTCTAATATCAATATATTCTGTAAGACCTCAGACATGTTTTAATTCTGAGCTACTTAGGGCCAAAATATTTTGAATCAAAAATCCTTCTGAATAAAGATGTCACCTTGAAGTGACATTTGTCTCGTACTCAAAACATTTTCACATTTTAGGATCCCTGCCCACTGCCGACACTAGGGCTACATTCACGTAACCAGGGTGAAACGTTAAGTGTGGCACAGAAATTGTCCATGATAAACGAACGCACTTAGATCATTCTATAAGCAGAGCTGAAAATGCCCAGTTTTGGAGAATAAAAAACAATGTATCAAGAATATTATGCCCTCGTTTCATGCGTCCACTAAATTACATGACGTATCTTAAAGACTACACGTGACTTGACATTGTTTTAGAATGAAATAACGCAAAGTAGCAATAGTCAGCATTTTAGTTTCGGTCAGGAATGTCTGGATCCCTCAATCTACACGTGCCAAATTTTCCCGAGGTCAGCCTCGGTCCAGATCTGTGCCTGTCATTTTCTTTACAGGTTCAATCGTTTCAACCGGATACGCGAATGTACCCTAGAGAGTTCCACTATAGTTTTTTCATATAAACAGTAACCTCCCCTGAATTTCTATAATGGCTATCAATATAGATCAATTTGACTAATGAACTTCTATTGACAGGTTAAATCAACAGTTCAACAATCTAAGGTCTAAAGTTTTAATCCTAGTCTAGCCTTGCTGAAGTTTTACACATGAAACACTGCTGATGATTGTATTTTATTTTATTTTATCTTTTTAATTCTTTCATAAGTTTAAAAGTTTAATTTTCTTTTTTGGAAATGATTTATCAAAGCTATAGTCAAACTGAAAAAGAAAAAAGTTTCTGAAATAGTTACAGCTTTTGGTAGTGGTACAGGGATCCTTAATGTTATTGAAAAATTTGTAATAATTTGTGACACATTCTAAATCTACATAGTAACGTATACATTGTCAACACTCAGAATGCCATTGGGCAAAGTCTTGTTAGTTTTCATAATTCACCGATAGATATTTTCCCCTGAAAAGTCTAAATTGTTAACAAATTATTATTTGCATTTTTTTGGGTGTGTGTGTTTGGATGATAATTTTGAAAAGTTATGCATAAAGTCTTGCTTTCGAATATCAATATTTTTGTAAATTTACCAGACAAAACATTTCAAGATTAATTTTCACTCAGCTTACCAGGCCCTGGAAAAAGTCGCCAAGGCAAATGTATGCCAATTTTTAAAGGGACATCACTCCAGCACAAACCACAGAAAATTCATCTAAATTTAATAAAATCACCCATTTATGAATTTATTGTTTCACAAATGTTTACCCTGAGTGTGGGCGGAGTCGCTGTCCCTCAGGTCCAGTCTACGTTGTATGGGGCTCTGGCCGAAATCTGGCAGCCCTGTTTCCCTCGTCACTTTGACAATCAGACTTGCCTCGGACTCTTCATCTGACCCTGCCATCTCGCCAGCCTCAACCTCTGATGGACTCGCTGATAACACCAAACAAAATTTATTATAAAATGTGTTTATTTATCAGCTAGCACGATGAAAAAAACATTTCAAGAGGTCTCAAAAGTCTAATTAATTTTGTATTTTCATCCTAGGGATTCATTTTTGTGTGTTGTAAGCTCACACTTAGAAAAACCTAGAAACGATTTTCTAAATAATCTGCTCCTTTCTTTAGTGTAGTTTTCGATTGTCTAAAAACAAAATCTAAAAAAAATTTTTTTATTATAATTTGACGGATTTACATTTTTCAGTACGTTTTACAAGCCGTGTTAGAACTTCAGGAATTAGAATTATTGATTAGATAAGAAAGATGCCATGTTATAGACACTGATCAAGTTTATCAAAATCATCTAATGGTTTAAAGACATTTTAGAGAGAGAGAAAAAAGAAGAAAAAACTACTTGATCCACATTTTCACACTTCTGGTGAGCCACAGTTCTAGCTTAAGTTATATAGCTGTAGAATTTTCATTTGTCACAATTTTTATCAATTTTCAGCTGGAATCATATAGGATCTGTAAGAATCAATGGTCTATGACTACGATATGTTTATGAACAGTTTACCAGTTTTTTGCTTGGTAATGGTGACCAGTGTTTCAGGCTGTGGGAAGGAATCACGATGGTCGATCAGAGTGTGGGACGCCTTGTTGGGGTCATAGCTCGGAACAACAACCGCATACTTCAGCAGTTCCTCGTACTCCTCCTGTAAAACAAGTGTAACAATTAATACAGGGCTGATAACACCTGTAAGGGCAGTATGGTGAAATACAGGTCTTACACCAATTACTGTAGGGGGACAGTGTAAGGGTGAGGTGATCATGTCAGGATGTCGAAAGCAGCTGGTCAGGGTTCCAAATTTTACCACTTTGACCCATACACCAGAAACTTTATCAAAGAGGTACTGCATTGGCAAGATTAAAAACTCACTTCCTTCTCTTCTAATAAAAGTTATCAAGAAATACACTGAATTTCCAGGAATACAATACAGTGAAATATTGTAATATAAAAACTGCTTGCAATGTGCATGCCCAGCCCAAATTTACAATGAGTTATTTTTTTTAACAGATAAATGCTCAGATAGTTTTAGATACATTCATGAAAAATGCGTTCTAGATATGAAAATGAAAACCCTTTCTATGTTCAAAGACTTGGAGAAATTTTAAAAGATATCATTCTGTTCTATAGACTCTAATGCCATTTACCAACTCGCTCTCTCTTTTAAATTTTATTGTAACTATACATCGTTTCTTTCCACAATGGCTTTATTATACGACGCTTTTATACTTGCCAACTCTCCCTTTTATGGAGGGAGACTCCTAATTTGGACCCTAAAATTGAGCATTTTTCAACCAGTGAATTTGTTTAACTATTCCTATTTTCTATGATCTGAGGATGTAATCTGAAAGAATAGTTCAAGAGATGCCCTTTTAAAGTGTTATTTTGTCCCTGGGGGTAGACACACACATTGTATTTATATTTTAATTTTGAACATGTGTTATCTCCCCATGGGCATTTCGAAAAAAGTTGCAAATATATATATAATTAATATGGGGCAAAGAAGTAATTCCAACATTGTGGTGCAAGTTTAGGTTGTCAAATTTTCGGAGCGATCCGCTCCTTTATCAAGACACAGTGAAACAGGACAGTTACATATACATATACATCATATTACAAGAAGATAGAACTGATATACTATAATTGAAAATATAGCTATTATATAAAACCAATAGTCCCATCGGCTAAAGACAGCCGAAGGCAGCAATTAAGCTGAGAGCATCGTGGACAAGGAACGCTGATAGTCTAAATATCAGAACGCTTGCTGGCTCTGCTCTATAGCGAAAGTGCACTAAGACGACTCTCCCAATGAAACACAATGACAACCCGCCAAAAGATAACCGAAATCCCTCTAGAAAACTCTTTAACTACTAAATATATGTAGAGGACATGTTCCACGTTTTTGATATCTCGTCCCTTCTTTCTGGTGCTTATCTCTCGTTTACCCACTTTATGTGATAGTGCATCTTGCGCAAGAATAGGTCCTCTACACATATTTAGTAGTTAACGAGTTTTCTAGAGGGATTTTGGTTATCATTGGGCGAGTCGTCTTAGTTGCACGTCCTTCTTAATTTTCTACACCTTCTTGCTTATTATTTTAAGATACGCAGGTTTTTATTATCTGAATTTTATTTTTTGAAATGGTCACTCCATGTTACAAGATTATTTTGGCCCTATATATATAAATGACCATTACTATTGATGAGCCATTCAACAAATGAAATTGTAAATCTGAGATACTTACCATGAGTCGTGTTGACACTGAGCTCCCCGGCGAGTCTGGAGGAGCGTCGGGAAGACTTAGAGAACCGTGAGATGACATTTTCTGCAAACTAGAATGAATAATAAACAAATTTAAATATTAGTAAACAATGTTTTTTTTATTTACAATAATGTCCTGGTCAGTAGTTTAGACCATTGTGACCATATATCTTAAGAAGTTCCAAGCATAAGAAAGGGAAGTTCTCAAACTATACACTGATGCCAATTTACGAATTTGTTCGTCAAATAAAAAAGGTTACATAAACAAACAAGACCGGGAGAATAAAGAGAATTTAAGTCAAAGATTGAATGCTGATTTTTATATATATATATATATACTCAAGTATAGGGTCATATAATATATTTTTTTAAGACAAGAACAAAATTTTCGAAAGGACTGAACAGATAGTGGTTTTGAGAAAATAATCACCACTACAAAAAAAATAACCTAGTTTAAAAGTCATCATAATGACCTACCTACTGGCTACAAAAGTACATACCTATATAGCTACTGGCTACATATTTATATATATATAATGACATACGTACTGGCTACATACCTCTAGAAGACTTTACCTTTATAATACTATGGTCAACTTAGAGAAGCAAAGGAAGTTTTCCTGTTAATTTTTTATTTGATATATGTAAAAAAAAAATGTAAATGAAATATAGTAATAGCCAATGCACTGGCCCATCAGGCAAAATTTATATGGGGGTGGGGGTGGGACCTAGCTGCGATAATGCAGCTTTGGACGACAGACGGACGATTTCTGATAGATGGTCGTAGTCGGAGCGGAGAGTAGGCAGGGTATGAATATTCATTCTAGGTGGGACCATGTCACTACTTGATGCTGGCCAATCAGTATCCTTTATTTCTTTTAACAGATTCAATAGATTTTCCCTATCAGTTTCCCAATAACAGATGTAGGGGTGTCAGTCAACCAGCAAGCGACCCCTCTCAGCAACAACTTGCATTGCAACCTTTTTATTGTCAAGAAAATACATTCAACAATTTCAAATGCAGTCTATCAATAGATTCAAGTACCTGAAATTAAGTTGACTAGGACAAGACCATTTGATAACAGAATTCGATAAACTGAAATAGCACTGGTAAGATTTGTTAAACACAGAACTCAACTATTAGTGGTACTTTACAGAAAGTGTAATTTACACGAAACTTGGTTTATAAGGGAAAGCGATTTGTTTAGCAATAACAAATTATTGGTTTTTGTACTGAATGTGCAACGATGTTTTCAGCAATATCCCATTTTTTGCTGCCTTTTTTTCAATGCAGTTCAAGTATATTGCTGTCGATATAACGAGGAAAATTCACATAAACGAGGGTCAACCTCTCATATGAAATGTCGACCTTTTAAATTCAAACTTGAGGCAATGCCGATATTCATGTTTTAGAAGATCTACACCCAAAGTGTATTTTTATGTCTTTTCTATTTAAAGGGATGTTTTGTATTTTTTGGCGACGCACGATATTTAATATCGAAATTCAAAGAACATCAGTATAACTCAACTAATAACTGCTCAGAACTTCAGAAGCAAGCTGTGACACGCTCGCAATGAATGCCGAATAGGATTTTGTTTCCTTTGTTTTAGTCTATTACATATGGTGCAACACATGATAAGCATAACATCGTATATGTTTGTGCTATCCCCATCGGTTGTTACCTACCGTGATTATTTAGTTATCTACAAACAATTATTTCACACGCTCAATCTCAACAAGCCAGATCCATATCCGCCATCATGTAAACAATTCAAGTTCCGCTTCACGACGTTACAATCATTTTCATTGGCTGAAACGAATACAAAACGATGTATTTGATTGGCCGATTCAGAGATGTCTGTGGTCAAGGTGCTGTATTCAAAGAAGCTGAGGTGCGATGCTGAAAGATTTCTCCATAGGTTTTTCGGAAATAAGGAGTGTGGTAGTGAAGTTAACGTAAATAATCTAAGAACATAGCCAACAGTGATAAATTGAACTACTATTGTATTTCAGAGGATATATATTGCACATCGACGTATAAAATATCTGTCATTTACTTCGAGAATCGCCCGACCTGGGAGGTAAATGGAATAGCACCAAACCTAGCACGTGCAAGTTGAAAAGAAAATTTTGCTAGAACACTCACGTAAAATCCCTCGATTCAGAAGACTCTGGGTAAGTTTTAGCCTTTATCACACAATGTAATGATCTAAACAATTAACGTGTAACAATGCTAAACACCGCAGTGGCATCGTGTGAATTTCCAAATGGGGAGGAGCCGCTGGTGCATTTCCTGTCATTCCCTTTCCCTTTAACCTACTAGATCTGCCACAGACCGAACGGTAGATGGTAGATGGATGTCGCTAACAATCCGGATGGATGTCGCTCATTGATGCGTGACCGTCATGTGTCCCTACAAATTTATGTTGGCGTCCGCCTTGAAGGGAGGGGGAAAGGGAGGGGGGAATACATACAGAATAGTATGAGGCAGATACCCATGGTCTGGACGTCGGAGTAAGAACCAAGACGATGATCTTAAAATTGTTGAAATTGGTCAGTATGCTGTACAGTTGAAAAGTTTGTCAGCTTCCTGCTTTGTTTATAGGGTAACTTCAAGGTTCCCTCTGCATGTACTGATGTAGTAAGTTTCCTTCATCAATTGAAAGCAGGAATCCCCCGCCCCGCAATGCATAATCCCATTACCTATAGCATCTCTGCTGTATGTATGTGTACATAGCTATATATAGTCACTCAAATGAATCTTGCAGAAAATGGGAAAGTTGAGGGATTTCCCATCCTGATAGTGACGGTAAAAAGTGACCAGTTAAATCAAGCCGACCATGAGATCAAAATGGTTCAAGAAAAAGGGTGAACATTTTCAACTTGGCACCATATATATATCTGCCACATATATTTATATATTAAATAATATACAGACTTGTGTCAATCGCTCAGCATTGTGTGGGGTAGTGACATCATGAAGAAAAATACATAAAAAATTAGACAAATGTTAACCCCAATTCGGAACATCTACCGCATCGAGCTAAAAGTAACCCCAGATTTCCGCAGTAACCCCTCATAAAAGTAAAACCCTTTATAATCACAAATCTCACAAGGTCTTTTAAGATAGCCCATTAAAAACTGATACCGCTTGTTATTACAACATTTGCTTCATCTTCATCTTGTTTACTTCCTCCGTCGGTACCGACGTTATCGGCGATTACGGAAGTCGGTCTTGTGCTGTTGTGCGTTAATTATTATTGTAGATAAGTGATTGTAAGCCTTCATTTTTTAGCTCACCTGGCACGAAGTTGCCCGGCATCAATATTTTACTTTAAAGAACTTCTTCTTAATCACCAAAATGCCCAGGGAGATGATATTTGGCCAGTAGCATGCTGAGATGAAGGGCTACAAAGTTTGTTCAAATGAATGACCTTCACCCATATTCAAGGTCACAGCGGTCAAATATGTTAAAAACTTTAAACAACTTCTTCTTAATAACCAAAATACCCAGGGAGATGATATTTGGCCAGTAGCATGCTTGGGTGAAGGGCTAACAAGTTTGTTCAAATGAATGGCCTTCAATGATATTCAAGGTCACAGGGGTCAATTGTATTAAAAAACCTTTCAACAACTTCTTCTGAATAACCAAAATGCTCAGGGTGATGATATTTGGCCAGTAGCATGCTTGGGTGAAGGGCTAACAAGTTTGTTCAAATGAATGGCCTTCAATGATATTCAAGGTCACAGGGGACAAATATGTGAAAAACTTTAAACAACTTCTTCTTAATAACCAAAATACCCAGGGAGATGATATTTGGCCAGTAGCATGCTGAGATGAAGGGCTACAAAGTTTGTTCAAATGAATGGCCTTCAATGATATTCAAGGTCACAGGGGTCAATTGTATTAAAAAACCTTTCAACAACTTCTTCTGAATAAACAAAATGCTCAGGGTGATGATATTTGGCCAGTAGCATGCTTGGGTGAAGGGCTAACAAGTTTGTTCAAATGAATGACCTTCAATTATATTCAAGGTCACAGGGGTCAAATTTGTTTAAAATCTGTAAACAACGTACCTCTTCTGAATAACCATGGGTCCCAGGATGTTTATACTTTGCAAGTTGCATCCTAATATTATTATTATGTACAGTGATTTTTTTTATATTTTTGTTATTTGCTATAGGATAAAAACAGGTTAAAAGCAGCTATAATAAGCTGTGAGAGTGTGTCAGTTTAGCTTACAATCAAGTGATTGTTTCCTACTCTAACGTGCCACATACTTGCCTGAGGCAAGTCAACACGCTCATATGATCAACAATGTGGGATTTGTGCAGTTAACACTTCCTGCTTGGACAAACACGCTGCAAAGAAAATTCACATACTTTACCCCTCATGTTCATTTGACAAATGGAATGAGGGAGTTCTCTCTCATTGGAGGTTTAATAGGTTTAAACCAAAGGCCCTTGTCATTCTAACAAATCTGTCGTGATGGGGTACACCAGAGACATGTAAAACATTATTATAATAGTAAATACATGTATTACAGATACCTCTACCTGTTACTCCTATAACATGAGAGGCCGCTGGTCGGCCTTTTTTCAATCGGATATGATTTTGCCGACTGCGACCTCTCATTTCCGAAGCACTAATTCTTTGATGCAGTTTCCGCCCGAAATCCGGGCGGAACAAAATCGGCTTGAAAAACTCACATCAGTGGTTAACAGTTCATGACAACGATGTTTACTCACGGTTGATATAATATAGATCTCATATATATGTCACAGACGCAAATATATAGTATATTACGGAATACAACACTCAAAATACATGTCCATGTCGTTGTAGCACATCTCTGACCTACATTTAAAACATGGCTTCTGGATTAATACAAAATATCAGGGGGGATTTCAAACGGAACGAAATGATACGGAGTTTGTTTGTATTCCGCTTGTGAAACATAACATGTAATCCATTTTTGTATTAACCGGAAAAATCATGGCAAATGCTGTCTGCTTCGCTTCGAATGAGGAAAAACTCATTATTTATGTCTTCGACATGAACTTTTTCTCATAGAATCATGGATTTATGGAAAGGAATATTTATTGGACACTTTTGACTATTTAAATGTATGTAAACACGATATTCTCTTTCTTAATCCGAACTTTGAAAATGTGATAGTCAGCATCGGGAAAATCAGCTATGGGCAGTTAGAGGTTACGCGGCGCCTGTCAAAAGTTTTTCGCCGTGTAAAACCTCTAACATTGTTGGAGTACTCTACCTGTATGATTTATTGACACTTGATAAAGGAAGGGAAGGATGAGTAAACAGGGATCAATCTAGACTTCATTCACTACCATTTATGGGTAGTTTCTTCATCAGAGGGAAATTCCCCCTGTGTGCTTCAAAATTCCCCCATTTCAATAAGAAAATAGACGTTTTTTCTTCAAAATATTTCCCCTATATATATATATATGTTTTCTTTAAAGTTCAACAGATAAAATGCGTAATACTGCATATATACTTTTCTCCACATAATTTAAACAAAAAATCTACAATTTTAAGCTAAAAATTGTTTAAAAATTGAAATACACTGCACACCTGTATGTTGGACAAAACATTTATCTTTTACCTTCATGACGCTAGAGCCTTGTAAGAAATTCTTATAATTTCCCCCAAATCTAAAAAAGGGTAATTTCCCCTAAAACCTAGATCGATCCCTGGTAAACAGAATATTATTTTGCACACTACTACCTCTCATAGGACATGTGCATGTACATCGTAGGAAATAACTTTATAAACAACTTGGTCTATGAAATAAAACATTCCTACAGACCCACAGTGATTTCCATGGTGATTGTATGTGAGTCTATAGTACTGTTAACTTCAAGTGGTCACTGCAGCGGGTCAAGTTTTTTGTTAAGCAAACTGTAGGTCACCTTTTCAACGTTTGTTCACTGAAATTTGAACTTTTTTTAGAAACGAAAAATGAACACTTATGATTCTCTTTTGTTTGTTTTTTAGGCTTCAATAGAGAGTTAGAAAGGAGTACAATGTCTGCCGTTAAACTTGAGCGACTACCAAAAGAGGGAAGCGGAAAGAACCAGAGTCAAGAAAAGCAGTACAAATGTGAAATTTGTGGTAAGGGGTTCATGCGAGAGGATCGTTTACAGGGGCATTTGACAATACATATTGGTAAAAAGACTTACAAATGTGATATTTGTGATAAAGAGTTCAGTTCCAACGCTGTTCTTCAGAAGCACTGTAGTACGTTTGTGCACCTGTATTCAGATGATAAACCGTTCAAATGTGAAATTTGTGGGAAGGAGTTTTGTTACGAGACAGTACTGCAGAAACACCTACGCATGCACATGCACACAAACTCGGAAGACAAAGCCTTCAAATGCGATATTTGTTACAAGGAGTTTTGTCACGAACCTAGTCTTCAGAAACACCTGCAGTTGCACGTTTATACTGGATCAGAAGACAACCCTTTCAAATGTGATATTTGTGGCAAGGGTTTTGTGAAGAAGGAATGTTTGCTGAAACATCTAAACTTACACACTGGCAAACTGCCTTTCCGATGCAAAGTATGTGATAGAGGATATGGTACGCTGGAGAGATTACAAAAACATGTCCGTCCTGAAGAAAAACTTTGCACATGTAATGTCTGTGAGAAAAAGCTTTGTATGGAGTCTGACCTTCAGAAACACCAGCAAAGCCATATGCATGTTGTGGTTAAATCTAGATCTACTAAACGGTACCAATGTGACGATTGTGGGAGTGAGTTTGGTAGGAGAGACAGCTTGATACGTCACCATCGTGTTCATACCGGAGAAAAACCGTACAGTTGCCACATTTGTGATAAACGATTTAGTGAATTAGGAAACTTGCAGGCACATCGGCTCGTTCATTCAGGCGTTAAACCATACATGTGCTTGGTGTGTGACAAGACGTTTTTCTACAAGGCAGACATGCAAACACATATGTTTATACATTCTGGGGAAAAACCATTCGAATGCGATATCTGCAGCAAGGCGTTCAGTCGGAACGCAATGTTGCAGAGACATAATCTGGTGCATCAGCGAGTCAAAAACTACAAGTGTGATATTTGTCAAAAAGGTTTTGGTCGTAAAGACAACTTACTAAGGCATCTCCGCAGACACAAGGGAGAAAAGCCGTACAGCTGTGATGTATGTAGCGTTGGCTTCAACGACCTGGAGAGTTTACAGGGACATGTCCATGCATGAATTATACGAAGTGACAGTATGTCATAAATGTATCATATAACTTCTCACAAGATATGTTGTACATGTCTCCAAACCTCTCACTCATATTATCCATGATTTGTGTTGGAGTTATGTCCCTTTAATCAATTCACCCTGCGTCCGTGGTCAGTCGTCCGTGGTCCGTCGTCTGTGATCCGTCCTTAAACGATTCTTGTTATCAATATTTCTCAAGAAGTACCAGAGGGATCTTTCTCAAATTTTATATGTGGGTTCCCCTTGGTCCTTAGCTATGCAGGGTAACTTTTGAGACTGATCGGATAACAAAATGGCCGACAGGCAGCCCTCTTGGATTTTGATAATGAAAGTTTGTTATTGGTATTTCTCAAAAAGTACTTGAGGGATCTTTTTCAAATTTTATATGTAGGTTTCCCTTGTTCCCTTGTTGTGCAGCATTGCCTGAAATGGACAGTCTCTCGCTTGCCAATGGCCATTAAAGTCTTGCTCGGGCGACCAAAAGTTCTCAAAAGTGAAGTAGTCACTGGCCCAACAAAAATAGTTTAGGCTGTTGAAAAATTTATGATTATAAGAAATTATAGTCCCTTCCACATTAACTGGGGGGTAGTACATTTTTCAGTTGTCATTACTTCGATTGAATCGAACTGTCCGTGATATAGGAAATATGATGATTTTTTTCCCCAGATTTTCTATATAAATACTGCCAGAGTGTCTTCTTTGAGGTGCAAGTTTTGTGTATTTCTTTTTGGGAAGACCTGAATGGAGAAGTGGATCAATTAAAAATATAATGTTTTATTCAGTTTTACATATAACAAACATTGTCATGTTAAATGTAATTTAAATGTGCTGAAGCATTGTGTTAAATGCTGTGGAAATATTTCTTGCCAAAATTATTTGGGCCACCAATATGTCATTTGGGCCAGTGCTTCAAATTCTTTACTCGCCCCAAAATTTGTTTTTGGGCCAGCCAATGCAGGTCCCCCACTATCCTTTATTATTCATGTTTACTTTTGAAACTGATCAGTTAAACAAAATTGCCTACTGACAGCCATCTTCGTTTTTGACATTGAAGGTTTGTTAGTACTTTTTCTCAGGAATAACTTAGGGATCTTTCTCAAATTTGATATGTAGGTTCCCCTTGATCCCTCGTTTTCCATGTTATATTTTGAGACTGATCATAAACACAAAATGGCTAAAGGAAGAACTAAACAGATCTTTCTCATATTGCAATGATCAATTCTATGTCGTTCACATTAAGTACTGTACTAGTAAATATGTGAAATGACAAACTCACTTTGAAGGTTGGCTTTCATACACATCAGTATTAAGTTTAGATCAAAAGTTACCTCAAGGTGCATTTACTGTTAACATGACTCGATCAAACAGATTAGAGGAAAGAAGAGAAAAGATCAAACAGACAAAGAACTAATGAATATAGTACAATGGTGGGCGCCAAGATCCCTCTGGGATCTCTTGTATTACTATCAAATTGTTAAGAATCTCTCAAGAAAACTTTTGTGTACATTTTAATGTATCAATTACTTGTGCCATAATTATTGAGCTAAGCTACTAGCTGAAATAATAACCTTTTTTTTGGCAATTAAAATTCTTTGCTTTTTTTATTGTTTGGTATGCATGTTATACTTTTTAGCCAGATGTGGCATTTTTAACGATCATGCAGGTTTTTTTAAGTTCTATATATGTATGATTTGCATGTAGTTTATACAGATCATGACAACTCTTTTAGAGATATCTGTAACTAATTCATTGTTATAATTAATTCTTTTAACAGTTTTGGAAGTTTTATTGAATAAAGTTCTGTTTCAGTTCATAAAGTTGTTTTTAATTTGTGCATTTTCACCCATTTAATACTTATACATTTATATACTTTATGGTAACTATAGGGAGGCATTTAATTTAAATTAACATGACGATACTGTTGTCACGATACGATGCGTATCACGATATATATATGGTAACAGTAGAATCAAAGCAAAAGGACATCTCCCAAATTAAATGGCAATATGATTACAACTGGAAATAGACTTGGCCCAAATTAAAATGGACAAATTTAAAGTTTCAAACTATTTATGTCTTTCAACATGGATGCCGAGCTGGAGCTGTCACTTGTCATGGGGGAACATATATGATTGACTAAATTCAGAAACAAAACAAAATCGGAAAATATTGTAGGTGTATCCTGAGCTTCCAAAAAATACTTTGTACCATAGGGTATTCAAAATGTCCCAATATATATCACTGTAGCTGTATGGGTTCTGATAATAGCCCACCCTTAATCCACAGAATACCCTAAAGAAAAGACATTGTTTTCTGCTATTTTCAAATTTTAAAGAGTCATTGTACATGAATCCCCAATAATCACCGATTTCCTTCTGACATAACTCTGGAATTGTCCTTAAATTTGCGTGTATTTTGTTAAATTTTACAGATTGATACACTGGTGATGACTGTCATAAGTCTAAAATATCAAAATGTAATAATTATATTTATAACCGATAATTACAACACTTTTAAAATGGCGGTGCTAGCTAGGAAGCTGGTATATGTTGCTTCATCTGAATAAAGGTAAAGATGGCCTATGACATGGGACAAACATAAGTTAGACATGCTTGGATGTAATCTTCAGTTTTTCTTCAAATACAATGCATTTATGCAAGTAAAGATACAATATCGTGAACAGACCCTCAAACTCCAACAAAGGCCAACGCCTCTATTTTGATCAAGACATAATTGCTAGATGAAGGTTGAGTCACCAGATCCAACAGTATACATATGTTGTACATAAAATTGCCTTGTAAAGTTTTGTTTTCACAAATTACAAATTTTGTTTCCGATAATCGTCCATCCCTTGATGTGTGGTTGCTACCATTGATTCCATTATGCGCCCATGGTCACCATATTATAATAATCGACAGGCCTATAATTTGAAGAAATACATGTACAATATGTTAAAATGTTCACGCACTGTCAATTTTTCTTGGGTGCATGCATTGAGCTTCCCGTGTCTATCCAATGTTGTCCCCCTCCCATCTTAATTTAGTATCAACTTAATACAAGTATGAGAAAACCTTGAATGAATCAGGATTTGGGGGATTATAAGGTCAAGGTTACTTCCAATCAGTAGAAATGTCAACCAGTTCATGTCACATCACTCTGCCAAGTTAATTTGTTGACAAATTTTGATTTTCAGATAAGCTTTATATACACACTGGTCAAGTATACGAGAACACCTCAGGATGAGTCTATATTTAGGGTTCCAAGGTCAATTTCTATTTATAGAGTTATGTCAATTGATTCAGTGACATCACTCCACCAATGTTATAAACAGATTTGTTGGTCCAACTTTAAATGAAATTCAGGTATGAAAATAGCTTAAAAGAGTTTGTGTTTCAGAGTCATTTTATTTCAACTCATTCACCCCTGAAGACACATTTGAACTCTTCCAATTCAAAGCTTGGAATAGTTCATTATGAAATTTCAGGGGTGAATGAGTTAACTAAGTTGACTTTAATTTGACTCCAGTCAAAACAGTCAGCGGCTTCTATATTAACATGCCCTTCGATTTCATTTTAGCTCATCTGGCACTTGGTGAGTTATCCGTTGTCTGTCAACTTCGTCTTTGCACAACTTCTTCTTAGGAAGTGGAGGACCTAGAGCCATAATATTTGGCCAGAAGGCCCAGGCCAGAGTACTTGTGATGTTACTGGGCCAGCAGGTACCTGGCATGGAGTGCTATAATATTTTCTCAAATAAATGACATTGTCCTACTTTCAAGATCACAATGATCAAATGTGTTTAAAACCTTTCAAATACTTCTTCTGAACAAACAAGAGGCCTACATCAATGATATTTGGCCAGTAGGTATCTGGGACGGAGTGCTATAAATAGTCCTCAAATAAATAAATGACCTTGAAATAGTTTAAACATCTCATGCATCAAATAAATAAAAAAAAATAAAAAAACTCCATGGACATCCAACGTAATGATATTTACAAGTTTAAATGGATTTTTTCCTGAATCGTGACTTTTAATTAGCTTGGAAAATGAACATATAAAAAGTGATTTTTTTCATCAGTTATTGATTTTTTTCCCCTGATATTTAGTGTGCATGTACAGGGATGTGTAGTCCACTACACATCCCTGGCATGTACCTCAATTATGTTTGAGAAATATTGGAGGAGGAATTTTTTTGTGACACAGATTGTTTAATGCTGACGCATTATTGAATTTGATATACAATGTATATATACATTTTGGTGTGGCAGCCATATTGGAATGACCTTTAAACCAAAGAACTCCGATCATAGTATAGTCGTTCCATTCCACGCAGTGCGAAGTAGTTCCAGATTTTACATTTTAAAATGCAATTATAAATATTAATAACAAAATCAACTTTTCAAATTCATTTAAAATAACAGTAAATTATCATGTGGCATAGTAATTAAAAGTAGTACCTTTAGTCGCGTAGGAATATGTTCCCAATCGCAGCACCTTTGGGTTTTATTACACATTTGTAATACCATATTTATGACTTGGCCGCATGACATAATAAAATGGGACAGTTAGGTGATAAATTATCTGTCGCATTCTAAGATGTATGCATTGTTCTTGTGATTGGTTCCAAAAGTGAACAGGCTCGACAAAGGATCAAGGGGAAACCGCTTGTGAAATTTCAGTACTTTCTGAGAATAATGAAGGCCTAACAGCCATTTGTTCTTTTTGATCAGTCTCTAAATTGAATATGATCAATTTTAGGACCCGAGTGGTGAACTTTGAGGCAGAACTCTTACGGCTTAATCAGAAATGACAACAATTTATTAGCCACAACTCAAATTTCAGGATTTCGATAAGTCTCAAAACTACACAAGCACAAGTAAGGATCAACGGGAACTTAAATATGAATTTCAGACAGATTCGTCAATGTTTTTTTTCTGGGGGGAAAAGTGATAGTAAATTCAGACTATCAAAATCGCAAATGGCTGATTAGCGACTAGATTGTTCTTCCGAAACATGTACCAGTCTTAGGACTATGAGAAATCTACACACGACATTTAATCAAGATCTGTCCTGTACTCTAAATACAGTTGGTCGACAAGCGGCCAACTAGGCTGAATAAAACATGTATAACAAAGATGAAATGGAATATCCGAGAAAGACCTGTCAAGCTATTTTCGAAAAATAGCAATAATAAACCTCAATTGTCAAATGACGTTAGCTCTAACCACATGTTGTTTCCATAGACTATAACAAAATGGAAGAATTTCTACCGAAATGATCCCACAAAACCACTGTCGCATGAAAAATTAAGGCATCCAAATACTCGAATACACAAAGAACTAATCCACCGGCCGCGGGTGTTCAACATCTTAGTACCGGTTGTGAAAAATGATGCAGAGTAAATTAATGAACCACTCAACTTTGCATGTTACCCAGAACCATCAATACTGCTGAAGTTTACCACTGTTCGGTATACAATGTAAGGAAACACACATTTCAACATTTATAGCTATTAGTTTGTCGATGCAAAAAGCCACACAAGGTAACGATTTTACTGTGCATCCTGGCCATTTATGTTATTTAGGACTTACCAGTGGCAGTGAAATCGAAGGTGATAGGAATGGAGGCAAATACACTACTTCATTGTCCTGGAACACATACAGCTATATGGGGAACCTTTAAAAGCTATTGTAACATTACAAATGTACATCTTTTTGTTATAACAGATACTTTACTTTGCCAGATTATTTTCCAGCTACATTGTTACGTTAAAACTTGGGGACTGATGATCATGATCGTCCAATAGCAAACTTAACCACTTGGTGACGTAAATAAGCAGGTAAAGTACGTAAAAGGTAGCACACATTTAAAAAGGTTACCTTCCATCATATGATTCGCCACCAGTGGTACTTCAAAAGGACTGTAAAATAACGTGTTCAAAAGATATTGAGTAATACAGTAAAAAAGGGACAGGCGTTTACAAAACCCTTACAACGTTAGGAATTTACAACGTTTGGCTGTAAACTATAATTTATCATTAAGCTAATATTTCACGTAAACCGTGCGAAAATATGCCCGGTATTGAAGGTACACTGTTGCAGAACTGGTATTCCTCCAATATAGAGTCCACCACGTGCACCTTGCTACGTAAATTAATCACTTGAAATACGATCTCGTCGATGTAGAAAGTTTCATCCAATTAAAAGGTAGAATGATTCAAGTTTCATTCATCACAATACTAATCACTGTATCATTAGATAAAAAAACTGTAGCCTTAATGAAAATAAAAATTACGACAGCAACAAGGGTAGAAATCTATTTATTATTAAAACACACTCCAAATAAGATATTGATTTATTTCTTTTAAATGATTTGTTCATAATATTGATCTGATCTATGCATGTAATAAACTTTTGTCTATGATTAAACAAATATATATAATTGGCCCCATATTCACCATCAGCACTGCGTTTGGGACGGAATAGTCTGTTTTGTACAAATATATTAAAATATGACTGGATATTCGTCCATGAAGTATTTTTTGTAGTTTTTATATGTTCTGTTATAAAAAAAAAGCTCTTCAAGGCTAATGTGTCATATTTAAAATATCCTACTTGAAGCTATTTTCGAACTTCCTAAAACATTATAGCAAAGTGTTTTCAAAATAAAAATGTATGACTACTTGTCAGTTCAGATTTTCAAGTTTTGCTATAATATTGCCTTGATTATTTTACTTGTTGAATTCTAGATGATAAACACTTTTTAAAATCACTCGCCTTAAGCCCATACTAGAAATACCAGGGTTTTGCTTTCTGACAATTTCTGCACTCCTGGAATATGTTATGACAAAATTGAAGACACACAGTTAGCAATCTGATTTGAGCTAGGTTTTAAAATACTGACCAATCACTTGGCCGATATTTGTCCTTTGAAGATTACAGAGAAGCGATTCCGTGCGATATTTGTTGGTGTTCATACTATTCTCATTGTAGCTTCGATTTCGTCATGACATATTTTACGGGTGCAAAAAACGTAAGTCAGCCAAATTCGTGGAGTTTCGAGGATGTCCTAAGCTGTAATAATGTACATATGTACAAAATGAGTTTTAGAATTGCATCAGTTTTGCAATGGTTAATCGTAAACTCGTACAATATGGCGCCAATCTATAACAATTTAATGAATACTTTATGGTAAATTAAATGTAGAAAATGATTCCGATCAAAATTAAGTTGAAATCGTCACACAAGCCAATGTCTGTTGTTAACAAACAGTGAGAGTGAAGAAGGACAGGTGACCGAAAAGAAAACCCTCAAAGCAGATTTAATCTACGAAATTGAAAAAAATCCACTCTTTGTGTCTGATGCATGAATTTCCTTGTACGGATAAACACCTACTAGATGATTTATGTATACGAATCCTTAATTAAATTAATTTGATTTTCTATGTTACTGATAGGCGTGTCCTTAATCTAACCACCCCCTTAATAGATATATGCTTAATTAGAATAATATTTTTATCAGATGTAGCAACTGTTGATTGAATGCATTTGGAAATCAAATATATCACAAGGCATTCAATATATTCATGGAGACAATGCTAGTTTTAGAATATCAGCATAAGGACGTTACGGTTGTATATAAAGCTTAATTCAATATTGACCAATGAAACTATAACCAAACACTATTAATGTTCCTTTGTTTCTCACTTCTATACATTTTTGTAACAGGTTATTCCGTCTTTGCGTATTGCAGAGTTATCTTCTCTTGAGAGCAGGTATTGATTGTTACGTCATTGGGTTGTGTGGGAAAATTACGTTGTTTTCTCAAAAATTGATGACGTTACTCTCACAAACAAATGACGTAACAATCAATACCTGCTCCCAAGAGAAGATAACAATACGCAAAGACGGAATATTTCCGAATTAGTTATAATTGCAGTCTGTCTTTGAATTACAAGTTATTCAACGGTAAAATTTACGTTTCGGAAAAGTCTGAACCCGTGAGTTTATATCTTTGATGGAAAAATATATAAACTTAACTTTATTGAGTATGTTTTATAAAGATATAGCTCAAGTAAATATGTATTTAAACCGAATAAAATAAATACTTCATAGTTCATCATCCAAATTAATTCAGAAAACTAGGAATATTTCCAATTCATCATTTGTTTCCATCTTTACATTAAATAACAATAACGACCTCATTCGTTTTATTCAGATTTAACACAAATAAATATACAATTAAACCGAATAAAATCAATGCTTATTAGTTCATCATACATATCATTATTAAAAGTAAGTATGAGCAACAATGCAAACATGTACCATTTTTTCATTTTGCATGCGATTAACCATTTTCTGTCAATGTCTGGAATAATGTATGTTCGTGACAAAACAATGGTTTTTGAAAAAGTCTAAGCGAAAAAAAATCGAAAAGAGAAAAAAAAGTACTATTAAAAGTATTTTGATTTGATTCAGGAATAATGACCTATATTAAAACTACATATCACACTGCACACAAAACGTTTATATGTTCTATGTTAGGCCTTATAATTCTTGATCATGTTTGAAAGTTAACAAGACGAGCGCGCAGAGTTGTCAGTTTTTAACACATTATCTACATGAAATCAATGTTCCGTTGTTCTTCATTCCTATCCATTTATAAGACTGGATATATATCCGAACAGGCATTGGCTTCCCGCTTTATTTAAATACATTCTCCACATTGAATGGTTCTAAGTCCCGGACGTCCGATATGATATGCACTTGGCATGCATTCTGTTTCCTGAATAACAGAAATATTACCTTATCAGCAATTTCAACTTCGCTTAAAAAAATAAGATTACTTTTATCGATTTCATTTGGCGATGAAATGTCCAGTCTTTGAGACAAATATTAAATCTTTCAGAAACAACGCAATTCATCCTCCCATGAAAAGGACTGTAACAATATATTTACTCCTCTTTTTAGTAAAATGCCTGAAAAAATTCTGTTCAAATATTTTTTAATTATCTTTCAGGAAATCATATGATTTCTAAGAACCAAACTTGATTCCTCCCCAAAGAATCTACAGTTAAGCAGCTATTAGCAATATATGATTCTTAATTTGCTTTCTTATTTTCTAACTGGTAGTCAGCAAAGAGTAATAATTGATGGTATAAGTCTTCCTGGCGCATACTTACAGCTGGTGTCCCAGAGGGCTCGGTCCTGAGGCCACACTATTTCTTCCATATATGACCTAGAAAATGAAATTGAGTAAAATGTGAAATTTTTGGCAGATGATGCCTGACCTTTTGTAAGGAAGAACTTACTAATACTAGGAGAATGTACACATAAAAAGATCTTTCGAGCACTTCTCAAGAAGAATTTGACAGATCTGTCTTAAATATTTTTAAACAAACCGACAAAATCCAAGACTACAATAATGTTTTACCATTCTACAGACGGAAGGTAGCCAGTCCAGTGACGAAGGTTTGAACAGTCCATCAACTGATGGAGGGATAAGAAGAATGAAGTTATATCATGTGTTGGTTGCGTATTGTGATATAAACACCTTAGCGTTGATAAGGGTAGTCTACTTTTAGGACCAACACCAAACACAATTTATACTATGCCAGACGTGTTTTTCTATTCAAATCCGTTACTTTAAAGATTTGATGAATCAAACGTTAATGGTATCATGTAGATACGAAATAACTTTATATGTTGGCATAGTAATATATATATATAGCTGACCGGAATAATATGACACAGAAGGCTTACGCTATACATACGTTACTTTTGAGGTCATTTAGAGAAAAGTTAAATACGCTCCAGCTCAGGGTGGGGTCCATGAGTGATGCACAGTTATACTCTGATCTCTTTCTTTCTCTGAACACATCATTTCCAAATCTGAACTTTCATTTCATTAAATAAAACTGATCTAATTGACACTAATTATGACGACTATGACATTCTCTGTGTTAGTGAGACTCATCTGAATCCTCAGTTGCTGATAGTGACATTCATAGACACACTGAAACTTTTCCCACAGTCTTTTGTAAGGACAGACGGCACAGACGAAGTGGCGGTGTTCTTATTTAAACTAAGAATAACAATTGCTTAACGTAGATTAGACCTGGAATCTAATGATGATGAGTTTGTTTGGACAGAAATTAAGTTACAAACTAAACAAATGCTTGTAGGATGCTTATATAGGAATCCGGATACTTTACTTACTACTGGGATAGGTAAGATAAAATTACTGATCTAAATAAGAGTGTCTTCCTACATGGTGATATTAACTTGTCTTTCAAAAATTCATATGATTTTAAAGAACCAATCTGGATTCCTCCACAAAGATTCTACAGTAAAACAGCTATGTTTCGATTCTTAAGCAACTTGATAGAAGAGAAAAGGCCATAATTGTGTTTTGTGATATTAGCGAAACGTTTGATAGGGTCTTGCATGATTGACTTGTGTACAAATTGAAAAAATAAATTGCATTGAAGACAATTTTCTTAATTTGCTTTCTAATTATCTAACTGATAGACAGCAAAAAGTAGTAATTGAAGGGTATATGTCTTTTTGATGTACACTTACAGCTGGTGTCACACAGGGCTCGGTCTTCGGGCCACCTTTATTTCTTTTAAATGACCTAGAAAATGAAATTGAGTCAAATGTAACATTTTTTTACAGGTGATACATGTACCTCACTACTTGTAAACTATAAGAAAAGGTAAACAATGCTGCTGCTTACATTTTAAACGATGATTTCATAGAATATTTATCTGGGCTTATAGATCTGGTATATTATTTAATCCTAGTAAAACAGAAGCTCTTCTTATATCAAATAAATGTAATGCAGATTAAATGCATCCTGATCTCACATTTATTAACAATTCTGTGGTAAATGTTATATTTCAAACAAGAGGCCCAAAAGAGGGCCTGTATCGCTAACCTGAATATTAAAGCAGTCATAGCAAAATATTCTCATTAAATATTATATTGCACTAAAATATTTCCCTCGCAAACTTTATTTGCTCCATCTGTTGAAAATATCAGCAAAATATTATTACAAGATTCTATGCTTTTTGATTCTTCAGAAGTTGCTTGACATATTTTTCCCTGTGACCTTGTAAGTAGGTCAATGTCATTTTCCTTCTCAAATTGGTAAGCTCTATTCCAAAAGCTACAAGCAAAATCTAATGAATCCATTCCTTTTAGTTCCTAAGAACAAATCCATATAAATGTTGTTGACCTCTGTGACCTTGAAAGTAGGTCAAGGTCACTTTCATTCGCAAACTTTGTTAGGCTCTTTTCCAGGAAGCCACCTGCCAAATATTAAGATTTTAGAACTACCAGTTCATCAGAAGAAGTCGTTTAAAGTGTTTGACATATCTGCCTTATGAGACCTTTAAAGAAGGTCAGGGTCATTTTCATTCTCAAACTTTGTCGGGCTCTATCCAAGGAAGCCATCAATCAAAAATAAAGATTCTATACCTTTCAGTTCTTCAGAAGAAGTCGTTTGAAGCTTTTGACATATATGACCCCTGTGACCTTGAAAGTAGGTCAAACTAGTTTTCATTCTCAAACTTTGATAGGCTCTATCCCAGGAAGCCACCAGTCAAATATAAATATTCTATACCTTTCAGTTCTTCAGAAGAAGTCGTTTGAAGTGTTTGACACCTTTGATCCCTGTGACCTTGAAAGTAGGTCAAGGTCATTTTCATTCCCAAACTTTGTTGGGCTCCATCCCAGGAAGCCATCAGCCCAATATGAAGATTCAATACCTTTTAGTTCTTCAGAAGAAGTCGTTTGAAGTTTTTGACAGATTTGACCCCTGTGACTTTGAAAACAGGTCAAGGTCATTTGCGTTCTCAAACTTTGTAGGGCTCCTACCAACGAAGCCTTCGGCCAAATATCATGACTCTAGGCCTGTCCGTTTTTTAGAAGAAGTTGTTTAAAGGAAACGTTGACGGACGAGGACGGACGGACGCCGCACCATGACTTAAGCTCACTTGCCCTTCGGACAGGTGAGGTAAAAAAGTTTATTTTGATAATTTCCTATGTGCGAAGGGTCATAACACCAGCAAAAAAAGGGATATTACCAAGGGGTTTGAACTCAACCTGTAATCCATTATGACAAAGTAACATATTAGGTAACAAATTGATGTTGCAAGTGGTAGCGAAAAAAAGTTCGGGAAAGCATTAATTATGAGATTTCTTATGTGCAAAGGGCCATAAACTCCAGCAACAAATGAAACATTGATTCAGGGTTTGGACTTTAATTGTAATCCATTATGATAAAGCCACATACTAAGTCGCAAGCGGTAACAAACAAAGTAAGGCAAACAGTTAAAAAAAAAATATATTGGCATGTGGTTCGAACTTGATCTGTAATCTATTATGATTAAGCCATATACAATGTTACAATTTGATATGGTAAATGGTGGCCAAAAATGTCTGGAAAACTTCAATGTGATTGCCAACGACAACGTGTGATGACGGACAGATTGATCCTCAAGTGTTCGCCATGCTTCTCAGGCGGCACGACCAAGGTAAGGCAGAACAGTGAAGAAAGAAAGGAATGATTTAAGATCCCAAGTGTGTTGCAATGGGGCAGAAGATCTATTTTGGTCTGTTCAATGTACCCCAAGTAGTAGACATGAAAATAAATCCCCGATTCTTAAGGGGGCGAACTTTTAGCCCCTCCCCCATGAACATTGTATGTAAATTATGTTTTGATAGATTCGATGACTCGAGTAGAAAATTGTTTGATTCATGTAATCTTGAAAAAGAAAGTAAAGGGACATAACTCTTTATGTAGACTCCAATATAAGTAATTTGTGCTGATCTGACAGANAGAGGGTGACATCTGGTTTTTGAGGGTGAGTTTGTATTTGTATTTGAAATATTTGACAGGACTTGTGGTTGTGATGGCAGTGATGGCACAATTGACGACTGTTGGGGATTGATATTTGACAAGTCTGCGGGCTAGACTGGTAAAGACTCGAATTCATTGATCTCTGAAAATACCGCATTTAGCTCCGCTTCATTGAGACTTTCAAGTCTAATATTTGGGACATCAGGACTTTCGAGGGAAATAATGTTGTCATTGCTGCCGCTGACCCACGCACCAAGCGCTGAAGTGAGACATTTTGAAATTTCACGTTTTTANAGGACGAAAATCTACATTTTAAAGAAAGTGGTAGCTATGGGAGCACCCTATATATGTTATATACAAAAAACATAGGTACCTTGCAAAACAAAAAGAAAATTTCGCAAAACCACCAATTCTCAAAAATCACCTAAACATGACATATTTTATCTAAAAGGAAACTTGGAACTNATCACCCGCGCCCCTCAAACCCAATGTATTTTCGAAGGGTGACAGAGATTTTTGTTTAACTTTCTTTAAAGCAATGAAATAGTTAGAAATTCATTTGAGGTGTAACAATAGTATATGTTTCGCATGTCTGAAATTGTCTGACATTGTCAGTATGGTAAGTTTTAAGCAAAACTTAACACCAAACTATCTAAAATTTCCGGATATTTTTTTCCAAAAACAACGGGAAGAAAATCTACATTTTAAAGAAAGTGGTAGCTATGGGAGCACCATATATAAACATAAAAATATTTGTACCTTTGAAAACAATAGGCAAAATTCTCAAAAATCACCTAAACATGACATAGTTTATCTAAAAGGAAACTGGGAACTTATAGAAATAACAAACTATATCCCATATATAACAGAAAGGAATGTGAGGTAATCATTTGAGAGACACAACTCTCAGAAATATTATCCAAAGGAAGACAATCAATCATTATACTAATACATAGCAAGTGTTCCTAGTTTAAAACAGACAGTATGAGTATCACTTGAAACAAATTTTAAATTAAATAAGAAATCATTCTCAGGGACACCATCTAAATGAAAATTAATTGATTGATATAACAGTCGAGATGCATTAAACAAACATTACAGTAAAATGTTCAAACCTGGCCTGCATGGTGTTAAGTTTCACCTTTTGGCCTTTTGTTGTAACTTTCAGCTTTCTTGGCGAATTTTGTGCATTTTTAAATATCTCCCATTCTCATCAGATGTATATGAAGTGCATAACAAATTAAAAATTAAAAATAGGAATGATAAACAGCTAGAATAAGATGTATAGGAAAGCAAACAAAGGGGCACAACTCTTCGAGTTCCTGAAAATACAGCCCTTACTTTCTTCTATTTTGAGGATGCCTCTACATCAAAGTCAAATAACTTTGTCACACCATCAGAACTCCCTGGATATTTCAACATGCAACACACCATATGAACTCCCTGGATATTTTCAACATCCAACACACCATATAAACTCCTTGGAAATATCAAACCTACAACACACCATAGGAACTCCCTGCATATATTCAACATACAACACACCTTATAAACTTACTGGATATATCAAACCTACAACACACCATAGTAACTCCCAGTATATTTCAAACCTACAACACACCATATAGACATCCTGGATATATCAAACCTACAACGCACCATATGAACTCCCTGATAATATCAAACCTACAACACAGACTATAAACTCCCTGGATATATCAAACCTACAACACACACTATAAACTCCCTGGATATATCAAACCTACAACACATTGTAGAAACTCAATGGATATTCCAAACATACAACACACCATAAAACTCCCTGGATATATCAAACATACAACACACCTTAAAACTCCCTGGATATTTCAAACCTACAACACACCATAGGAACTCCAAGTATATTTCAACCCTACAACACACCACAGGAACTCCCTCGATATTTTCAGCATACAACACACCATATGACCTCTCTGGATATTTCACACATACAACACACCATAGGAACTCCCTGGATATTTTAACAAGAGGCCAAAGGGCCTTAGCAGTCACCTGAGTTATATCATAGGTACTGATAGCTTTATTCTATTGTTTAGGAGTGATGTGGAAATCAGCATGTAAACAAAGTGAAATACAAGAGGTCCGATGGGCCTGCATCGCTCACCTGGTATAAAGCTCACACTTGTAACCTTAAAAGTGATCAAAATAAAGTTACAGGCAAAATATCAGTATTTATGATTAAAATTCATTCAAAAGACCTTGTTATTATTATTATTTTAAACAAATTTGACCCCTGTGACCTTGAATATAAGTCAAAGACATTCAATTTAACAAACAAAGGAGTCCTTGATCCCAGCATATGCTACTGACTAAAAATCAACATCCTGAGCCTTTTGATAATTCTAAACAGGTTGTTGAAATATTTTGAACATATTTGACCCCTGTGACCTTAAATTTGGGTGAAGGTCATTCATTTGAACAAACTTTGTAGCCCTTCATCTCAGCATGCTACTGGCCAAATATCATCACCCAGTGCATTTTGATTGTTCAGAAGAAGTTGTTGAATGTTTTTCACATATTTGAACCCTGTGACCTTGAATATAGATGAAGGTCATTTATTTTTAACAAACTTTGTAACCCTTTATCTCAACATGCTACTGGCCAAATATCATTACCCTGGGCATTTTTGTTATTGAGAAGAAGTAATTTAAAGTTTTTAACATATTTGACCCCTGTGCCATTAAATATGGGTGAAGGTCATTCATTTGAACAAATTTTGTAGCCCTTCATCTCAGCTAGCTGCTGGCCAAATATCATTACCCTGGGCATTGTGGTTATTGAGAAGAAGTTGTTTGAAGATTTTACGACATTTGACCCATGTGACCTTGAAAGTTGGTCAAGGTCATTCATTTGAACAAACTTGGTAGCCCTTCATCCCAGCATTCTACAGGCCTAATGTCAGTACCCTGAGCCTGTTGCTTATTGAGAAGAAGTCGCTTGAAGATTTTACGACATTTGACCCTTGTGACCTTAAAAGTTGGTCAAGGTCATTCATTTGAACCAACTTTGTAGCCCTTCATCTCAGCCTGCTACTGGCCTAATATCATCACCTAGTGCATTTTGATTGTTCAGAAGAAGTTGTTGAATGTTTTTCACATATTTGAACCCTGTGACCTTGAATATAGATGAAGTTCATTTATTTTTAACAAACTTTGTAACCCTTTATCTCAACATGCTACTGGCCAAATATCATTACCCTGGGCATTTTTGTTATTGAGAAGAAGTAATTTAAAGTTTTTAACATATTTGACCCCTGTGCCCTTAAATATGGGTGAAGGTCATTCATTTGAACAAATTTTGTAGCCCTTCATCTCAGCTAGCTGCTGGCCAAATATCATCACCCTGGGCATTGTGGTTATTGAGAAGAAGTTGTTTGAAGATTATACGACATTTGACCCATGTGACCTTGAAAGTTGGTCAAGGTCATTCATTTGAACAAACTTGGTAGCCCTTCATCCCAGCATTCTACAGGCCTAATATCAGTACCCTGAGCCTGTTGCTTATTGAGAAGAAGTCGCTTGAAGATTTTACGACATTTGACCCTTGTGACCTTAAAAGTTGGTCAAGGTCATTCATTTGAACAAACTTTGTAGCCCTTCATCTCAGNGATAGTCCTTCATCCCAGCCTGCTACAGGCCCAATATCAGTACCCTGGGCCTTTTTGTTATTGAGAAGAAGTTGTTTGAATATTTGAAAGACATCTGACCCCTGTGACCTTGAAAGTTCGTCAAGGTCATTCATTTGGACAAACTTGATAGTCTTTCTTCCCAGCATGCTACTGGCCAAATATCATCTTCCTAGGCCTTTTGGTTATTGAGGAGAAGTTGTTTGAAGATTTTACGACATTTGACCCATGTGATCTTGAAAGTTGGTCAAGATCATCCCAGCATGCTACAGGCCCAATATCAGTACCCTGGGCCTTTTGGTTATTGAGAAGAAGTTGTTTAAAGTTTTTCACATATTTGACGCCTGTGACCTTGGATATGGGTGAAGGTCATTAATTTGAACAAACTTTGTAGCCCTTCATCTCAGCTAGCTACTGGCTAAATATCATCACCCAGGGCATTTTGGCTGTTCAGAAGAAGTTGTTGAATGTTTTTCACATATTTGAACCCTGTGACCTTGGATATGGGTGAAGGTCATTCATTTGAACAAACTTTGTAGCCCTTCATCTCAGTTAGCTACTGGCCAAATATCATCATCCAGGGCATTTTGGTTGTTCAGAAGAAGTTGTTGAAATGTTTTTTAATTCAATTGGCCCCTGTGACATTGAATATGGGTCAATGTCATTCATTTGAGTAAACTTTGTAGCCCTTCATCTCAGCATGCTACTGGCCAAATATCATTACTCTGTGTATTTTGGTTATTGAGAAGAAGTTGTTAAAAGTTTTTAACATATTTGACCCATGTGACCTTTAATATGGGTGAAGTTCATTCATTTGAACAAACTTTTTAGCCCTTCATCTCAGCTACTTTGTAGCTACTGGCCACATATCATCACCCTGGGCAATTTGGTTATTCAGAAGAGGTTGTTTAAATGTTTTTTTAAATTCAATTGACCCCTGTGACCTTGAATATGGATGAAGGTCATTCATTTGAACAAACTTGGTAGCCCTTTACCCAAGCATGCTACTGGGCAAAATTTATCTCCCTAGGCATTTTGGTTATTAAAAAGAAGATGTTTTAAGTTTTTTAACGTACTTGACCCCTGTGACCTTGAAAATAGGTAAAGGTCATTAATTCTAACAAACTTTGTAGCCCATCTTCCAAGTTTGCTTCTGGCCAAATATTGACACCTCAGGCCTTTCGGTTATTAAGAAGAATTCGTTTAAAGTAAAATATTGACGCCGGACGACGGACGGACGGACGACGGACGCCGCGCCACGGCATAAGCTCACTTAGCACGTCGTGCCAGGTGAGCTAATAAAACATGCAATAATTAAGATTCATATATTTAGATCACTAGGAAATCTCTGGAAATGATATTCAAGTCTTATATATTCGTCCAAATTTTGAGTATGCTAGTTAGTGTTGTATGGAATAATTGTAATCAGATTGAATCAGATCGTCTTGAATCTATCCAAATAGATGGTGCTAGAGTGGTACTAGTCATGAAATCATCTATAATGAAATAGGATTGGACTCTTAAGAAACGTAGAAAGGATCAGCAGCATATAGTGGGTTTTTTAAAAATGATTATGAGTAACCCAAATTATTCCAAATTATACAAACTATACAAGCCCTCTCCCTGGAATTACATCTCAAACAACAGCAGATAATAAAGAATATTTACATCAATGGTTTGGAAAATAAGAAACAGAACTGTATCAACGAAGAAAGGAGACACAAAACATAAAAACATGCAAACACGCATGCATGCATACATACACACACAAACATACATGTACAAATACGCACGTTAACATACATACATCTTGAAATGAAAAAATATATACGCATTATATGATTTAAAACCCTAAATTTCTGTCTGTTGTTTACGGTAAGTTTAAAACAGCTTACCTCGCAGCCCATGCATCCCGTACCATTGGCGGTCTCAACTGGAAAAATGATATATGTATTATCCGATCGATATATTTATAGCTATTCTGTGTAACAAACCACAAAAATGACCATCTAGCTAGAATAAGACTATGTATTGGTACAATTAGAACTCATACGCATACTTCTTATTGGTTTTTTAAGGGACAATTTCCAACTATGTTAAATTACATAGGAGTCTGCCCCCACCTAACTTTTGTTTCAGTGCTACAAGATCAATGCTGCTGTTATAACTTTTTTCAATCCCAGATACATCTGATGTTATTACGTTGAATCACTTTTCTAACTATTTGGATGATTAATTAACCTAATAACAGCATGGGGTCGAAAAAAATGGAATATCAGCTTTAAAGTATTTTTCTGAAAAAAAATCATATTTTTTGCATCTTAATACGTGGAGATCATTTACTTTCATGTTGTGCGTAAATAATATATATATTTCATCTCTAATATGAATTTAATCGAACATTTTGTAAAAAAAAATGTAAAATATCAGATTTTCATTCTTATAATTCTTGTATACCAAAACATTTCAAAGAATGAAGAAGTTGTGTTATTTCAAATATGTAGGCAAAACAGTCGTGGTGTAAAGTATTCATTCCGCAAAAAACCCTGTGTACCCCAACTTATGAGGGACTAAGACACCTCACTGGCGTACACCAAAAAGCAATGCCCCTGAATACAGGTAATCGGTAATGAAATTCGTTACAAGCCTGCAATAAATCTTTCAGTGCATGTAGAAGTTAGTATTGATCCGAAGTGCTATATAAGGTATCTGCGCAAAAGAGAATCTTAAACAGAACGTTTTGGAGATGAAACTACTAGAAGTTTTCCTATCTTACAATAATCAAGAACCTGTTTACAAATGTTGTCTTTGTGTTTACAATTTTCAGTTAATTTTCACACACAAATTGTCATCACAAATATGCTTCTTTCATCTTATTGGCAATGACCTAAACCCTTGTGCACTGGTAAATTGATGAGGAAGATAGTCTTTGGACTCTCAATTATGAAGTAAGTCATCTGAAATAAAGATGACCTTTTAGAAATGTCGTACATCTTATTAAAGAATCAATCAGCATTCACTCTCTTCATGTTTGTCTTTTGGATGACACTGGCTGCAAAGCTCAGACAATTTGGTGAAAGAACATTTTGTTTTCAAAATCCATTCGTACTTGGTCCCATTTATTTCTTCTTCAGTCTTTACCAAAACTACACAAAATGCTCTTTTACTGTTTTGTGTTAAGAGGAAAACTGATATATCTTGTAATTAAGTGTTCCGTTCTTTTTGGCATTTCCCTGCCTAGTATCTCAAAAACCTTTCATCTGTAGTACAAAAATGTAATAAATCTATAGTTCCAGTGTTCTTTGGTCCTGACCATTTGAGTAGGGAACATATATTTCACACAATACTTTATTATCAGAAACATTCTTTGGATACAAAGTGACAGCCTTAGCAGATGGTATATATATTTATATTTAAATAAAAGTGCTGTCAATAAGCTTCAGAGAATGTCTTGCGGTGGCCAGAAGAAGTGTAATTATCTTAAATTATTAAATTCATGAGCATAGCTCTACCTGATGATTACATTTTGGACATAGTAGGGCTATTCTTTGGAAGCCAAAAAGCAAGCATTACCAAATCAACATAGCTGCTTATATGGTTTGACAACAATGTAGTCGTTGATCGTGTTTTTAGAGATGTCCTGCCAATGTTAGAAGTATCTGGTATTAATACCAGTATGCACTCATAACTATGATCTACAGGCTAATATTGACAACAGTTACTTAATCCCGATGGATTGTAGAGTCTTTTTATGGCCGTCTTAAGCGTTGGATATTTTTTAGTGTTAAATTGCTTCATTGATATATTGAGGAAGTGTTAAAGATTGTTGACTGCATGCCTCCATTAGATACCGGGACCAATTTATCAAAGATGACCTGAAACTGACAGGAAAGACAGAGAACTCGCACATCAAATGAAGTTACTACTTAAAATAACAAGCTGTTTGACTCAGAGAGTGAAAACAACCAGCTCTCTCCAAGAGAGCAAAGTAAGAATTCGTACAAATTATGAAATATGAAGGAAACATCACTCTCAATACCTTATCCGTTGTCAGATATGTTCCAGATACAAAAGCAAGACTAATTATGATGTTTGTATTCAGTACAGCACGAAATGATAATAATCCAATAATAAATTCATCAAGTATACTTTATTATCTTGGCTATCATAGCAATCTCCAAAATCCTATACAACTGCACCTAAAGGCTAAGAAGTTCCGACAAAGCTTGATATATGTTATTTTCTTGTGACTCTATATTCAACAGTTTGAAAACAAAGCCTCGCATCATTGTTTTTTTTCCTTCTTTTTTCCAAGTCTGCCTTTCGAACACATTTCATACTCTTGCATCTTGCAAAACATTATCTGTAAATGTCACCAGCTGTTAATACGGCGTCTTACAAAGTAACAAATAAACATACAATCTCTGAATTCCATTGCAATTGCAAGAAAATTGTCTGGGGATCTGACAACTGATTATGCAGTAGAATGAATGTTTTGGTGGCCATCTTGAAAAGGAATAAGCGAATCTTTTTAAAACATTTGTTGATAAGATAATTATTCCATCTAAACTGGAACAAAATGTTTCTTCTTCTCTGTTAGTTTTCAGTCATAATTATTAGACTGTTCACATAGCCATGAATTATGATGTATATACTATATGGTTATTACATCCCTTCTTTGAATATGCTCCTCCACATATTTTGGATTGATGTTTTTAATCAAAATATTTTGATATACAAAAGTTATAATATTCTTTTATTCTACGATGAACACATTTTTTGTTTGAAAAAAACATAGCTTGAGATGGCTTCCGCTGTTGATTTGTCTGTAAATATCTGATAACTCACCAAAGTAAGATATATTTTACATTTATACTGTAGCATATGATCTCTAGTTTTGGTTGCGTTAAAAATGATCCTTCGATGCAATATTAGTTGGACAACATTCGACTAACCAATTTTGAAATTTAAGTTGGTGTTTTTGTTGTCAGAAGGTTTAAGTCCCTACCTCACCAAAAGAAAATTGAAATCAAAGGAGGGGAAATGTTGGACACCCCCTCTTTTAGTTTTTGTATTATCAAACGACTAGTAACAAACAAAATAAAACATATACTTACTTCCAATAGCTGTTCGAGATTTGCAATATTCTGAAAAAATGGTGCATTCAAATATAAATATTATCACAAATTTAGCAAATAAGACCTGCAAACTACTGCTGCCCCATTAAAGCATAATACAAGCAACAACATATACAATCGTGTCAATGAAGAAATTAAAAACAACAGAGCAGACATCACCAGCACCATAAACGTCGAAGAAGAACCTTTGTTCTCTGGAAGCTGATAAAGGATAAAAGAAGGATAAGCGTTGTACCACTGCAATGATATCTCCAATCTCCTGTCACCAAACGTGACTCCTGTCATGTTGTCTCCAATCAATTCAAGTGACATCCTTTATGCATCACCTGTCACCGAATGTAACACCTGTCATGATGTCACCTGCCACCAAATGTTACGCTGGTCATGATGTCACCTGTCACCAAGTGTGACACCTGTCGTGATGTCTACTGTCACCAAATGTGACACCTGTCACGATGTCTACTATCACCACATGTGACACCTTTCATGATGTCACCTGTCACTAAATGTAACACCTGTCATGATGTCACCTGTCACCAAATGTTACGCCTGTCATGATGTCACCTGTCACCAAATGTGACACCTTTCGTGATGTCTCCTGTCACCAAATGTGACACCTATCACGATGTCTACTATCACCACATGTGACACCTTTCATGATGTCACCTGTCACTAAATGTGACACCTGTCATGATGTCACCAGTCGCCAAATGTGACACCTGTCATGATGTCACCTGTCACCAAATGTTACACCTGTCATGATGTGTACTGTCACCAAATGTGACACCTGTCATGATGTCTATTTCACCACTTGTTGAACCTGTCGTTATGTCTTCTGTCAACACATGTGATACCTGTAATGAAAGCGCCTTTCACCACTCTTGACACCGGTCATGATGTCACACTTATCTATTGTATAAGCTATTCAACATATGTTTTAGGAATGTATACAAGTTTAACATTGATTGCATCGGAAATTTAAAATATATCGAAGTTGGTAAATTTTCATTTGTGTCCCCTTTGACCCTTCCATTATTTCTGTTTAAATGTGTTTCTTGGGAATCTTTCTTTCATCTTTTTTTTCTTTTTCTTTCTAAAATGTATCGTTTAACACATTCCATCAACTTCAGTCAGTTAAGAGCGTTTTCATCACAAGAGTATTTATAATGTGTTGACACTGCATATCACATTTTGTGAATTAATGAATATAAGCTTTATGTACAGTTGTCTTGAATCAATGACATGATTGAGAATATCCTAAGGATATTCACGACCTACATACCAACTACACGTGCACATCTCAAACACGTTAGAACAAATTACATAAAATATATTTTAGTGTCATTTTACTTACATCGCGGTTGTCTTTGATCTCGTCCATATACTGAAATTAAAAAATCGAATACAAAGAGTATTTTTTTTTTTTTTTTGCTCATCTGGCCCGAAGGACCTATTGTTTAATCATAACTAAAATAGCTATAAAAACAAAAAAGAAGCCAAACTAGCCCGTTTTGCTTAGCCATTTCTTTTCTTGTCTGAACTTGAAACTTTGATTTCTTATTGACTCTAATAGAGAATAGTGTGGCTGCCTTTAATCTTAGAAACTCTTTTGATATCCTGTATCTGTTACAAATGCCCTTGGTAAAGTAATGATAATTCGAAGTTCTGTATTCGCATGTGCGACCGCATTACTTTTTTTATATGACAAATCTACAAAAAATATAAAACAATTCCAATGAGAAAGACGTAGACAAAACCTCCATAAATAAGAAGACATTTTTGAATTTTAATTAATTCGAGAAAAACAAAGCCTGTTTCGGATCACGGGAAAATATTTATCCGATAACCTCGACATCATTCTAGTGGCAAATCAGGTAATGATGGATCGAAATATATATTTATATACATGAGTCCGAACTGCACTGATATTACAGATAAGAAAAAAATTGAAGACATGTTTGAACGTCATTTGATGATAGATATGTATGTATACCTCCATGTCTTTTCTTGTACTTTATCTCTTCACGCTACACAGAAAATGATATTCGTACTTTTATTGCATTGACAAGATTCGTTTGAATATGATAAATCGATCGATAGAGATTAATACCAGTTTTTGTATATAGAAAATAAAAATAAATATATGTATACCTCTTTGTCCTTCTTGTTAATTTTTTCTGCATGCTAAAACAGAAAATTATATTCGTATTTTATACCATTTGCAATGTAATAGGAAGGTAGACAAGATAAAAAGAGATATAGTTATAAAAGATCAGAAATAATTAATGTTTTATTAATTCACTTAAATCTGTTTGGATTCTCAGATTTCAACATGATAATGCACAGAAACTTTCGATGATATGGTACTAGAAAAGGCAGTAGGCTTGCTGACAATGCGTGGTCGTGTCGCCGTAATCACTAACAAATAAAATCAAAAAGCGGAACTACAGGGAATCGCATATTTGGTTTTAGGTTATTTAAAATCCGGCGGATTCGCACGGCTGTTTATATTTCTATTGAGCCGAAGGCGAAGGGTACATAAGGTCCTGACAGCGAACATGAGACCATGTACCCTGACAAAGACCTGTATAACGAATTTGTCGTACTGCAAAGCATTGTTCAAGCGTTGTCGTCTTGTAAAGACTCCCATCCTGTTTCCTTGCACCGAGATGAAAATGACCCAATGCCTCGTCTAATCTTGGCTTCGAGAAGTCCTCAAAATCTGTGTCTTGCTCCTTTTCGCTTAAGTATGCTCTGAAGGTTTTGCTTGCTGAATTGTTACTTTTCTTTATGTTTGTAGGTATAAGTGACGCCCGTTTTGTCTCAATTTCACTCTCCGTGTGGCTTGCAAACCGTTTCGCAATTTTGTTCATTGATGACATTAGCAGACGAACGTTCTCCGGTGTGTTCGATTCGAATCTGCGAGTTATCTCCCTTACAACAGGCGCGCGTGCTCTTATGTACCCCGGCAAGGATACTAACATAGCTTCAGGTACCTTGGCAATTCGACCAATCACCGTGCGACATTTTTCTTTGCAATAATATAAGAGTCACTATTGTGGAAGATATAAATGTGGAAGAACATTTGGAAGTGACTTATCAAGAGCTATGAACTATCCGAAATAAATTGTACAAAGGAAATATTTCCCGTATTCAGAATGTGTGGAGACTAATGCATTATAATTCCGTTTGTTTCCACATTTAATCCTTGTACTTTTAATATATTCCCATTAATTAGAATTTTTGAAAACTTTATGAAAACATATGACCATTGAAGCTTTTTGGCAAAAATAAAATTGAAAATAGTATAAGACAAGCTACCAATCTAAAAAGAAAAATGGTTTTTTTTTTCCAGCTTAAGTAACAAAGGAGACAATTGCACTATTTCAAAATGCAATACACAAAAATACAGTATATTTAGCATCATGACCTTAGAATTTTGAATATGAACAAACATTTCCATTTCTGATCATAGATTTATGTGTTTCCAATTTAAAAAACTTGAAATATAAAACATGATGATAATGACGCGATTGTACGAGAAGCTAAAAATTGGAAGCTTATCTTTAGGTTTAATTAGTTCCAGTTTATGCCAATTGCTTTTTATTAATAGACCTTCCGATTAATTTATGTGGTGGTAATATTTTAATATGATGTCATCATTGGAGTGTTAAACATCTTGATATTTTCCAATAAAAAATTATGTCCATTAAGAAGACGAAGGAGCTTGAACTTACAAGTATAGCTTATTAAGCGATATCATATTACTCTGAAAAAGGTTAATTTAGCAGGACTATATGAGCAAGTTTCATCGAGTCACTGCATGTTATGTAATTCTATGTTCTTAGGAAAATCATGTAACAGGGAGCAGGTTCAACGAGTGAAGGAGGTCATCCAGATCAGAAAACAGGGGCCCATTATGAACAGAGACCAGGGGGCTTACAGGCCCAGCCAGGTATACGCCATCTTGTTCAGCACAGTGGTGAAAAAAAGGGGAAAAGTAACTCTCACAGCACTCACGTCACCAGTGAACAAAACTGTCTGGGTACGAACATCGTTTTTACACAAAGTGACTCGATAAAACTTGCACATTTACGTTATTATTTTTGTATATATTTAAATCATCAATTCGAAAATCGCATAGGGGTATATGTACCTTTTCCTTCAGCTTCTTTAACGCCACATCAAGCTCGTCTCTCTATAGATAAGTATTAAATGTAAAACGTGAGGTATTTGTTTTTACAGTAATAAAATTTCGAACAACAGCAGTTTCGTTTGAAATCACCTTTTAAAGCGAATGTAAGTGCTACTTTATCACGAGTGTAGTAGTAATTAAGATACCAGAAAAAAATAGTCATTGTCCTATAGGAGGAAACAAAATATATAGATAAAAATGAAACATGTTTTTAGTAATGATTCACACAATAACATGACATGATAGAAACGAGTTTTCTTGATATAGAATATAGAATTGAAAAATTCAATCGAAAAATTTCGAAGAATATACATGTCTTTTTATCTGTTAATAATGGAATAATAAAATCGTCTGTAAAATTGCGTGATATTGCCTCTCAAATGCAATGTCTTTTGTGCCGATGAAGGAATTTATCTCATAAGTCTTTACACCTTTCATGTATTGTTTGTAAACTGACCCGTAGACAATATGTAGACAAGCTCATAATATTCAATTATAGCCTTTGGCTGAGGTTGATACCTGGATTTATGACCCGAGAAAAGATATATTGACCGAGAACTGCGTCTTTCCTCGGGTCAATATATCCAGGAATCGACAGAAGTTAAAGGCTACAATTAATTTATTATTTTTAAAACAGTAATGTAAGCAATCTGAAAAATGTACAATTTAACAAGTCGACCTTTTTTTTTATCGCTGTCAAATAGTCCCTGAATGTTTTTACAGCAGTAGAGGTACACCCTTTTGTATTGTATGCATCAACATCTTCCAGAAGCAAATCAAGTTGTTCACCTTCAATGATGGTGAATCTATCGAAGGATATTTTAGCCGCCATTTTGTTGCTACGAATGCGGGACGGTGCGTTCATTTGGAGTAACTCTATTTTTAGAAACACACAGTCTTTCAACAAAAATCACGCGCTCCAAGTCAATATCAATTTTTATCAGTGGACACGTGATGCACTTCTGGCCAATCACGTGTCGGGAATAATATAAAAAAAATAATGTGAATGCATAAAAACCTCGAGTTTCAGCTTTTTGATCTCATCATCAGCCTCTTCCTTCTGAATAAAAATAGAAATATATAATGTTTATTTGTTCTCCCACAACTTTATGAGTATTTTCAGTAAAGTAAGTATTTGTATTTGATATTCACCCTCAAACTCATATAAACTCTGAATCAGATGCTTCCATCAAGATAGAAATTCAACAAAAAGGTGTTTTTTTATTATCTTATTAAGCAATTGAGACAAAGAAAAATTGCGTGTTCACATTTGTGATTGCAATTATAGAAAAGATATAGTATGCTTCGATTCAAATACATTGGTGAAATTGCCATGTAACCAAAACTCTAATGAAAAAGCTTCTAAAATAGGTTTAGATGTGTCCTTGCAATGATAAGATAACATAATAAATAGTTACCTGTCTCTGAAAATCCTTGTTCTGTATAAGGATACATAAAACATGAAAATTAAATATGTCGGTAGTAAATAATTAACACAATTCCATGACATGACAGACGTGTGTTTTCTTCATACATTAAATACAGTATCATTGGAAATATAATATTTTGTAGCAATAGCGTATGGCTGGCATTATTTAGCCTTAGTGCCCTGAGAGGACGTTGTATTATTGCTTTGTTATCGGTCACAAAGGTACAATATACTTGCTTGAGGAGTTAATATGGAATGATATGAAGATTATAATCGAAGACTATCGTTAAATATGCATTCCTCTTTTCTTTATCTCATTACAAATAAAACCCTTTATTGCAAAATACATTGATATATTTCCGCTAAAATAAATGTTCTTCGAAATCATTCTCTTACATCAAAAGATATGTAGAGATATAGAACATGAGGGTTTCATTATTATCATTATTATTATCACCTATATACTACTTTATACCACATACCGGTGGCATGATAAAATCGTTAGCATGGGTTGTCGGTATGCGAAAACTAGAAGTTGAGAACGACTTGAGAACAACTTGAAAACGGTCTGATTTTCCCATTTCTAGGCATTTGGGAACGTATTTTCTCAAGAAAGAATGTCTTCTCGTGCCAGGCGACGTCATAAACCGGAAGTGGTACCCGTAACCAAGGTAATCCGAGTAGGAAATTATTGTATAATAAACAAACCAATACACTTTTATAAGCGTAACTGTGCATAAAGAAAAACCAACAATAATAAGAATGTTTAAAAAAAATAAATCTACATAAGTTAATTGTTCTCATCCGCACAAATCTTCTATTTGTTTACGTTTTAACAGGCCGATGATTTGCGATCGATGACCATTGAGCTTAAAACCATTTGAAAAATACGGTATTAAGTTGACATTTTTAAATGGAGAAATAAATAAAGTAGTAGTATATAGATGATAAACAGTTCATCATTTCATCATACAGTATTTTCAGGGTTGGTCTGAGAACAATTTTCTCATCGCTCGCACGTAGGTAAAATATCGAGTCCACCTGCTGTGGCCTCTCGATTTTATTCACGTGCTCGCGATGAGAAAATTATTCTCACGACAAACCCTGAAAATACAGTTTGCTCATTTATATTTCTTTAAAGTTGTATCAAACCAAAGGTAAAGTATTGCCAGTAAACTTTTTGATCTTCCGGTAGTACCTTTATTTTAGAAAAACTTCCTATTCGGATATATATTTCCATTTTCGCTCCCTGGTCATTTTATGAGGTAGAATTTATGAAAATAAAAGACCATTAAATTTATAATTTCAGGATTAACATGTACCTGTTTTCCATATGCAAAATATAGGTAGAAATGTTTCAATTTTGATTTGAAATGTAATATTGTTGAAAAAACCACGATTTTCTAGTGATATTTTAAGAAATTAATAAGAGGTTATATTTACCTTCTCTCTTGACTTCGTAATCTCGATAATATGTTCACCTCTCTATATATAAGATATACAAAACGAAAAATTTGGATAATGCTTGGATCCAATAAAGTTAATATATTGTCAATTCAATTTTAATCCTCAACAAAAACTCATATTTAAGTCATCGCTAAAAACAAGTGTCGTTGCGAAGACGTGAACTCTCACATTGCATGTGAGGCACTTGGTAAATGTTTGGATCCAGTTAAGTTAATTTCGTCTCAAAAGTTATCTTCAATCTTCATCAAATAGTTGTAATGGTTAAAAAGTTTTGTTACGAAAGCTTCAAAAAATGTTTAAAGACGTGGCCTAGCAAAAAACATAAAGCAAAGGAATGGTCAAGGACATCCTAAAAAACAATGAAGATGGCACTGCAATCAAAAATTTGTTCTGTTTGAAATATAAACATTGTTTTGATGTTTATTTCATGCAAATTCATTCATTTATGTTCAACATGATTAAATCGGCCTTTGGCCGCCATGCAACACATTTCCTTACATACATTTCTTAAGCATAACATTAACCAGGATTTAATCCATATATTGATTTAAAAGAAGCGAGTCTGACTTTTAAATCGCATTCTGGTTTATTTAATACTACGTATTTAATAAATACGTTCTTACACAAAACCTGCTCCTTTGTGCAGGAAGTAATTATGTCATTAATAAAGCATTAACTTTATAATTTCATGAAATAACAGATACTTGTTTTGCAAATGTAAAACCTAGATGCCGTAACATGTTTGAAAATAACGTTATTCAAACAACGACGTTTTCCACAATATTATCAGGACCATCAATTTGATGTAATCAATGTTAAACAGGTCGGCATTAACGACAAAATTATGTCCATTTAGCAGACGAAGGAGCTCAAACTCACAAGTATAGCTTATTAAGCGTTATATGTTTATAAAGAATTTGATCATAGTTTAAAAAGATCATATACGGTTATATGTATCCTTTCCTTCATTTTCGTTATCTCAACATCAAACTCTTCCCCTATATCTGATTTTTTTTAAATCCAGCAATTCAAATATATTGTTACTCTCATTCTTCATCGAAAGCTTTGTTTTAAATACCTTCAACTGATTATTTTATCTTAATTAAAAAAACCATGTTATGCATCTGGTCAATTTAACGGTTAAAATAAATATTTCTTTCCCGCCTCACATATCGGGAGATAAGGGTACGGAGTAAACAAATAAGCGACCTTAGGCAATTCAAGATATCACCTTAAATGACGATACAGACGTTCAGTAAATACATATTAAAGAATATTTTTACAAATATTATTAATAAGTACAATCTGGAAAGCAAATATACGTAACGTAGATTCTTTGATATCTATACCAGTATGAATGTGTTAAAGAGTAGTAAAAGACTTATTCTTTATGAGGGAGAAAATGAAAACAAAAAACAATACAAAAGTCATCTTCTGTTTTCCTGAAGTAACCGATCCTTTTTTTCCAAATCAAAAATGCAGACAGAAGTGTTTTAATGAAGACTTTAAAAAGTAATGGTATTTGAAATACGATGCTTTCCCAGTTATATTATGAATATTTTAATTTGTAATCACCAGTGGAGTGTAAAATAGTTAACTATTTTCCAATAAAAATTATGTCCATTAAGCAGACGAAGAAACTTGAACTCACAAGTATTGCTTATTAATAGTTTAATCATTAATTAGAAGATCATATAACATTATTTATACCCTTTCTTCCAGCTTCCTTATCGCCACTTCAAGCTCGTCTCTCTATACAAAAGTAATAAATGTAAAACGTGAGACATTTGCTTTATAAAACCTGGATCCAGTTTTTATAAATGTTTTGTCAGTAAAATTTCGATCATAAGCAGTTTTGAATGAACGAATTTTCTTGATATAGAATATAGAAATAAAGAATTCTGTAATAAAATTAAAATATCCGTACAATAGAGTGCCCCCCCCCCCCTCCCCCTGGCAATATCTTTTGTACCGATGAAAGAATTGATCACTTCCGTTTGTAAACTGCCATGTAGACTATGTAGATCAGCTCAAATGTATGTATATATACCTCATATTTCAGCTTCGAGTTCTCAACAACAGCCACTTCCATCTGAATATAAGTAGAGATATATAACGCAATTTGTTGCAAAGTAAAGGTATTGAAAATATGATGGTTTATCCAATAATATCATGAAAATTTTAATTTGATGTCATCAGTGGAGTGTAAAATAGGTTGATATTTTCTATGGTATTGACGTTATGTTTATTTCATTTTCTTTCATTTCAACCACAATAAAAGTGAGGAGAAATATTTGCAAACAATGTTTTCATTATATTTTTTTCAAACAAAATTAAAACATTGTTGACAAATACCTCAATTTTAAGCAAGTAGTTTGTTTTAGATTCAACTCTCAATTCGGCTAAATTGTGTTCTTACGAGTTGGATACAAACATTCCTGAATATGAATTTAACTTTACATTTCCCCTGCAAAATTCGAATATAAACAACATCAGAAAGACTTGTGTTCATAGGATAATGAAAACATTTTGATCAAGGTCATTTTAACTTTTGTCCTCCCGCCTCAAATATGGTGAGATAATGGGAGGGAAAAGCAATTTTGTGACATGAGGCTATTACAGGGATATCGTTTTCAATGACGATACAGACATTTCAGTAAATAAATATTACGGTGTGAATAACTACAATCTGGAAAGCAAAGATATGTAACGGAGATTCTTTGATGTTCATGCAAGTCTTTCTTCTGTTTTCGTAAAATAACGGTTACTTTTTTGCAAATTCAAAACTCAGGCAGAGGTATTTTAAATGACACTTTGAAAAGTAATGGTATTGAAAATGCGATGCTTTTCCGCAAGTTATTTCATGAACATTTTAATTTGATGTGAACAGAGGAGTGTTAAACAGTTTTATATTTTCCAACAAAAAATATGTTTACTTAGAAGACGAAGGAGCTTGAACTTATTAAGCGATATCATATTTCTCTGAAAAGGTTCATTTAGCAGGACTCTTAGGTATGTGTGCAAATTTCATCGATTCAATGCTATGTAAAAACGATGTCCTTATGCAAATCATGTAACAGACTGTGCGCCGTTATGAACAGAGACCATGGGGGCTTACCGGCTCAGCCAGGTTTACGACACATTGTTCACAACAGTGGTGAACAAGGGCAGTGGTGAACAAGGGGGAAGTAACTCCCATATCACTTACGACACCAGTGACCAAGCTGGAAGAATTTCCGGGAAACTGTCTGGGTAAGACCATCGTTTTTGCATAGCAGTGACTCGATGAAACTTGCACATTTACGTTATTATATTTGTAAATAATTTAATCATTAATTAGAACATCTTTTAATATATTTACCTTTTCCTTCAGTTTCTATGGACTGGGATCCAGTAAATTAAATGTATTGTTAGAAAAAAATCGATCATCAGCAGCTTATTATGAAATTATCTTTTACAGCAAATTTAACGTCGCAAAGAAGTGCTACTTTATCACGTGTGTATTTGAAATTATAATAAGAAAGCATTTGATGCTTTCGTTTCAATATGTTTAGGTGAACCTTAGCAGTAGTAAGGTAACAGAAAAATAATTTGACTCAAATCCTTGTCCTATGGGAGGAAACAAAATATATAAATAGAAATGAAACATGTCTTTAGTAATGATTCAACCAATAGCATGACATGATAGACACGAGGTTTCTTCGTATAGACTATAGAAATAAAGAATTTGATCGTAGAATTTCGTTAAATATACATGTCTTTTTATCTGATTACAAATGGAATAATGAAAATATCTGTCAAATAGAGTGATATCCCCAAAATGCATCGTCTGTGGTGCCGGGGAAGGAATTTAGCTTTAAACCTTTCAATTATCGTTTGAAAACTGCCCTGAAGACTATGTAGATAAGCTCATACGTATGTATATATACCTCGTGTTTCAGCTTCGTGTTCTCAACATCAGCCTCTTCCTTCTGAATATATGTAGAGATATTTCATGTTAATTTTTACTTATACACATTTATGAGTTTTTTCAGTAAAATAAGTATTTTCGTTTTATATTACCCTCAAACTCGGATTAACCATCATTAGTTCTCATGAGTCTAATGCTTTCATCGGAATATATTTACATTTTGCTCCAAATAACACTATTAGACGAACTTGTCATAATACGATTATGAATAAAATTAGACCAAAATGTCATTCAACAATGCAGAAAATGATATGGAATACTCTTTAAATCACAATAATAATTATTAATTTGAAATGTTAAATATCAATAAAGACATTAATTCAAGTGTAGATGTGTTTATTAAAAGTATCAAGTTCATTTTTATTAAAGGGCCTTTTTTATGATGTGGAATATATAAACATATTAACTAGTACAGTACTTACTGTGAAAGAAACATAACTGATTATTGCAATATGAGAAATAACTGTTTATTTTTTTCCTGTGGCTATCTTGTTTCCATGATCACACTCAAAATAAAACATGCACAACTAAGGACCATGGGGAACCTACATCCCTCAAGTATTTCCTGAGAAATAGTGATAACAAACATTGACTGTAAAAATCACATATCGTCGTCTGCTGACCATTTTGTTAACTGTCAAAAACCAAGATGTCCGTAAGTCAGCCATTCTTTATCCGATCAGTTTCAAAAGTCAACATGCACAACAACAGACTCCGGGAAACATTAATGTAAATTTTCGGAAAGATCCATACAGTTGTTTATTAGAAATAGAGATAACAAACTGTCAAAATACAAGATGGCCGCCTGTGAGTTGTTTCGTTTATCCGATCAGTCTAAAAAGTGAACATGCACAACTAGGGACCAATAGGGAACCTATATTTCAAATTAGATAAAGCTGCCTCAAGTACTTTCTGAGAAATAGTGATAGCAAGTATTGTTTTTAGGCGGACGACTGACGACGGATGGACGGAGCACGGATGAGGGATGATTTGAAAAGATCAGATTTGTACCAATTGATGGTGGTGGGCTAAAACATGACGATGTCCTAGTGATATGAGAAATTGAAGAAGATCTTACCGCTGAAGCTATGAAATAAGTTCATGTTTTTCAACGGACTTGAACTCTCACCTACTATTTTTCGAAGTGCTATAAGAATTAATCTTATTAGAAAATCATAAGAAGTTACCTTCTCTCTCGACTTCGTTATCTCGACATTATGTTCGCCTCTCTATATAGAAGACATACAAGATGAAATATTTAGATAATGTTCAGATCCAATAAGCTGAATATTGTCAATTTTAATCCTCAACAAAAACTCATGTTTTAAATCTTCTTTAAAAACAAGTGTTTTTGCGAAGACGTGAACTTTCACATAACATGTGAGACATTTGAATAATACTTGGATCCTGTAAAGTTCATGTTTTCTCGAAAATAATCTTCGATCGTCTAAAATAAAGTTCAAATGGTCACAATGCTTTGTTACCAAAGTTTCAAAAAATGTTTAAAACGTGGCCTTATAGACGACATAACGCAAAGGAAATGTCGAGGACATCCTGAAAATCCATGCAAACTAATCATTTTATGCTAAAAATTATTCAAATGTTGTGCCACAATGCAATACATTCTTTACATACATTTATATAATCATAACATTAACTAGAATTTAATTTGATATAAATTAGAAATGAGCAAATCATAATTTTAAAACACGTCCTGCTTTTTTCAATTCAACGTTTAATTATTACGTTCTTACACATAAATTTCTACTTTGTGAAGGAAGGAATTATGTAAAAGATAAAGCAGTCAATTTATAATCTAATGAAATAACAGATACTTGTTTTGAAAATGTAAAACGTAGATACTGTAATATAGAATACAAAATTAACGTTATTCAATAATTGATGTTTTCCCCAATATCATGAACATTTTAATTTGATGTCATCAATGTTCTTATGATTTGGATAAATAATTTCTCCAATCAAAATAAATATTTACATTTCCACTGCAAATCTGCATATAAACAACATCGGGAAAACCTGTGTTTATAGAATAATGAACAACTTCGCCTAACTGGTACGCTTGGCAAACGTAGTTATACATTTTAAATAATTAAACATTAATATGCAGATCAGATAAAGTTATATATACCCTTTTCTTCAACTTCGTTATCTCCACTTCAAACCCGTCTTCTATTTTATTGATAATGATCAGATACAGTTTGGTAAAACATCTTGCTACTTTCAATCTTAATGAAAAACTTTGGTTTTAAATTATCCTTAACTTATTATTGTTATGTTAAATTACAAAACAGAAAACAGACACCTTATGCTTCGGTTTTAATCTAAAAGGTACAATTACGTGTTGCTAAATCACAATAAAACTGTTTTTTGAGTTGTTTTGATATGACAAAGTAGAACTTATACAACAGATAAAAATTGTTGAATATATTGCTTTGTTGAAAACTCATATGAAGATATCATACCTCGCGCTTCAAGTTCCTTATCTCGACTTTGTCCGCTTCTATCTAAATATAAGAAGAGATGTGCAACGTTTAGCTTATGTATTTTCTTTCATTTTTCAACCCCGATAAAAGTGAGAAGAGATATCCAATTTCAGAAATTTGCATATAATGTTTTATTCTAATGTTTTTCAAACAAATTGAAAACATTATTACCGAATTTATTAATCTTTAGCATTTACATTTCCACTGCAAATTCGAATATAAACAGCATCAGAAAAACCTGTGTTCATCTGATAATGTAAACATTTTGATCAATGTCATTTTAACTTTTATCCACCCCGCCTCAAATAACGTGAGCTCATGGTAGGGAGCAAACAAGTAGTGACCTGAGGCTATTCCAGGAATATGGTTTTCAATGACGATAAAGACATTTCAGTAAATAAATATTACAGAATACTATATTAAGATAATAAATAACTACAATATGGAAAGCAATTATTTGTAACGGTGATTCTTTGATATCCATACCAGTGTAAATGGGTTGACTTACAGAAAAATCTTATTCTTTGTGAGGAAAGAAATGAAAAATTAATTAAACAAAAGTAAACGCTTGTTTTCTCGAAATACCGGAAACTTGATATACAAATCCAAACCTCAGCCGGAAGTGCATTAATTTACACTTTGAACAGCAAAAGTATTGAAAATACGATTCTTTTCCGCCAGAAATATCATGAATATTTTAATTTGATTTCACCAGTGGAGTGTAAAACATTTTGATATTTTCCAACACAAATTATGTCCATTAAGAAGACGAAAAGCTTGTACTCAAAAGTATAGCTTATTTAGCGTTATGATATTTGCAAATAATTTAAGCATTAATTAGAAGATCATATGAGATAAAATGTACCTTTTTCTTCAGATTCTTTGTCTTCTCATCAAGCTCGTCTCTCTATAGATCAGTATTAAACTAAACCGTGAGGAATATTTTATATACCACTTGGATCCAGTAAATGAAATGTATTGTCTGTAAATTTGCGATCATCAGCACCTTGTTATAAAATTAACTTTTACAGCTAACGTAACGTCGCAAAGACGAAGGATCCTGAACTCACAAGTATAGCCTATTAAGCGTTATCATATTTGTTAATATTTTAATAATAAATTAGAAGATCATATCAGGTTATATATACCTTTTTCTTCAACTTCGTTATCTCCACTTCAAACCCGTCTCTCTATATTTAGAAAAATGTTTAGACTGAGATCCAGTAAGCTAAATATCTTGTTACCAAAAACTTTTGTTTTAAATGATCTTAAACTTATTATTTTATGTTTAATCACAAAACAGACACATTGTGCTTCGGTTTTAATATAAAGGTTTCAATTCTATGTTCCTAAATCATAATGAAACTGCTTCTCGAGTTGTTTTGATGAGACATAGTAAAACTTATACAACACAATCAAAATGTTAAAATATATTGCTGAGTTGAGAAAATCTTATGAAATACTATACCTCGCGCTTCAAGGTCCTTATCTCGACATTATCCGCTTCTATCTAAATATAAGAAGAGATATTCAACGTTAGGCTTATTAATTTCATTTCATTACAACCACAATAAAAGTTAGGAGAGACATCCAATTTCAGAAATTTGCAAATAATGTTTTATTTTAATTTTATTTTTTCAAACAAAATGAACATATTGGCAAATTTCTCAATACTTAGCAGGTAGTTTTATTTTAGATTTAACTCTCAAATCTGAATAAATTATGGAAAGGTCTAACGATTTGGATAAACAAATCCTCGAATTCGAATATAATTTACATTTCCACTGCAAATTCGAATACATGTTATAAATAACATCATAAAAAACCTGTGTTCATAGGATGATAAAACATTTTGATCAATGTCATTTTAACTGTTGTCCTCCCCGCCTCAAATAACGTGAGATCATGGTAGGGAGAAAACAAGTAGTGACCTGAGACTATTCCAGGAATATGGTTTTCAATGACGATAAAGACATTCACTTATATTACAGAATGCTTGATTCTTCGATATCCATACCAGTGTGAATATGTTTAAGAGTAGTAAAAGATTTATTCTTTATGAGGAAAGAAATGAAAAAAAAAAAAAAATAACACAAAAGTTGAAAACTTCTGTTTTCCTGAAATAACGGATACGTTATTTACCAATTCCAAAAATTAGGCAGAAATGTTTAAATGAAAACTTAAAAAAGTAATGGTATTGAAAATCCGATGCTTTTCCACCAGTAATTTCATGAACATTTGAATTTGATGTTAACAGTGGAGTGTAAAACAGTTTGATATTGTCTTGCAAAAAATGTATCCATTAAGCAGCTTACAAGTATAGTCCTTGTCCTATAGGAGGAGACAAAATATATGAGTAAAAATGAAACATGTTTTTAGTAATGATTCACACATTAACATGACATGATAGAAACGAGTTTTCTTGATATAGATTATAGAAATGAAGAATTCAATCGAAGAATTTCGAAGGATATGCATGTCTTTTTTTATATGTTAATAATGGAATAATAAAATTATCTGTAAAATTGCGTGATATTTCCTCCCAAATGCAATGTCATTTGTGCCGCTGAAGGAATTTATCTCATAAGTCTTTAAACCTTCCATGTATTGTTTGTAAACTGACCCGTAGACTATATGTAGACAAGCTCATATTATTCAATTATAGCCTTTGGCTGAGGTTGATACCTGGATTTATGAACCCGAGAAAAGATATATTAACCGAGGACTGCGTCTTTCCTCGGGTCGATTAATCCAGGAATCGACAGAAGTTAAAGGCTATAATTGTTTTATTATTTTCAAAACAGTAATGTAAGCAATCTGAAAAATGTACAATTTAACAAGGTCGACATTTTTTATCGCTGTCAAATATCATGTTTTTACAGCAGTAGAGGTACACCCTTTTGTATTGTATGCATCAACATCTTCTAGAAGCGCATCAAGTTGTTCACCTTCAATGGTGGGGAATCTATCGAAGGATATTTTAGCCGCCATTTTGTTGCTACGAAAGCGGGACGGTGCGTTCATTTGGAGACACGTCTTAACTCTATTTTTAGAAACACCAAGTCCTTCAACAAAAATCACGCGCTCCAAGTCAATATCGGTTTTTATCGGTGTACACGTGATGCACTTCTGGTCAATTATTTGTCGGGAATGATATCAACAAATAATAAGAATGCATATAAACCTCGAATTTCAGCTTTATGATCTCAACATCAGCCTCTTCCTTCTGAATAAAAGTAGAAATATATAATGTGTATTTGTTCTCCCACAAATTTAGAAAAGTAAAGTAAGTATTTGTATTTGATATTCACCCTCAAACTCGGATTAACTCGGAGTCTGATGCTTCCATCAAAATATAAATTCAGCAAAAAGTATTTTTTTATTATCTTATAAAGCAATTGAGACAAAGAAGAATTGCGTCTTCACATTTGTGATTGAAATTATAGAAAAGATATAGTATGCTTCGATTTCAATACATTGGTGAAAATGTAACCAAAACTCTAATGAAAAAGCTTCTAAATTGGTTTAGATGTGTCCTAGCAATGGTTAGATAACAAAAACTAGTTACCTCTCTCTGCAAATCCTTGTTCTGTATGAGGATACATAAAACATGAAAATGAAACAAGTTGGTAGTAAATAATTTCCACAATTCAATGACATAACTGATATGTGATTTCTTCATACATTAAAATAAAGTATCATTGGAAATATCATATGTTGTAGCAAAAGTGTATAGATGACATTACTTAGCATTAGTGTCCTGAGAGGACATTGTGTTGTTGTTTCGTTTTTGGTCACTGTACTTACATGAGGATTTTCTATGGAATGATATGAAGATTTTAATCAAAGGCTATCATGAAATATACATTCTTTTTTTTATCTAATTATCTAAGAATAGATTAAATCCCTTGATTGCAAAATATATAGATATTTTCCACTAATATAAATGTTCTCGACATCATGCACTTACATCTAATAAGAAAATCTTATAAATTCATGTAATAGACATCAACAGTGACCAAGATGGCAGACTGTCAGCGAAACTGTCTGGGTAAGAATATCGTTTTTCCATAGCAGTGACTCGATGAAACTTGCACATTTACGTTATAATATTTGTAAATAATTTAATCATTAATTAGAAAATCTTATGAGAGTATATGTACCTTTTCCTTCAGCTTCTTTATCGCCACATCAAGCTCGTCTCTCTATTGATCAGTATTTAATGTAAAACATTGTTATCCAGTAAATTGAATGTATTGTTAGTAAAAATTCGATCATCAGCAGCTTATTATGAAATGATCTTTTACAGCAAATGTTACGTCGCAAAGAAGTGCTACTTTATCACGAGTGTAATTGAGATTTTAAAATGAAAACATCTTATGCTTAGGTTTCAATATTATCTTTAAAATGCTATAATACCGAATGCCTTATAATAAGGCTCCTATTACTGTTTTGATGTGCCTTAGAAATATACTAGTTTTACTAATTAGATTCGTAATATAGAGTGATATTTCCCCCAATTTTTTTTATTTTTTTTGTGACGATGAAGGAAGTAATCTGTTCAGTTTTTAAACCTTTAAAATATGGTAATTAAACTTCCCTGTAGTTTGTGTAGATAAGCTTATATGAGGTTATATACCTCGAGTTTCAACTTTGCTTTCTCAACAACAACCACGTTCATCTGAAAATAAATAAACATATATAATGTTATTTTTTCTCACAAAAATTAAGTTCGTTTTTCACTACCTGTCTTTTTGTGAGAAGATTTATGTAAACAATAGACCAGTCAATTAATGATTTCAGGAATAGCAGATACCTGTATTCTAAATGCAAAATACAGGTAGAAATGTTTCAATGTTGGTATGAAGTGTAGTATTATTGACTAAAAATCCTAGAGGGATCTTGGCGCCCACCATTGTATATTCTTCATTAGTTCTACGGTGTTAGATATTTTCTCTCCTTTTCACTCGTCTGTTTGATCGAGTCACGTGAACAATAAATGCACCTTGCGGTAACTCTTAATCTAAACTTCATACTGTTGTGTATAAAAACCAGCCTTCAAAATGAGTTTTTCATTTCACATTTTACTTATTCATTACATAATGTGAAAGAAATAGAACCGATCATTGCAATATTAGAAAGATCTGTAAAGTTCTCCCTACTGCGATTGTATGATCACACTCAAAATACAACAACAGACCAAAGGGATCCTACATATCAATTTTGAAAAAGATCCCTCAAATACTTTCTGAGAAAAGCAATAACAAACCTTAACTACAAAAAAAGATGGCCTCCAGTCAACAAGTTTTTTTTTATCAGATCAGGCACAAAAGTAAACATGCATAACTACGTACCAAGGGGAACCAACATATAAAAATTGTACTTCCTTAAAAATAGTGAAAACAAACGCTCATTGTCAAAATCTAAGATGGCCACCTCTTGACCATTTTGTTCACCCCATCAGTCAGGACCAAGGGAAACCTACAAATTTGGGATAGATCCGTCGTGGACTTTCTGAGAGAAAAAACAAACAAAATATAACTATTGTATAGGTGTTTGATCAATGTCATTGGACTATAGTTTTAGTGTTAGATTATTTTCATGTATAGAATCAAGTCTAGGGATGAGAATGAAAGAGGCGGTAGGCAAGCCCTTGCCCATTTATTTTAAAGTGTATTGGAATATATATAGGGAATATAAATATATATCTGTATAAGTATATCTCCGGAAAACTAGAGGTATGTCAGAATATACGTAAGGAATGGAATAACATCTATAAAATACATGTTATGTGAAAATAAGTATATTTTAGGAATAGGGTTAATTTGTATAATAGATTGAGCGAGAGTATGAGAGTGGCATGCGTGTAACTGTGTGTAACTATATTTACCTTCTCTTTTAACTTCGTCATCTCGACATTATGTTCGTCTCTCTTAATATAAAACATACAAGATGAAACATTTGGATAATGGATGAATCCAATAAGCTCAATATGTTGTTAATTTTATTCCTCAACAAAAACTCTTCTTTTAAACAATCTTTTAAAGCAAGTATGGCTACGAAGTGGTGAACATCTAATGCCACTTTATGATATATCAATTGCTATGCTACTAAAGGCCTTATAATAAGACTCGTATAACTGTTTTGATTTGTCTTAGTACTAGATAACCGAAAAATTGGTCCTTTTTATGCAAATCGCAAAACGAGTTTAAAGTGTACCCTGAATGAAAATAGAAATGAATATATCATTAATCTTAAATGATCCAAACACAAAAAAGGTCGAAAACCGCATTAAAATCGGTCATCCCGATACCGAGATATCGACGTGTAAAGTGTGGGATTTTCATCTGTACCTTTTCTACTAATTAGCATTATCAGAACTCGCGGTGAATTGGCCCCTATTGGCTGTGACGTCACACGTTCAACGGCTATGGGGGTCACCATCGAAGGAATATGCGATATCGAGAACAGCCATGGTCATACAGCGTCAGATTGCGAATTCACCTTTTTTTTTATAGTTTTTTAGGAATCAGATTATGCCGGAGATAACATTATGTAGATGATATCCAGTCATATGAAATTTGCCAGAATTTCCAGACAGTGAGTTTAATTGAAACCAAACTGACAACTCTGATATAGGGCAACATAGACTGGTAGCATTGCATGTCCTGATTCTGTGCACCGAGGGGATGTTTTCTCTCGAATGAACGAGTTTGAGGGAAATTAAACAGAATTAGTCTCAATGTTATCGATCAAATATATTTTAGCCGAAAAGTGAGTTCGCAACAGGTTTCTTTACTCTACACAGAGACGTATACACTTTATATATCTCTGCTCAACAGCACAACAGTTTCTGTGCCGGAATATTTATCTTGCAAAGATAGATACTGTCGTAACTCTACGGTCCAAAAATACGAAAATATATCAGTGAAAAATGTTTACAGAATAACTTCAACGTTGGTGTCTGCTGTTTTTAAATGTCAATAATTTTAGTAATGACAAGTCGACGACATTGTGTCTTCCTTATTTTAGGTAGACAATTAAAATAAACATCAATAAACAAACAGGTACACGTTTTAATTGTATACAATACAGTACCTATGTATGTGATGCTAAATAAGATCACTGAATTATATAATCTAATTTTGTGATGAAATTTATTTCGAAAATATAATTGAATTATGAGATTCAAACACTTTTGAAAATCATCTCGATCCACTCCCTTAGCATACTAAGGTGTGAAATTTGTGTACAGGTAAATAACACTAAACACCTGTGTCCAGTACTGACAGCAGGAGGCCCATGAAACACCTATATACCCGTGTACAGGTATGACATCATTTTTGTCAATTCCAATCGTATATGTACATATATTGCAAAGAAAGTGGTACGGTGCGCCTACGTTAATTTGACTCAATTTTTAATCAATCGTTTTGTGTGGTATATAGGTGTTCATCAAATGTTCTAAAATCAATTTAATAAGGTAGAGTATACTATTTAGAGTCACTAGATTAACCAAATATGTAAAAATGAAAAACACATATTCATATAGTTTTTCACCGTTTGCCTCCTCAGGGGGAACTCATTTCTTCATTAAAATTGTAAACAAAAATGTTTATACATATGTAGTTTTTAAATAGTATCAACACAAGTAAGTGACGACGGAATATATCATTTAAAGTAGCTAAATAACTCACATGTCGAACGCACGGTCAAAGCTTCCCGGTATATTTCTATAGGGCTGATTTGACAGCGTTTAACATGTGACGTCATAGATGTGGGCTACCCATATCGAGGCGAACGCCTCTGAGCCAAAATATCTCGGACCCGGAGTCAACTACGACGTTCGAACCTTCTTAGCCTTTTATTGTATAATATGAAGTATTTTCATAACTTCATATAGCAAAACGTTCAGGGTACACTTTAACGGATAAATAAAATAGAAATAAAGAATTTAATCGAAGAATAAAATACAGTAATGATTTCCCTACAATTCAAAGATTTTTGTGCCAATGAAGGAATTGATCTCATAAGTCTGAACATCTTTCAAATATTGTTTGTAAACTACCCTGTAGACTATGTAGATAAGTATGTATGTATATATACCTCGTGCTCCAGCTTCACTTTTTCAGCAAGAACAACCGTTTCCATCTGAATATAAGTAGAGATATATAAAGCGATTTTGTACTTAACCAAGCATTTTCAGTAAATGAAGTACTATTATTTTATATTACCCTCATACTCGCATTAACAATAATTAGTTTTCAGAAATTCGGATGCTCCCATCAAAATATATTTACATTGACATATATAAACATTCACTATTAAAATATATTATTATATAAAAATGTCATTTTGACGGTATAGACATCCCAATGCAAAAATCGTATCAGCGAAAAGTATTGTTTGGGATTATCTTATAAAGCAACTATGTAAATACAAAAAATATTTGGTCTTTAAAATTATAGAATTATATATTATGCTTTAAACTCTAATGCAAAAAGCTTCTAAAATTGGTTTAGATGTTTCATAGCAATGGTTAAATAATAAAAATAATAGTTACCTGTATCTGCAAATCCTCGTTCTGTATGAGGATACATTAAACATAAAAATGAAACAAGTTGGTAGTAAATACTTTACACAATTCAATAACATAACTGACAGCTTGGATCCAATAATGTTAATATGTTGTCAATTTTAATCCTCAACAACAACTCATGTTTTAAATAATCTTTAAAAACAAGTGTCGTTGCGAAGACGTGAATTTCCACATTACATGTGAGGCACTTGTGAATTTTAAAAAAGCGAGTCTAAATTATATTCGCATTCTGTTTTTCTTTCAATACTACGTGTTTGATAAATACTTTATTTCACAAAACCTGCTCCTTTGTGCAGGAAGTAATTATGTAAATGATAAAGTAGTAACTAACAGATACTTGTTTTGCAAATGTAAAACGTAAATTGTTTTGCAAATTTAAAACGTACATAGATTTTGAAAAAACGTTATTCAAACAACGACGTTTTCCCCAATAACGTCACAACCATTTCAATTTGATATCATCGAAGTAAAATAGGTCGGCACTAACGACAAAAGTATGTCCATTTAGCAGACGAAGGAGCTCAAATTTACAATCATAGTTTATTAAGCATTATATTTGTAAAAAAATGATTTTTGATTAAAAAGATCATATACGGTATTTTGTACCATTTCCTTCAACTTCGTTATCTCAATATCAAACTCATTTCCCTTTATATGAAAATTGTTAAGATCCAGTAATCTAAATATATTGTCACTTTCATCTTCATCGAAAGCTTTGTTTTAAATTAACTTTTCATGATTATTTTATCTTAACTAAAAAAAACAGACATGTTATGCATCTGTTCAAGATAACGGTTAAAATATATGTTTACATTTTCACTGCCAATTTGAATATACATGTAACTAACATCAGAATAACCTATGTTCATAGAATAATGAATACAAAATCAATGTCATTTTAACTTTTGCCGTCCCGCCTCACATATTGGGAGATTATGGTACGGAGCAAAAAAATAAGTAACATAAGTCTATTCCAGTGATATCACTTTAAATGGCGATACAGACATTTCAGTAAATACATATCATAGAATATTTTTACGAGTATATTTAATAACTACAATCAGGAAAGCAAAAAAAACTTAACGTAGATTATTTAATATATATACCAGTGTTTATATGTTGAAGAACAGTAAAAGACTTATAGTATGAGGGAAGAAATGGGGGGAAAAAGGAAAAAAACAAAAGTAATCTTCTGTTTTCCTGGAATAACGGATCGGTTTTTTTTTCAAATCCTAAATGCAGGGAGAAGTGTTTTAATGATCACTTTAAAAAGGAATGGTAAAGAAACTACGATACTTTTCCCCTAGTATTAGGAAAGTTTGAATTTGTAATCATAAGTGGAGTGTAAAATAGGTTGATATTTACTTAAACAAACATGTCCATTAAGAAGACGAAGAAGCTTGAACTCACAAGTATAGCTTATTAAGCGATATCATATTTAGCTGCAAAGGTTTCATTTAACAGGAATATTAGGTATATGTGCAAGTTTCATCGAGTCACTTTTATGTAAAAACGATGTTCTTAGGAAAATTATGTAATAGACGTCAACAGTTACCAAGATGGCAGAATGTCAGTGAAACTGTCTGGGTAAGAACATCGATTTTACATGATGAAACTTGCACATTTACGTTATGATATTTGTAAATAGTTCAATCATTAATTAGAAAATCTCATGAGAGTATATGTACCTTTTCCTTCAGCTTCTTTATCGCCACATCAAGCTCGTTTCTCTATAGATCAGTATTAAATGTAAAACATGAGGTATTTTTTTTTATAAAACTTTTATCCAGTAAAATAAATGTATTGTTAGTAAAATTTCGATCAGCAGCAGCTTATTATGAAATGATCTTTTACAGCAAATGTTACGTTGCAAAGAAAATTACGAGTGTAATTGAGATTTTAAAATGAAAACATCTTATGCTTAGGTTTCAATATTATCTTTAAAATGCTATGCTACCGAATGCTTTATAATAAGGCTACTATAACTGTTTCGGTGTGCCTTAGAAATATAACAGTTTTTCATCTAATAATAAATGGAATTACTAACTAGATTCGTAATATAGAGTGACATTTCCCCCAAAATATAATTTCTTTTGTGCCGATGAAGGAATGTATCTGTTCAGTTTTTAAACCTTTTAAATATGATAAGTAAACTTCCCTGTAGATTCTGTATACCTCGAGATTCAAATTCGCTTTCTCATCATCAATCACGTCCATCTGAAAACAAGTAAATATATATAATGTTATTTTTTCTCACAAACATTAAGTTCATTTTTCACTGCCTGTCGTTTTGTGAAGAAGAATTTATGTAAAAAATATACCAGTCAATTTATGATTTCAGGAATAGCAGGTACCTGTTTTCTAAATGCAAAATATAGGTAGAAATGTTTCAATGTTGATATGAAGTGTAGTATTAATGACTAAAAATCCTAGAGGGATCTTGGCGCCCACCATTGTACATTCTTCATTAGTTCTACGGTGTTAGATCTTTTCTCTCGTCTGTTTGATCGAGTCATGTGTGAACAGTAAATGCACCTTGCGGTGAAACTTAATCTAAACTTCATGTAAGGTTCTTCCTACAGTACTCTTGTTTGTATGATCAAAGGGGGTCCTACATATCAAATTTCAGAAACATCCCTCAAGTACTTTCTGAGAAAAAGCCAAAACAAACCTTAACTATAAAAATCCAAGATGGCCGCCAGTCAATAAGTTTTTGTTATCAGATCAGGCTCAAAAGTAAACATGCAAACTACATACCAAGGGGATCCAACATATCAAATCTGTGCTTCTTTAGAAATAGTGAAAACAAACGCTCACAGTCAGCATCCAAGATGGCTACCTCTTGACCATTTTGTTCACTTCATCAGTCTCAAAAGTAAACATGCACGTTTAAGGACCAACGGAAACCTACATAACAAATTTGGGATAGATCCGTCCAATATTTTCTGATTGAAAGCAATAACAAACCTTAATAGTCAAAACCAAAATTGGCCGCCAGTCAGCTATTTCGTTTAACTGATCAGTCTAAAAACTAAACATGCACAACTAGGGACCAAGGAAACCTACATACTTCCTGAGAAGTAGCGAAAACAAACATTCGCTGTCAAAGATGGCCGCCCTTTGACCATTTTGTTTATCCGATCAGTTTCAACAGTAAATCTGCACAACTAAGGATCAAGGTGAACTTGAGAAAGATCCCTTCAGTACTTTCTGGGAAATAGATATTACCAGAATTGTTGAAGGATAGGCGGACCAATGACATCGGATGAAGGACGATTTGAATATTGAATAAGATACGACGATGTTTTAGTGATATCATGAGAAATTTATGTCGACGGACGACGTACAACGGACGGACGGACCACGGACAAAGGGCGATTTGAATAGTCCACTATCAGATGATGATGATGGGCTAAAAATGCGATGATTTCGTTGTGATATGAGAATTTGAAGAAGGTATTGTCATTGTAGCTGTAATTGTAGTCATTGTGGGTTTATATAATTTTACTGGTGGACTAATAAATAATAATGATGATGGTACATTTGATTTAGCACCATTGTCATGGACATGAAGGGGAATGCATCCTTAATGTTTGTGTGTACCTGTACCTGTAATAAAGTAGGCATGTGATGACACCTGGCCGCCAGGGAGACATTTGATTGGTACCTGACTGGTCAATCAAATAGGACGCATGGTGAGTTCAGGGTAGGCATGAGAATACCCGGGAATATGCAGGCAGTTGAATACGTGTACTGGTGAGCACAGTCATTAAAGGTAAGTCGTTCTAAAGTTTTAAGGTTCTAAAGTCTAAGTATTTGTAAAAGATATATATAAGTAACAAGTGTATTAAGCAATATTCTATTATACAGTAAACGTAAGGTATAGGACTTATTATTTAAATTAAAGTAATTTTGGTAATATAATAGTCATGTGAATATTTTTAGGACATTGAAGGTCACCAGTGAATAATGTTTAGTAAAATATTATTGAGATTCAAAAATAACTATTGTATAGGTGTATGATCAATGTCATTGGACTATAGTTTTAATGTTAGATTATTTTCATGTATAGAATCAAGTCTAGAGATGAGAATGAAAGAGGCGATAGGCAAGCCCTTGCCCATTTATTTTAAAGTGTATTGGAATATATATAGGGAATATAAATATATATCTGTATAAGTATATCTCCGGAAAACTAGAGGTATGTCAGAATATACGTAAGGAATGGAATAACATCTATAAAATACATGTTATGTGAAAATAAGTATATTTTAGGAATAGGGTTAATTTGTATGATAGATTGAGTGAGAGTTATTTCCCTTGGTAGGTATGAGCGTGGCATGTGTGTAACTGTGTGTAACTATGTTTGTATTTGTATGTTTCTAGGGGTTTTGTTGCGGATATATTCCTCAGGGAATAAAGAAGGAAAAATCTAACCGGACTGGGTTCAGTTATTGATTACTCGGATACACAAATATCATTTACCTTCTCTTTCAACTTCGTCATCCCGACATTATGTTCGTCTCTCTTGATATAAAACATACAAGATGAAACATTTGGATAATGGATGGATCCAATAAGCTCAATATGTTGTTAATTTTAATCCTCAACAAAAACTCTTCTTTTAAACAATCTTTTAAAGCAAGTATCGTTGCGAGGTGGTGAACATCTAATGCCACTTTATGATATATGATATATCAATTGCTATGCTACTAAAGGCTTTATAATAAGGCTCGTATAACTGTTTTGATTTGTCTGAGTACTAGATAACAGAAAAATTGTTACTTTTTTATGCAAATCGCAAAACGAGTTTAAAGTGTACCCTGAACGAAAATAGAAATGAATATATTATTATTCTTAAATTATCCAAACACAAAAAAAGGTCGAAAACCGCATTAAAATCGGTCATCCCGATACCGAGATATCGACGTGTTAAATGTGGGATTTTCATCTGTACTTCTTCTACTTATTAGCATTATCATAACCTGCGGTGATTTGGCCCCTATTGGCTGTGACGTCACACGTTCAACGGCTGTAGGGGTCACCATCGAAGGAATATGCGATATCGAGAACAGCCATGGTCATACAGCGTCAGATTGCGAATTCACTTTCTTTTTTTTTTTTAGTTTTGAGGAATCAGATTATGCTGAAGATAACATTATGTAGATGATATCCAGTCATATGAAATTTGCCAGAATTTCCAGACAGTGAGTTTAATTGAAACCAAACTGACAACTCTGATATAAGGCAACCTAGACTGGTAGCATTGCATGTCCTGATTCTGAGCACCGATGAGATGTTTTCTCTCGAATGAACGAGTTTGAGGTAAATTAAACAGAATTAGTCTCATTGTTGTCGATCAAATATATTTTAGCTGGAAAGTCAGTTTGCAACAGGTTTCTTTACTCTACACAGAGACGTATAAACTTTATATGTCTCTGCTCAACAGCACAACAGTTTCTGTGCCGGAATATTTATCTTGCAAAGATAGATACTGTCGTACCTCTACGGTCCAAAAATACGAAAATATATCAGTGAAAAATGTTTACAAAATAACTTCAACGTTGGTGTCTGCTGTTTTTAAATGTCAATAATTTTAGTAATGACAAATCGACGACATTGTGTCTTCCTTATTTTAGGTCGACAATTCAAATAAACAGTAAAATACAGACAGGTACACTTTTTAATTGTATACAATACAGTACCTATGTATGTGATGCTAAATAAGATCACGGAATTATATAATCTAATTTTGTGATGACATTTATCTCGAAAATATAATTGAATTATGAGATTCAAACACTTTTGAAAATCATCTCGATCCACTCCTTTAGCATACTTAGGTGTGAAATTTGTGTACAGGTAAATAACACTAAACACTTGTGTCCAGTACTGACAGCAGGAGGCCCAAGAAACACCTATATACCCGTGTACAGGTATGACATCATTTTTGTCAATTCCAATCGTATATCTACATATATTGCAAAGAAAGGGGTGCGGTGCGCCTACGTTAATTTGACTCAATTTTTAATCAATCGTTTTGTTCTAAAATCAATTTAATAATGTAGAGTATACTATTTACAGTCACTAGATTAACCAAATATGTAAAAATGAAAAACACATATTCATATAGTTTTGCACCGTTTGCCTCCTCAGGGGGAACTCATTTCTTCATTAAAATTGTAAAAAAGAACAAAAGGTTTATACATATGTAGTTTTTAAATAGTATCAAGACAAGTAAGTGACGACGGAATATATCATATAAAGTAGCTAAAAAGCTCACATGTCGAACGCACGGTCGGAGCTTCCAGGTATATTTCTATAGGGGGCAACCCATATGGAGGCGATCGCCTCTGTGCCAAAGGTACTTCTTCTACTAATTAGCATTATCATAACTCGTTTTAACTTTCAGATCAATCGCAATATCTCGGACCCGGAGTCAACTACGACGTTCGCACTTTCTTAGACTTTTATTGTATAATATGAAGTATTTTCATAGCTTCATATAGCAAAACGTTCAGGGTACACTTTAACGGATAAAGAAAAAAGAAATAAAGAATTTAATCGAAGAATAATAGATAAATAAAATACAGTAATGATTTCCCTACAATTCAAAGATGTTTGTGCCAATGAAGGAATTGATCTCATAAGTCTAAACATCTTTCAAATATTGTTTGTAAACTACCCTGTAGACTATGTAGATAAGTATGTATGTATATATACCTCGTGCTCCAGCTTCACTTTCTCAACAATAACAACCGTTTCCATCTGAATATAAGTAGAGATATATAAAGCGATTTTGTACTTAACCAAACTACAAGTATTTTCAGTAAAGGAAGTACTATTATTTTATATTACCCTCATACTCGCATTAACAATAATTAGTTTTCAGAAATTCGGATGCTCCCATCAAAATATATTTACATTAACATATATAAACATTCACTATTAGAAGATATAATTATATAAAAATGTCATTTTGACGATATAGACATCCCAATGCAAAAATCGTATCAGCGAAAAGTATTGTTTGGGATTATCTTATAAAGCAACTATGTAAATACAAAAAATATTTGGTCTTCACGTTTGTGATTGAAATTAAAGAATGATATGTTATGCTTTAAAATCTAATGCAAAAAGCTTCTAAAATTGGTTTAGATGTGTCAAAGCAATGGTTAAATAATAAAAACAATAGTTACCTGTATCTGCAAATCCTTGTTCTGTATGAGGTTACATTAAACATAAAAATGAAACAAGTTGGTAGTAAATGATTTACACAATTCAATAACATAACTGACAGCTTGGATCCAATAATGTTAATATGTTGTCAATTTTAATCCTCAACAACAACTCATGTTTTAAATAATCTTTAAAAACAAGTGTCGTTGCGAAGACGTGAATTTCCACATTACATGTGAGGCACTTATGAATTTTAAAAAAGCGAGTCTAGATTTTATTCGCATTCTGTTTTTCTTTCAATACTACGTGTTTAATAAATACTTTATTACACAAAACCTGCTCCTTTGTACAGGAAGTAATTATGTAAATGATAAAGTAGTAACTAACAGATACTTGTTTTGCAAATGTAAAACGTAAATTGTTTTGAAAATGTAAAACGTAGATTGTTTTGCAAATTTAAAACGTACATAGATTTTATAAAAACGTTATTCAAACAACGACGTTTTCCCCAATAATGTCATGACCATTTCAATTTGATGTCTTCGATGTAAAACAGGTCGGCATTAACGACAAAAGTATGTCCATTTAGCAGACGAAGGAGCTCAAATTCACAATCATAGTTTATCAAGCGTTATATTTGTAAAAATTTGATTATTGATTAAAAAGATCATATACGGTATTATGTACCATTTCCTTCAACTTCGTTATCTCAATATCAAACTCATCTCCCTTTATATGAAAAATGTTAAGATCCAGAAATCTAAATATATTGTTACTTTCATCTTCACCGAAAGCTTTGTTTTAAATTAACTTTTCATGATTATTTTATCTTAACTAAAAAAAACAGACATGTTATGCATCTGTTCAGGATAACGGTTAAAATATATGTTTACATTTCCACTGCCAATTTGAATATACATGTAACTAACATCAGAATAACCTATGTTCATACAATAATGAATACAAAATCAATGTCATTTTAACTTTTGCCGTCCCGCCTCACATATTGGGAGATTATGGTACGGAGCAAAAAAATAAGTAACATAGTCTATTCCAGTGATATCACTTTAAATGACGATACAGACATTTCTGTAAATACATATCATAGAATATTTTTACAAGTATATTTAATAACTACAATCTGGAAAGCAAATAAACATAACGTAGATTCTTTAATATATATACCAGTGTGAATCTGTTGAAAAACAGTAAAAGACTTATAGTATGAGGGAAGAAATGGGGGAAAAAGGGAATAATACAAAAGTAATCTTCTGTTTTCCTGAAATAACGGATCCTTTTTTTCCAAATCCAAAATGCAGGGAGAAGTGTTTTAATGATCACTTTAAAAAGGAATGGTAAAGAAACTACGATACTTTTCCCCTAGTAATAGGAAAATTGGAATTTGTAATCATCAGTGGAGTGTAAAATAGGTTGATATTTTCTAAAACAAATATGTCAATTAAGAAGACGAAGAAGCTTGAACTCACAAGTATAGCTTATTAAGCGATATCATATTTAGCTGCAAAGGTTTCATTTAACAGGAATATTAGGTATATGTGCAAGTTTCATCGAGTCACTTTTATATAAAAACGATGTTCTTAGAAAAATCATGTAATAGACATCAACAGTGAGCAAGATTGCAGACTGTCAGCGAAACTGTCTGGGTAAGAATATCGTTTTTACATAGCAGTGACTCGATGAAACTTGCACATTTACGTTATAATATTTGTAAATAATTCAATCATTAATTAGAAAATCTGATTAGAGTATATGTACCTTTTCCTTCAGCTTCTTTATCGCCACATCAAGCTCGTTTCTCTATAGATAAGTATTAAATGTAAAACGTGAGGTATTTTTTCATAAAACTTTTAGCCAGTAAAATAAATGTATTGTTAGTAAAATTTCATCAGCAGCTTGTTATGAAATGATCTTTTACAGCGAATGTAACGTCGCACAGAAGTGCTACTTTATCACGAATGTTAATTGAGATTTTAAAATGAAAACATCTTATGCTTAGGTTTCAATATTATCTTTAAAATGCTATGCTTCCGAATGCTTTATAATAAGGATCCTATTATTGTTTCGGTGTGCCATAGAAATATACAAATTGTTCATCTGTTAATAAATGGAATTACTAACTAGATTCGTAAAATAGTGTGACATTTCCCCCAAAATATAATTTCTTTTGTGCCGATGAAGGAATCAATCTGTTCAGTTTTTAAACCTTTTAAATATGGTAAGTAAACTTCCCTGCAGATTCTGTAGATAAGCTCATATGAAGGTTTGTCACCCTTCTAATTTGTAACACTCTTTATGATTGGATATTTTGCCGGGGTCTATATTTCTATAGACCCCGCTCTTAAACGAATCAGGCAATGAGAGGGTTTTTTAGGGTCCGTATTACAAAGATGGTAGTGTTTTGTCCGAAATATTGCCGAAAGTGATGAAATATTGTCAGGGTGACAAATTCGTTATCTCTCGGTTAGGAGGGGTCTACTAGCTAATAGACCCCTTTGGTTTTTATAGACCACTTGCCTTCGGCTCGGGGTCTATAAAAACCAGACAGGGTCTATGAGCCCGTAGACTCCTCCTAACACAGAGATTACTAATACCATATACCTCGAGTTTCAACTTCGCTTTCTCATCATCAACCAAGTCCATCTGAAAATAAGTAAATATATATAAGTTTATTTTTCTCACAACAATTAAGTTCATTTTTCACTGCCTGTCGTTTTGTGAAGAAAAATTTAGAAATGTTTCAATGTTGATATGAAGTGTAGTATTATTGACTAAAAATCCTAGAGGGATCTTGGCGCCCACCATTGTACATTCTTCATTAGTTCTACGGTGTTAGATCTTTTCTCTTATTTTTTCTCGTCTGTTTGATCGAGTCATGTGAACAGTAAATGCACCTTGCGGTAAAACTTAAAATAAACTTCATACTGTTGTGTATAAAATACATGTCACATATTTATTAGTTCACTACATAATATGAAAGAAATAAAACCAATCATTGCAATGTGAGAAAGATCTGTAAAGTTCTTCCTACGGCGATCTTGTTTGTATGATCACTCTAAAATTATAACAACAGTCCAAGGGGATCTTACATATCAAATTGAGAAAGATCCCTCAAGTACTTTCTGAGAAAAAGCAATAACAAACCTTATATATTAAAATCCAAGATGGCCGCCAGTCAACAAGTTTTTGTTATCAGATCAGGCTCAAAAGTAAACATGCAAACTACATACCAAGGGGATCCAACATATCAAATTTGTTCCGCCTTAGAAATAGTGAAAACAAACGCTCACTGTCAAAATCTAAGATGGCCGTCCGTTGACCATTTTATTTATCCGATCAGTTTGTATGATCAAAGGGGGTCCTACATATCAAATTTGAGAAACATCCCTCAAGTACTTTCTGAGAAAAAGCCAAAACAAACCTTAACTATAAAAATCCAAGATGGCCGCCAGTCAATAAGTTTTTGTTATCAGATCAGGCTCAAAAGTAAACATGCAAACTACATACCAAGGGGATCCAACATATCAAATCTGTGCTTCTTTAGAAATAGTGAAAACAAACGCTCACAGTCAGCATCCAAGATGGCTACCTCTTGACCATTTTGTCCACCCCATCAGTCTCAAAATTAAACATGTACATTTAAGGACCAAGGGAAACCTTCATAACAAATTTGGAATAGATCCGTCCAGTAATTTCTGAGAGAAAGCAATAACAAACTTTAATAGTCAAAACCAAAATTGGCCGCCAGTCAGCTATTTCGTTTAACTGATCAGTCTAAAAACTAAACCTGCAAGGGAACCTACATACTACCTGAGAAGTAGCGATAACAAACATTCACTGTCAAAATCAAAGATGGCCGTCCGTTGACCATTTTATTTATCCGATCAGTTTCAACAGTGAATCTGCACAACTAAGGACCAAGTGAACTTGAAAAGGATCCCTCCAGTACATTCTGAGAAATAGATATTACCAGAATTGTTGAAGGATCGGCGGACCAAGGACATCGGATGAAGCACGATTTGAATATTGAATATGATACGACGATGTTTTAGTGATATCATGAGAAATTCGACGGAGGACGTACAACGGACGGACGGACCACGGACAAAGGGCGATTTGAATAGTCCACCATCAAAGGATGATGTTGGGCTAAAAAAGCGAGGATTTTGTTGTGATATGAGAAATATGAATGCATGGTCAATGTAGCTGTGAAATAAGGTCGTTTTTTCCGCTTTAATATATCCATCTAGTAGATGACGGAGCTTGATCTCTCAACTTTAGTTTGTCAAAGTGTTATAACATCTAATTAAAATGTGGCCGTATGACAGTATAAGACTAGTATTCATGTGTTTTGTATATATATTATGTGTTTATATCAATATGTGGGTTTATATAATTTTACTGGTGAAATAACAAATAATAATGATGATGGTACATTTGATTTAGCACCATTGTCATGGACATGAAGGGGAATGCATCCTTAATGTGTGTGTGTATATGTACCTGTAATAAAGTCTACATGTGATGACACCTGGCCGCCAGGGAGACATTTGATTTGTACCTGACTGGTCAATCAAATAGGAAGCATGGTGAGTTCAGGGTAGGCATGAGAATACCCGGGAATATGCAGGCAGTTGAATACGTGTACTGGTGAGCACAGTCATTAAAGGTAAGTCGTTCTAAAGTTTTAAGGTTCTAAAGTCTTAGTGTTTGTAAAAGATATATAAAAGTAACAAGTGTATTAAGCAATATTCTATTATACAGTAAATGTTAAGTATTGGAATTATTATTATTATCTAAAATAAAGTAATTACTGTATTATTCGTTTGATAATAATCATGTGAATATTTTTAAGGACATCGAAGGTTACAAGTCAATAATGATATTCATATTCAAAAATAACAGTTGTATAGGCTTTTGATCAATATCTTTGAAATATGGTTTTAATGTTAGATTATTATCATGTAAAGAATACGATACAAATCAAGTATAGAGATGAGAATGAAAGAGGCGGTAGGCAAGCCCTTGCCCATTTATTTGAAAGTGTATTGGAATGTATATAGGGAATATAGATATATATCTATAGAAGTACATATCCGAAGACCTAGAGGTATGTCTAAATTACCATATGGTGTATCATAACTAATTATATTCAATAATGAACGATAGCTGTATTCTGTCGGAAAAAAAAAAACATTTACAAAATACATGTTATGTGAAAATAAGTATATTTTAGGTATAGGGTAAAATTTTATGATTGATTGAGCGAGAGTTATTTCCCTTGGTATGTATGAGAGTGGCATGTGTGTAACTGAGTGTAACTATGTTTGTATTTGTATGTTTCTAGGGTTTTTGTTGGGGATGTATTCCTCAAGGAATAAAGAAGGGAAAATCTAACCGGACTGGGTTGAGTTAGTGTTTACTCGGTAACAAAAATATCATAGGAGGTTATATTTACCTTCTCTTCCAACTCCGTTATCTCGACATTATGTTCGTCTCTCTTAATGTAAAACATACAAGATGAAACATTTGGTTAATGGATGGATCCAATAAGCTCAATATGTTGTTAATTTTAATCCTCAACTAAAACTCTTCTTTTAAACAATCTTTTAAAGTAAGTATCGTTGCGAAGTGGTGAACACCTAATGCTTCTTTTTCAATATGATCTGTCAAATGCTATGCTACAAAAGGCCTATAATAAGGCTCCTATAACTGTTTTGTTGTGTCTTAGTACCAGATAACAGAAAAATTGTTACTGTGTTACGCAAATCGCAAAACGAGTTTAATTGATAAAGAATATAGAAATAAAAAATGTAATCGAAGAATAATAGATAAATAAAATACAGTGATGATTTACCTACAATTCAAAGTTATTTTGAGCCGATGAAAGAATTGATCTCATAAATCTTCAAATCTTTCAAATATTGTTTGTAAACTACCCTGTAGACTATGTAGATAAGTATGTATGTATATATACCTCGCGTTTCAGCTTTGCTTTCTCAACAAGAACAACCGCTTCCATCTGAATATAAGTAGAGATATATAATGCGATTTTGTACTTAACCAAACTACAAGTATTCTCAGTAAAGCAAGTACTTTTATTTTATATTACCCTCATACTCGCATTAACAATAATTAGTTCTCAGAATTCGGATGCTCCCATCAAAATATATTTACATTTACATATATAAACATTCACTTTTAACATAAAATTATATAAAAATGTAATTTTGACGATATAAACATCCCAATGCAAAAATCCTATTATGGAATACTTTTAAATCTTCAGCAAATAGAAAGTTTTGGGACTATCTTATGAAACAACTATGACAATACAACGAATTATTGTGTCTTCGCGTTTGTGATTGAAATTATAGAAAAGATATAATATGCTTCGATTTCAATATGATGTTGAAATTGCCATGTAACCAAAACTCTAATGAAAAAGCTTCTAAAATTGGTTTAGATGTGTCTTAGCAATGGTAAGATAACAAAAACAATAGTTACCTGACTCTGCAAATCCTTGTTCTGTATGAGGATGCATAAAACATAAAAATGAAACATGGCTGACATGTGTTTTCTTCATACATTGGAATACAGTATCATGGGAAAAATCCTTATTTTTTAGTGTGTAGATGGCATTAGTTAGCATTTGTCCCCTGATAAGACGTTGTATGCTTTGTTTTTTGGTCACTGTATTTTAATCGAAGATTCTCGTTAAATATTCGTTTCTTTTTTTATCTCATAATAAATTTAATTCCTTAATTGTTAAAAAGATTCATTTATTCTGCCATAATATATGTAAAAAGTGGCGGATGACAGCGGATGTTTTTTTTCTTCCGCTCACCTTATATTTTGTTTGAAGGAATAATTGGATTATTTCGAAATCATGTGTTACTCAGATCAATAATTAGAAAAAGAAGTTTTTATCCAATTTTTTTAGAATATGAATAAAAAATTGCGGCCATTTCCTAAAAGTGAGCCAATTTTTCGCCAATCACAAATGTTTTGGTGTTATTTTGTTGGAGAATGGATGAGACATCAAGCAAACAGAGCTTCACAGCATGGAGATAGTTATAATTACTTGACAGATGCAACGAATGTAGAAGGTATTGGGAGGAGGTCAAGAGACAGCACATGAACTTTTAAGATCGTCAGCACACTATTTCGGTTTTGCAGTAAAAGCAAAAAAAGTTATATAATAATAATTACAATAAGTTTATATAATAATACTATTTTTTTTTGTTAATGACCCTAGCGACTAAACAACGACTGGTCTCAGTACATATTGACTAAATTAGATGAACAGACCACATGGGCTTTGTGAACAATGTTTACTTGCCGAAATATTCACAATTGAAGTTCCAATTTAATCCGCCTTGCTACTTCCAGTCGCCATTTTGTAAACAGGGCCTAATCTCGAGCTGATGCGCGTTTGAAAGAGTAATGCAAAGCTTCTAAACGATCATGCCCAGAACATACTATCTAAGGATGATGTTTTTGATAAATTTACTATCAATTATTTACTATATATCTTTTTGTATCACTTTCATTAATTCATAAAAGAACAAATTGATTTTTTCCCCTTCAAACATTTTTCTTTCAAATGTTAAAACACACGTCGTCTGCTTCGCAAACATTCAAGAAAATAATATTTACAATGTATTGATATTGTTTTTACTAACTCGTTTATTCTTTGAACTATCTTTTATTAATAAATATCAAGATTTTGTGAATTGAAAAATTGCATTTTATGACGTAACCGGAAGCGCACTTGATACAAGAACGCCAAGAATACCTCACAACATAATCAGGACAGTAATAATAAACAGACGTGTATCGAACATTAACAGATTAATATCGTATGTATATTGAGACACTGATGTGCTAGAATACAACACAAGGTAACACTCGTTTAATCCATTGCTATCACATCAAGTTCTAACTGACATTTATGCGAAAATATCGGCATTAAATGTTTGCGATCGCGCAGACCTATTTTCGTTTTACAGTTTACATACATTTATACACGTCGGCATCAACAGTATACCTTAACTTATTCCCTTCATCGTGCCGAAGATTATACATAGGCGCATTCGAGGAAAAGGTTCGTGATTTAAAGCTTGTGTGGGTTTTTTTTATCTTAAAATTAACGGATAAATACAAGATACAAGAACCATTATTTTACGTTGAATAAATGTCATAGTTAACATAGGCTCTCAGGAGCTTGTATTTCGACAAACATATATATATATATATAATTTAATCTTATTTTTTCTATATTTACTTCCTTCACATGGACATTTAATCCCTTTTTATTATATATATAAATGATATAAATGGTAAAACATTGTAACAGTGTAAGGCAAACAACAAATTTTATCACAAGATATCTACGTTGGAAGGATTAAGATAAAGAGGCTAAATAATCATGCTGTACAAAATTTGGCACTAAATCAACTTACTTAAAAACCAGTCCAGGTGATTGGGACATAGCATTTATTTGTAACCAAGCATGGGTTTGGTAGCCGTTAATATTAAAAGACGTTTTTAGTTTTGATGCTGCTCGTGACGCCAGTGATGTATTTTTCGCTTACAGGTTAAAGCGTCGTTATCCAAAAAGAAGAATAGTACAAATTGAAAAGTGTGAATTGCCTACAGCTCCTGTCAAAAGTCAAAAACATTCATCTCATGTTTTTTCTCGTCACCTGGACGTTTGTAAGTTAGAACAGCTGGTCTCGCAGACGCTTAACCTACGTACACAATATATATACAGTTATACCACAGTATTGTAATTGTCTCAGTAATTTATTAAATTCAAATAAAGCACCACTTCACGACAATCATGGATTCATATGGGTACAATGTTATTAAGGAGGCTCCACCCTTTCGCAATAAGCCATCAGAATCCAATGAAGTTTCACATGATGGTTATGTCACTATGCAGAGATGAGTTTATGAAAATCTAAGCATTCCGATAAACTGGAGATTTTTTTGTAAAAAATACCGAAAAATTGATTTTTTGTCAAATTCAACACTTTCACATTTTTTGAGCGTGTGGCATTGTTTAAAACTATGACAACAATAAAATAATGAAAAGACACATTGCTAATCAACCCTACAAATATTTTATTTATATGGATACAAGTTACTAAATACAAGCCAAAAGCAAACTGGACATATAGTTTCATACAAAAAGAGTGAAACATTGAACCAAATACACACAAAGTCTTTATAATTATTTATTTTACATTTTACAATTATTTTGATCCTGATGAGAGTTGTCTACCTTGAAAATAATCGGAACTTTTTGCAGAGGGATAGAATTTAAACAATGCCACTTATTTTATGTAATATACCAAAAACAACGGAAATAAAATAAAATTACTATATTTATTTGTCAATTTACTGTTCTTTTATGGAACAAAATTACTCTCAATCATGTACACTTTGGACATCATTCCATAGCCTGCTTACGCATGGTATATTAACATGTCAGGTACATATGTAACCATAGGCTACCACATGGTATGCCGTAGTACGTGCACGCACATGCACTTGCATTTTATAGGGATCTTGATATTTTACAAACCACTTTTTTCACAGAGTTATTGTAATTGCATTTGTGAACCGATTTATCTGACAGAGCGTAACTCGCTCGACAACAAAATTCGTAGCGACCAATAGCTTGTGAACTACTGTTAGCACGTGATACGTACAGGTGAGGTTTGTAAACAAAACACATCAGTCTGCATTCCATGCGCCTCATATACGACCTTCTTGAAATCGTCTGATCGTATGTCAGTGTTTCCCCGTGAGTTTATTAATGTCTTTGTATCATAAGCTTTATTTCTGAACTACGTGTGATTACACATTTCCAAGTTAAGTCTCGATATCGGGTGTTTGACATATCACGTCACGCACGTTTACTATTGTTTACCCGGTGTTACTATAATTTACACTACGGTAATGGAATGCCCGATACGCAATACGGAAATGACGACACGAAAATACGACAAGAAAAACATGTGTATTACGAAGGGTGGAAAGTCCTTAAAATAACATTCATACAGTGCATGCAAGCTGAAATTAACAAACCATTTGTTTAAAATAACAAGTCATCATTTCCATGAAATTATCCAAATAAATAAGATCTTTACGTCAAAATAAACTTCAGGTATGATTTAGTATTGTTTAATGTACGTCCTATCAACAGCTATACATGGTCATTTAAGGACGGCCTCCCCCATTTGCTAGATGCATGCGTGTGGTGAGTTTGTGCATAATTCATTTGTGTTTTGGGAGTCTGTGGTATGTTCATGTCTGTCTCCTTGTGATAGCGCAGGACTGATGCTGGCTTTACAGTGTAATTTCACTGGAGCTTACTGCTGAAGACAGATCTTATTTTTCGATCGTTATCTCACCATCTTCAATAGCCAAGGGTTCATAATTTAACTTTGTACTATTCAACCTTTGCAGATTTAGCCTTGTGTTTAATTTCCCTCCCCTGCCATCATGCATAGACACTTTACTAGCAAAACTTTAAACTTTCAAGATTATTTCAGCACTGGTCGCCTATGTATTTCCCTTGGTTATCATTTACAGTTAGAATATGGCCAATTATCTCTATCAACTGATCATGTACAGAAAATGTTTCTTTAAGTATTGACCTCCTTTGGTTTTTTTCACATTAATCATGACATAGTCGGCAAGGCAACTTGGTACTGGACGCCGCCATTATTATTTACATGCAAAGGGACTTGGTATTAATTTCTAACCTTCAGTTCACATATGCGTATTATATAATGTATGATATAAACAAAATATGTGGACCATAGGATGGTAATTCGTGCCAAGTCCCTGTGCCCGGTTCAATAATTTGAAAGCTTAGAGAACAAGGTTAAATCCACAAAGGTTGAATACATGAATATGTTTATACAAAATGAACGCTTGGCTAGCAAAAATGATATGTTACAGGCTGGACAGATAATGACAACAAAAACAGGCTGAAAACATGTATGGAATGTGTTTTTCTTAAAGGAGGTTGTATAAACACATTATGAATATGTAAAATCATGATGGAAGTCCATTTTCCCGAATTACCTGACGTTATTTTCAATACCTTCAGTTCATCTATATTTCCACACTGTTTTTTTTTGTATAAGGGATAGGAATCAGTTTGTTTTTTGGGTTTTATTAATCCTTGCAACCACTTTTAAGTCATATGTCTTAGAAAGGTCTGCCACATATCTGATTCTTTGACAACTTTACTACAAATATATAGCAGGAATTGAGCTTTCTATATCCACTGCACTACACTTCATATCATTTGTTGACATTTTTCTGCTACAATACATGGAGTTTCTCCACAAGATGTTGATAACCGAAAAGAGTCTGAAACCTTAATCATATCTTTTAGAATACTGTGTTTAAAAAGAATGTTATACATTTATCTCTTCGATCCACTAAACATCAACAATCAATATTTAAACCCTTCATTCCCTTAATCTGTTATTAAAAGGATTGTAAAATATATGTATATATGTGTTCGCTTAAATGTTAATATATTTCTGTTCAACATTCATATTTACAGTGGTGTTCAAATCCACTAATACATAAGTTGACATAAAATTGTACTGCAGTATTTTTTGGTCTGACTTTGACAGCTAAATAAGTCTCATCAAGGGTCAATGACCTGTCAGAAGTTGAGTTAGCCAAAGTTATTTGACTTTGGTGTAGAAGCATCCTAAAAATAGAAGAAAGTAAGGGCTGGATTTTCACGAACTCGAAGAGTTGTGCCCCTTTGTTTGCTTTCCTATACATCTTATTCTGGCAGTTTATCATTCATGTTTTTATTTTTCCATTTGTTATGCACTTCATATATATCTGATGAGAATGGGAGGTATTTAAGAATGCACAAAATTCGCCAAGAAAGCTACAAAAGGCCAATAGGTGAAACTTTACACCATGCAGGCCAGATTTGAACATTTTACTGTAATGTTTGTTTTACTTTCCGTGTGGGGAGGATTTTTAATGCATCTCGACTGTTATATCAATCAATTAATTTTCATTTAGATGATGTCCCTTAGAAGTATTTCTTATATAATTTAAAATGTGTTTCAAGTAATACTCATACTCTCTGTTTTAAACTAAAAAAAAAAACAGTATTTGTGCAGTTATGATTGATTGTCTTCCTTTTGATAATATTTCTGTGAGTTGTGTCCCTCACATGATTTCCTCACATTCCTTTCTGTTATATATTGGATATAGTTTGTTACTTCTATAAGTTCCAAGTTTCCTTTTAGATAAAATATGTCATGTTTATGTGATTTTTGAGAATTGGTGGTTTTGCAAAATTTGCTTATTGTTTTGCAAGGTACCAATATTTTTATGTTTATAACATATATAGGGTGCTCCCATAGCTACCACTTCCTTTAAAATGTAGATTTTCTTCACGGTTTTTTTTCGAAAAAATATCCAGAAATTTTAGATAATTTTGAAGTTCTGTTTAAAACTTACCATACTGACAATGTCAGACAATTTTAAGACATGCGAAACACATAATAATGTGTAATTCTTCTTGAATTTGGTGTACAGATAGATCTTGAATTGACAGATATCAGCACAAATTACTTTAATTGGAGGCTACATAAAGAGTTTTGTCCCTTCACTTTCTTTTTCAAGATTACACGATTCAAACACTTTTCTGCCTTTCCTAGGTCGTGCCGCCTGAGAAGCATGGCGAACACTTAAGGATCAGTCTGTCCGTCATCACACGTTGTCGTTGGCGGCGGCAGTCACATTTAAGTTTTCTAGACTTTTTTCGCCACCATTTACCATATCAATTTGTAACTTTGTATGTGACCAATCACAATAGATTACAGATCAAGTTCGAACCACGTGCCAATATTATATTTTTTTGCTGGAGTTACATATATGGCCCTTCACACATTGGAAGTTCTCATAATTAACTGTTTGCCATACTTTGTTCGTTACCGCTTGCGACTTAGTATGTGACTTTATCATAATGGATTACAGTTACAGTCCAAACCCTGTGTCAATATTTCAGTTGTTGCTGGAGTTATGGCCCTTTGGACATAAGAAATCTCATAATGAATGTTTTCTCGGAAACATTTTCGCTACCATTTGCAACATCAATTTGTTACCTAATTTGTGGCTTTGTCATAACGGATTACAGTTTGAGTTCAAACCCCGTGTTAATATTCCTTTTTTTGCTGGAGCTATGGCCCTTCGCACATAGGAAATTATCAAAATAAACTTTTTTTTGGACTTATTTAGCTAACGCTTGCCATATCATTTTGTTTGTGGCTTTATCATAATAGATTACAGAGTTTGACCCATGTATTAAAATTCCATTTTTGACTGGAGTTATGGCCCTTTTGCACATAGGATATTCTCATAATTAACTGTTTTCCATATTATTTGCAATTTAGTATACATGTATAATGGATTACAGTTTGAGTTAGAATCCAGTGTCCATGTTCTATTTTTTCTGGAGTAATAGCCTTTTGCACATAGGAAATTCTTTTAAGTAACTTTATTTTTTCCGTCAACACATGCACTTCCTTCGAATTGCAGTATTCTTCTATGGGTGACACCCGTCCTCATATGACCCTGGCTGTTGCGAGGACATAAATCACCTGATACAGTACATCCTTTGAAGCCCTTCTGTATGGCTTGATGATGTTTGAAAAATAATGGTGCATTACTTGGTTAAGAAGACTGACGTTTAACAGAGGGTCTCTCTCATAATACTCTTGCTCCCTAGTTGGAGGAGTGGGGTCCCAAAGGGGGATTCTCCAATTCAATTACATAATTTGTTGTTAGGACCCCTGCACATCTTTAGTAATCAGATTTTACGTCTGTCTGTCCTTCTATCTCTTTTTAGCTCACCTGCCAAGGACAAGTGAGCTTTTGCCCTGGTGCGGCGTCCGGCGTCCCGTCCCGTACCGTCGCGTCCCGTCTCGATTCAATGTAACACTTAGCAACGTCATTCTTTGACAGTTTTTGGTCAAACTTTATACAAAGGTCAATTATGAGTATACTTCAGACATCGTTGTATGTCAGGGATACAAGATCAAGGTCAAGGTCACACTTGCTACATATAGAAAATCATCAACTGATTCAATTTAAACACTAAGCAACTTCATTCTTTCACTGATTAAATTTAAACACTTAGCAACTTCATTCGTTCATGGATTTTGAACAAACTTTATGCAAATGTCAAGTATGAGTATACTTCAGACATTGTTGTGTTTCAGGGTTCCAAGGTCAATGCCAAGGTCACTGTTGCTATATATAGAAAATCATCAACTGATTCAATTTAAACACTAAGCAACTTCATCCAATATGTTAAGGAGATGGTAATAACATACAGAAAAAACCATATGAATATTAAAGTCAACTTATCAACTTTAAGTGTAGAACCTTGTGTGTGTGCATACATGGATAGCTTTTCAGCCTTTGATATCAAAGGTCAATGTCACTTACTATAAATAGAACATCAGTTTGTGCACTGTATCCCGAATTCTGTTGGACTGATTACACTCAGATTTTAATGAGTCCTTCCTGGAAGAAAGTGCCTGCTTTGGATAACTTTTCAGGTCCAGTGGTCAAACTTTGGATAAATAAGTTCTTAATTTAGTCAGTGTCATTTTGACTTTCGCCTCAAATATCGTAAGACATCGTAGCACAATTACGTGACATTAGGTTGTTCTACGATTATCGTTTTCACTGAAAATATAGACATTCCAGTGCAAAACAATACTTTAAGAAGCAGGAGACAGGTCTGGGGTCGGAGGTTCTGGGTACATAGTTCACGAAATGCTTGCTAAACAAATTATTTATTATCATAGACCTTTTTGACATTAGACTTGAAAGAATTTAGTGAGGGTGAGTTTCTTACAGGGTTGTTCAAGTTGTTCTAGAGTTTTAATGTGGAAGGAAAAAAAGAGTTTTTTGATATTTGTAAAAGAAAGTGCTGTTTCCGCAGTAAATGTGCATTTCGCAAATTATACGGAGCTATATATTTCCAATATACATTGGTAATAAGTCAGTGAGAAATTCAGGTGCCATGTTATTTACTATAGAATAAATAAAGGAAAGTTTCCGAGCATCTCTTCTTTTCGAAAGGGGTAAACATCCGGTGTCATGATAAAAGTTTTTTTTTTTTGTGAATGTGGGCAGCCCCGTGAGTATTCTTGCAGTTTCTAGATGGATTTGTTCTAGTAACAGAGCACTTGTTTCACCGCAATTGTCACATACTTCACATGCGTATTCAAGTAGTGGTCTAAAATAAGTGAGATATAAAAAAAAATTAGGTATTTCTTTTTAAAATAAGTTTTTGTATAATTTTTTTTTATATATATATTTGGTTACTTTACTGAAAATAAAGTCAACATGAACATTCCATTTACAGTGGTTAGTAAGAATAACACCCAAGTGCTAATGTTTGGTAGTAATTTGAATGGGGGGTGTTATCAAAGGTGACTGCAGGGATGAATGGAAGTTGCCTATTTGAGATGACTAGGGCCTAAGTTTTGGTAGGGTTAAAAGACATCAGCCATTCTTTGGACAAAACTTCACGTTTTCTCAGGTCAGGTTTTGCATTTGATAAAATTGTGTTTAAGTCTTGGGGCGAATAAAAAAGAGAAGTATCATCAGCAAAAAGTCAAGAGAGAGAGGGAAGATCACAGGAAATATCATTTATGTACATAAGGAAGATAGAGGACCAAGAACAGAACCTTGAGGAATACCAGCTTGTATTGCCTTAAAAGAAAAAGAAGAATCGTTGGAAGTAAGAATATAAATCGCCTATTTATCAATATTTAAAATCTATTTAATCGCTATATGTATGGAGGAGATACATTTGAACGAGTGAAATTTAAATGACTTGAGTTTTTGAATGGTAGAGGATTTGATGTCATTTTAAGCAAATATTACGATGAAAGTAATTTGCGTCATGCAGAGGGATACTATTTCAAAACATGAAATTATATAAATAGTAATCCCAATGTATTTGAAGCATTGTAAAAGCAACGGATGCATGGTTTCCTATGTACCTATATATACATATACATATTTACTTTATCTTAATCCATAGTTAAATACAAATGTATAGTTAAAAAAAGAGTATAGTTACCTTCCAAGACAAAGTCCTTTTCTACATAAGGAAAAAAATGAATAATAAAAACATACCCTAAAATATATAGACAATATCATGAAACAAAATAAAAGCGTTTCCATGATACGAAATGCAAACACAGAGTAATAAAGAAGAGCTTAAAAAAGTGAAAACAAAATATTTGTTTGGTGAAATTGTTTAACGAATGTATTGTGTATGCTAAAGGTATTCCCCTTTAAACGGATTTTTTATCGCTTTTGTTTTCTGACCACGCCGGTATTTGCATATAAGCTCTGCTGTATAGTACAAATTTAGGCAGAACAATAATTGTAAAGGGTCGAACAAGAGGTGGAAAGGACAAAAAAATGTCCACCAATATCATATCTCATGGAGCGTCATTGTTCTCTTATTATAAGCACTTTCTTTTTCAAGACTATATGGTTGTAAACTATTTTGTAGTGGAGTTTGCGAATAAACATTAGATAGGACCAAAAAAATATGCAAGGGATAAATTATGAGAGTGATTTAAGTCCTGGTTAAAAATGTCTTTGTTCGGCTCGATAGCTAGGGTTTCCAAAATACTATTGACATTCCAATTCCACTCTTTTTCTGACTTATTTTAATGTGGAGCTGACTGACTTAACAACTTCACATGAAACGTTCTTCAATTAAATTTTTAGATATTTGTGTTATCGCCAAAAAATAAGGAAAGTCGACCGAATGAACTTGAAATCAAGGAAATTTCATACTTTTTTAGCCGATCTCCTCAATCGTTACTTACAACATGACCAGTAGGGCCAACTAATAATCTGTATGATACGCGTGAGAATTCCGATTTTCTGAACTTACCTTTATTGATAGTAACAACATGCTTACCTAATATGTGATTTTGTACACGCTGTGGATAATTCGATATTCAAGAGCTTGCTCCAAATATTATGATTCCGTGACAGATGATGAATGCGAGAGACAGATTATTGACAAATTTCATTGTTGCTATTATTGGAAATATGTTGGGTTATTTTGTGTGTGACATGAATTTCGAAGGTGTGCCTTTCTTCGTTATTACTACCCCGGATCTGTCTTTCAGGACGTGACATTACTTGAATTTGACCTAAATTAACAGGATACTTCGATATTCTCTCTTTTTTTATAACACTACAGTCTAAATTTTCCTCCGTCAAAACTGTATTTTTTTAACATTAAGATATTTAAGTAATATACATACCTCTCTTGTCAAGATTTCTATCTCGGTCTCTTTCAGGTTCCTCTAAATATAAATATTACAAAGAGAGTTATTTAGACTTAAGTTAATGTATCATCAGTAAATATTTTTTAACTGTTTTGCTAGTTGGTATTTTATGGACTAGATTCATAAATTAAGAGAAAGCATAATCAATTCTTACGAGCTAGATAAATAATTCACATTGGGAACTTTCTGTAAATTGCGCTGATATTTTGCAGATGTTTACTTCAGATAAATGCTTTTGCTCAAAAATAAGTGTGAAATAGAAACCCTGCAAATTCATTGCATTTATTTATTATCTAAATTATTATTAGTATTATTAATTAGCATTGATGGTTAAACTTAAGCGTGAAATATAACCATTGGATGCTAATGTTAAGCGATTCTGTATAATAGTAGTTTTATCTGGTTACATATCAAATATTAGAATAAGAGTTTTTTTCTATAGGATGAAGGCATAGATTCGTATATATCTGAATCTGATATTTGACCAAAATCTTCTTCGTGGGACTCTTGGATATCGGCCAGTTAACCTTCATTGTCTTTATCAATATTTAAAGATATTGTAAAAAAATGCTCGCTTGACCGGTGTTACACAAACTGAACTGTTCTTAACAGTTTTAATTAGGTTGGCAGTCATTTCATATTTGAGAAAATTGTCCCATGAGCTTACCAACCAGGAATGCTTTGCTCGGTAGAGTAAGGTAATGAATAGAGTTCATGGATTTTCTCACCTACTTTGTCCATAGTTTGATGAACGTCTTGCCTCCGTTACGTTTATTGATACCGCCTGACACGATAAAATTGAACGTTTAAAATATCTGAGAACTTTTGAATGTTTAATTTCTTCAAAGCCCGGTTTGAGCAAACAATGAACCCCTGCCTGACTACCTTGGTTTTCCTCCCATTCTAAGACCCGCTGTGCTTTCATACGGGTCAACAAGATTTATTGATATTAAAAGGTAGCTCACCTTCGTTCTTTTTCTAATCAGCAGGATAAATTTGACATTTCTTATTATTCTGACATAACAAAAGTTATTCACTTTCCATTTATAAAACACTCAAGATGTGAAACATGTAAAAGATATTAAAAAACGGAAAGCAATTTTATTTTCTTACTTGCCGTAAAGAATTCGATGATTAACATCATATCACGCATGTCCCAATGTGTCCCTTTAAAATGACAACATTTCTGTCAAATTTTGGCATGCTTCTTTTGCTATTATGATTATTTTTTTTATATTACTTCATGAGTGAGTTATAAAGTCGTTTTACAAACCAGGTGAGGTAATAGATCTTTATCAATTTTAAAAGATGAAATCACAGTTAATTTGTAAACATTTCCTCTCACCCTGTCGAACACGTTAATATTACTTCTGACCAGGTCGAACAAACAGTCGCCAATCTTTAGATAATAATAATAATAACAAGTACTAATTGTAATGGGGGGGGGGGACCATTACAGAAGTCCCCCAAATTGCCCCCATAGTCGCAAAGATACATCAGAAAAGGATCACAATGTCATAAAACACCTTCATAATAAATTTGAGTGAAATCGAACAATATCTGAATTTCGATCAATCTGAAGCCTCCATGTTGTTGCCATGGCAAAAAAAATTGCAGTTGAATTTGCAGTCCCCTAGTACCCCTATATACCAATTTTCATACAAATCAAACAATATATAAATTTCGACCAATCAGAATCCTCCGTGTGGTTGCTATATAGTTAATATGGCAACGAAACCTATGCGGTTGAATTTGCAGTCCCCTAATAGCCCTATATATCAATTTTGATCAAAATCGAACAATATCTCTACCCCATAGTCGCAAAGATGCATCAGAAAATGATCGCAAAGCCTTTATACACATACATTCTAAATTTGAGTGAAATCGGATAATTTCTAAATTTCGACCAATTAGAAGCATCTGTGTTGTTGATATGGCAACATAACCTATGCGATTGAATTCGCAGTCCATTAATATTACTGTAAACCAATTTTCACAAAAATCGAACAGTATCTAAATTTCGACCAATCAGAAGCCAGTATATGGCGGCCTTTGTGTCAAATTAGAAAACAAATTTCGCAGTTGGGTTTGCAATGGCATATTCACAAAAATTCTAAATTTGAACGAAATCGAACAATAATTGAGTTTCGACCAATCAGTAACCAGTATATGGCAGCCATTTTGTCTAATTAGAAAATTGATGTCATGGTTGAGTTTGCGGTACCATCATACACCTACATGCCAAATTTGGAATGCATTTGAAAATATATATAAAACATGTAAAATAGGATAGGTGACATTGGCTATCTTTAGCGAACACCTTCAGATATTTTAAATTCCCAAAAAATTCAAACAAATTTGTGGTGGCCATTTTGTTGCAATGTCATTTTTTTTACCTAACTTTAGAGCACGTCCTATACCGATGCTGTCCTCGAGATTTTATTTTGATGCGATATATATAACAAAAGCTATGGCTCAAAATATTTAGCCAATCAGATGCCAGCAAATGGTGGTTTTAATGTCGTATCAGAAAACGGAAGTCAGCATTGTGTTTCTGGTGTTATATTTTACCTACAAACCTATTTTCATCAAAAAGTCGAAAATATCTAAATTTCGACCAATAAGAAGCCACGATATGGCAGCCATTTTGTTGACAATGTCAATTTTTTATTTCATTTTAGAGCATTTCCTTTACCGACACTTTCCTCTAAATTTTATTTTGATGCGCCAAATATAAAAAAAAGTTATGGCTCAAAATGTTTTAGCCGATCAGAGACTGTGGCGGCCATCTTGGAAGATCCGACAGTTCTAGCACTGCCCAATCACGTACTCATTTACAGCTCAGTAGAATGGAACAAGCAGGGTAAAGTATCTTGCTCAAAGATACAACACAGTGCCGTGACTCGAACTCGCAACCCTTCGGTCATGGACCCGGCGTTCTATCACTAGACTACCGTGCCTCGAATGCAGCTCTCGTGACATCTCGTTAATTCACTTATGCTTAATAATAACGTTAACATGGCTTTAAGTCTTAGCCTGATTAGAAGAATTAATTGTTTTTCAAGAAGTGTTTTCCCAAGTTTTTGGACTTGTGAAAACCATGGTTACCAGATAAAAAAAACACACACCAGAAAAGGCAAAACAAACATGGTTTGACCTCCGAAAGTAGTATTTTTTCATTGGAAAATTATGAAGCTCACATAATCCACTTCATCCTGTATATGCCAATTTTAGTGCTGAATTGTTTTTAGAAAAAATGTTACATGTAATATAATAGGGGTTATTCTAGTAGAGTTCCCATAAAAGGGTCCCGTGACAACTTTTCCCGGACGAAGGTTTGAAAGCTGATTTTAGTCAATTTGAGGGTGCTGATTAAAATGAGCTGGGGTGAACCTCGTGAAAATGTGGTAAGATACGAAAATTCAAAATGGGTATATAAAAAAATACATATCTTTGCTTCTAGATGTCCGTTTTATATGATTTTTGGGTCTAAATATATGTTTTGGGGTTCATGGATTTCAGAAATTAGCATAGTAACTTGATAAAAGAAAGCGTTAGAACGAGAAATGGTCTCTTATTATTTGGCTGTCAAAAACCAGGATAGCCGCCAGCTGACTGCAAAGGAAAAGATCAGTAAGACACCCTTAATGGTTATTACGCAAAGGTTTCATCTTTAACCATTGTAAATAAGATAAAACAACCATTGTATGAAAACTGTGGTCTATTATTTTGTTCATTTTGTAATTAACGTCCTCGCAAAAGCTAGAATCATATGATTGGTTTGGTTTGGTTTTAATTTATTTAACGTCCGATTAACAGCTAAGGCACTTCATTTTTGTTGTGTAAGCGTGCATGTGTGTAGGTGTAGCTGCCTCATTGTGAAAGCATGGATCTGATGCCGACTCTATAGTGCTATCTCACTGTAATACCAAGCCGAAGGCACCAAGCACAGTGTTCCGTCCGGTCACATTATACTGACAACGGATGAACCAGTTATTGCCATTCTCCTAAATGCTGAACGTTAAGCAGGGAATGACAACTACCATTTAAAGGACTTTGGTATGTCCCGGCCTTGGGACAGAACCCATTGCCTTCTGCACTAGGGCAAACGTTCAACATTAAAGCCAAAAGTGAGTTGTTGCCATGCAAGGCACAAGGAAATAAAAGGTAGTATGAAGAAGAAAGAAATATAAAACAGATCCCAAATTCTGCAATAGGTGCAGCAGATTTATTTTTGTTGCTGTTATGTCCCTAAATCGAAAGCACAAAAGCTAATCCCGAATGAATCAGATGATGACGGGTGTCTAGGGAGTCGCCGCCACACAGAAAGGTATCAATCGTGCTGACAAGAAGTAAACATTAAAAACAATCAAATATTTTCATGATAAACATACCTCTTTCAACATTTCTGTCATCTGGGTCATGTGCAATCTCCTCTAAACATAAATATCATAAGGGTTATTTATGACGTAAGTTAGTAAGTATCCTCAAACATTTTCGGCTGTTGTTAAATTTGAGAATACATGTTACTTCGGACAAAACTTGATCGATTCCTACAAGATGGATAAATAAGCAATTTAGCAATTTACTGTTTTAATTAAATATTATACTAAGCAAACTTAAATATCTTCTTTCTTTTATAGTGGTATAAGTTAGTATGCATTGGTAATTATCAACTCAAAATGTGAACCTTGAAAATGAGTTCAAAAGACTAAACAATGAATATTCACCCCACAAAATTAAAGAGATACCATTTAAAAAAAAACTAGTATTTTTGTACACAAAACGGTGTTTGATTTTCTCATCGCTTAACAATTAGCACACATTTTCATAAACTTTCATGACACTCCTTGCTATCAGCCTGTTTACATTGAATGTATTAAGCAATATTTAATGTTACCGTATTAAAACTGCTAGCATGACCAGTTTTATAGTCATTCGTTAGATATGGCAAATTTCATCTTTAATTTCCCCCATTAATATAGAATGCTGTAAATATACTGATATTATCCATTTCGAAAATCAAAAAATTCTTTACTCACCATATCCCTATGCTGTTTAGTCGGTACCCTTTGGAAGACGAAATATATAAATAAATAGATTGGTAGGACGAATAGTTCATGGAAATATGGCAAGAATTTAACAATTAATATAATATCATGTTTAAAGGTTTACTGAAGCGGAGGTACACATTCTAGTATGCTGCATTGGATCACCTACTCAAAACTTCATTGATGATAAAAATGATTATTGATAAACGATTGTGTAAACTATAAATTTTGTATCAAATGTACTCACCCTCCCATACTGTACGAATATTCGTCGGTTCTTTCTGCAAGGAAACAAAAAATATTTTAGGGAATTGTCTTCTATGTGCCGTCAACATTGTCATAATTACAGCTTTATCTAACGGAAGAAGGAATCGTCAATAGTTGTGGAGCCAAACTCCCCGAAGACATATAAATTAGGTGGGTTGGAATCAAGTATAACAATTATGCATTACAGTTTTGTATGGCTTTTATGATCTATCTGAATGACAAAGCTTCATTAAAAACTATTTCTTTTTATTTCCTATGTGTCTTTGAACATAGACCAATGCATATATTTGCATAAAATCAGTCGACGTCATTCAGAAGTGATTGGGGGTTTTGTAACAAAAGTGTTGTCTAGTTTATTGAATGCGAATACAGACAAGTGAAAAGCTCTTGGTAAGAATCGTTTTAAGATTTAAAAAATAGTTTAATTCGTTATATTGAACATGGATAAAAGTGACATTTTTAAACTACGACATGGCAACTATCATGTCTACAAGCATCAGAGATCTACAGAGGAAGTCATTTTAAGTATCTGAGACGTTTCAATGGTCATTTAATTTATTTACATTCATTCTTTAAAGTCCTGGGCTTAGTATGGACCCAGGAAGGCCGAATACTCCTCCGCAAGAGTGATGGGTTTCGGATACAGGTCACCTCTTTATCTGAACTTTCTGTCTACCCTGACCCACCCGCGCGGCCCGTACCCATAACACCTCGTGCTGGTCCCAGGAAACTAGCCGATCGCGATCGGCCAAATAAGGTCTCTACACCAACGCCCAGAAGATGGAACCAGACGACTGCAGCTGCATGTACTACGAAATCCTCCTCTGTAGTGTCGTACAATACTGATGGCCCACTTCAAACCGACTCAAGTGCCTGATAATTAGACCTGTACCGAACTTACTGTGACTTATATATATACACACTTGAATCCTATATATTCGGTTATTTTAGAAATATTGAGTTTTTAAACTTGAGTTTAATCATTGCTTTCTTTTAAACATAGAAATAAATATAATTTGAATGAGGGAAGTGGCCTAAGAATGACTGAGAAGAGGTTGTTGGAAAGGGAGGGGAGAGGGGGGGTGAAAATTGTGCAGGACAGCACACTATATTTCTGTTCTATGAAGATTTAGGTGCTTAAAGCTAGTACACAGATCATAATACATAGTACTATTGAAACACATGCAGATAAATTATTTCAGTAAATTGAACACAATCCTAATAAAAACCTGAGTATTAGGGTCAGTCCAACTATACTGGCTTTAGCACAGAGCCATAATAAGCCCAGATTTAACCCAATTATTAAGTTTTATCAAGTTATATATATATATATTCACATACTGAACAATAACAGTGGCTGTATTTTTAAAAAAATGTCTGGAAACACACAGAAAATGTGTGAGAGGTTAAGTTCATTGAGCACATGGCTATTTCCCTTAAAGGACTCACACAACTAAATCATTTACTATATGTTATTACCAAACATTTTAGCTAATAACTTTAATATTTGAAGTTCAAAACTAGTGACAACTGTCTTGATTCATAAATACATACCTTGCAAAAGCTACAAAAAGACTTTTTTTGGTAGGTTAAGTGGCATATTGGAGTGTCACAGCGCCAAAAAGTTGACAACCGGAAGTTTACAAGCAAAACCGGTGACCCAAAACAGAAACGCCCCCAGACATTTTGCCCCTGTGCAAATCCGCACACAGACATGGAAATGTATCAAAAGTATATATGTTTCAAAAGTTAAATACCTGAACATTTCATTTATCTAAAAATCTGTCATCAGTTCCTTATTAAACTCCTTCAGTGGCCCAATAATTAGCCGGAACTTATTTCAGATAGGAACTACAAACGTATGAAACACTTGCTAATTGGCTGATTTAGTTGTGTGAGTCCTAAAGGATGTCCTTACTAGACTCGCCCAAGCGCAGGTAACAAAATGGCGGATTATTAATTTACTTTTTAGACGAGGTGTAATTGTCGCAAGAATTAAACAGGTAACCGTGAACAAATGTTGTTAATGTTTTATGTTGTTGTTCATAGAAACACACCTCTTCATTTTCGCAGCATAATGACTAACTGGCAGCTAATTATGACTGAGAAATCGATATCTGTTCNTAAACGTATGAAACACTTGTTGATTGGCTGATTTAGTTGTGTGTGTCCTTAAGCAAATAGATATGTGCATTGTAAAGCTATAACATAGTATTTATATTTGTAACTTCTTATTTATAATCACCCACAGCATGTCTGTTGCTTCAATGCAACCTTACATAAGCCTTGGATTTACCCTTTGAAAACGATGATTATTATAGAAATGTATGACCGTAATAAATTACCTATACTTATCATCAGGGAGAGACTGCGCATGCGAGAGAGTGAAGGCGCTTTTTCCGAAGCTCCGCTCCTCTATCATCTCATTCAGAGGCAGACAGGCAAGCAAGCAACAGTAGGACCCCCGAAGAGGATCGAATAAGAATGTTTTGGTGCCAGACAGCGTAATTGATAAGCAAATTACAAAAAAAATCATTATAATTTAACTTAAATCGTGAAATGAAGTGAAGCCGCCGACCAGCACTATGACTCAAAATGGCGGACATTCCTTCACGTGAGACCTACTCTGTGTCGTGTTCTATTTGATAGTCTTTACGGAAGCCAACATACGCCATCACAAGATACAATGACAAGTGTTTACTGATATTTCAAGCTACGTCGTTTTAAGATATTTTAACCTTTGGACATGACATCGCTAGTGACGAAGGATTAGCTCCAGTGAAAATGGCTGCACACCACTTTCGACACGGCAATTCATAATAAACGACAGACGTGTCTATACAGAATGTGTACGCTTAATCAAAAATGATGAACAATCGCAATAAAACTTAATATTATGACGGACCCATATTCTCAGAATCAACATTGAATGCTGTACGAAACAAAATCCATCATGGCGTCCAATCAAACTGCAGGAAAGCAAATTTGAGCAATTTACGTAATCGAGCAAATATTTTTGTCAGACTTTATTTCTATTCCTATTAAATTAATAAAACTGATGCAATTTGACTATCTACCTTCATGAATGAGAACAAAATAGACCGGTATATAGATGTTCTCCGCTCAACTGGGAAATCTTTCACGTCACACAGACCAGTCACAAAACCGATTCTCATCTCTGACAGTTTAGGGTTCACACTAAGAAACGCCTTCCTACAAAATAACCGAAATGAAAGTTTCCAAAGTGAAATTTGGTGCACCGCCGGAGCTAATTCAGAATTTCTGTTGGGGGTTCTGAGAGAACGTATCAACAAAAGCTTCAAGAGGAATAGACACATTACAGTATATTTCTGGGCAGGAACCTGCGATTGTTGGGACTCAAATGTTGGGACAACAGCATAGTTGAGTGTGTCAAAAGAACTCCCAGAGAGGTAAGTCGAACAGTCAACAGTTTTGAGCGATCAAGAGTATAATTCATTGAATGCCCACAATATTCTATAGCAACCACGAACAGGTCTAAAAGTTTCACAATTTCGATTTGGCCAAAGAACAAAACCATGAATTAAACAGAAAAATCTCAGAACTTGATAATATCGTCACAACTGGAAAATCAAAAACATTCTGTGAATACTTTAAAGTTCAACAACTGTGTGACAAGAAGCAAACAGGTCACGGATATAAATCAATCTGAAGTGATACAAGGATGGAATCCATCCTGGCGACAAGCTCAGTGAAATATGAACATGACTGCTCATAAATGACATTACCTAACAATAATCCAATATTTTGTCTTGCCTTTAAATTATGGTCAATTCGGCAAGGATACTTTGCCAGTCAAATTTCACATTCAGCTAGCCTATCTTCTTAATACATAAGGTGAATGAAGCATTTCGAGAAGAGCGGGAAATAAAAACCGGGAAAAGAAGAAGAGTCCAGAGTGCTGAGAGTCACAACTGTATTAAATGCGAGGATCAACTCGATGACACCTTTAAGGCAATGCTATGTGAAAATTGTGAACAATTCTACTTCCTACCATGTACAAAGATATCGACCAGCACCGTAGTCAAAATAATTACGAATCCATCATAAGAGACAATATCATGAAGGCGAAAATACTTAAGTGGTGTTGCACTGAACCGGAAGAAGAACACCAAGATGTGCTACATGTCCTATGATTATCGAGTGTAATACTTTTGTTTTCAAGAATGGTTTGAAATTTACTGTGAAGGTAAATATGAATTGTAAATCAAAAAATGTAATTTATGCAATAGTTTGTTCTAAATGTGATGATTTTTACATCGGTCAAACAGGTAATGAACTCAGAACACGTATGACTGTACATAGACAACAAACTAGAACTGATTCTTTACGAAATATTCATGTTAACAAACATATTCATGAATTACCTTTGTATCAACTATTTTCATCAGACACTATTTTAAGAGAAACGAAAGAAGACCAACTAATCAAAATATTAAAACCAAGTCTCAACAGGCCACAGTGAAATTTTACGCTAAATTGTCCACCAATCTTGTGTACTTCGTGACGGCACGTTACTATTGTAGTGTGATGACATGTAATTGTGACGTCACAACGTTGTTCTTTTTAATAAACCTGAAGAGCCCTGTGAAGGGTGAAAGCAGCTAGTTTTTTAGTCGGTCGTTAATGTTATTTTTTCTATATTTACTTCCTTCACATGGACATTTAATCCCTTTTTATTATATATATACCAACAGTGTGACATATATATCTATATGCTGATTCATACAATGCACCACTAACCAATAACATACAGTCCGGCGGAGGGGACTATAAACGGTGTCCCGTGTGGGAGGGTCCAACCTGCACGTAAAAGATCCCTCTGTGTCTTTAACGCCGGCACAGAGGATAGGTTAGGTTAGATAACAATTGTTTAAGACGATTCGACGGACTTACTAAATAAAGAAACAAAATAAAACACAAATAGAGTAGGCTATAGCCTGGATAAGGTAGACACGCCCTCCTAGACCCACGC